TGCTGTGGAGGGTTGTTGCGGAGGTTGTTGCGGAGCGGAGGAAAAAGTGAGACGTGGGGTGTGTTGTGTCGGGTGCGGGTTGAGATGTGATGTCGCGGGTGTCGTTCAACTCAATCAAATTTGTGATTCACGTTTGACACCACCGGAGAATGAGACTTCAGCCGAGAATATACAACAGTCTCTAATAATGGTAAACGTTCCTGGGACGAATCTGAAGCTTCAATCACCGAGTCTGAAGAGCGGGGCACAAACCGTGTGCTGAGTCAGCGCTCCTCAGAGCGGAGTGTGGGGCACTCCGATTTCGCTCTATCATACATTACTGTTGTTCTCAGTATCATGTCCTACTCATGAGATACATGCACTACGAAAGAATACAGGCTAGTATAGAATCAGATAGATATATCATTAAATCAACTCGAGAGAATGCAAGCCCTTGACACAGTCACGGCACAGCCGTAACGAGCATTCTATTCGAAGAGCATCAGAATATGCACCACATTAAACGGGACAAATGCTGCAGTGGATATCCATAAAGGCATGAGAAGAGAGTAACCAATCGTAAATCGACGCTGATGCTAATACTGGGTAATATGGAAGTCAATGAAACAAAATAGCGATATCGTCGCAACGATAGTGGGGCGGCATATTATGCTGCAGCCGGGTCTGGCATTTCAGGTGCCGAGGGTGGATTTGATGTTTCGGCTACGCCTTGACCTCGACAGAGGGGGCAAGAGTTGCGACCGGTTGTCAACCACTGGGAAAGTTAGTACAGATGGTCGGGAAGCTGCTGATTGGATAGAACGAACCTGGTCTATGCAATCACGGTGAAAGACGTGTTTGCATTTGGTCAATTGCCGAACTTGTTCGGTCACCTCGTAGTCGCTGAGGCAAATCAAACAGCGGTCACCATCAGGAATCGGGACGGTAATGGTGCCGTCTAATGCTGCTGCAACCAGCGAGTCAGCCTGTCTCACAAGGTGAAATAGCCCACCTGCCGAAGTGAGATCATCCTGGGATGCGACAGGAGGCTTGGCTGGTCCTAGAAGAGAGGACAGAAGAATCATGTCTTCATATGTCGGGTTCTGGTCGTGGATTAGCTCGAGTCCATCGACAAAGCATGGTACGAAACTTACATCTGTGAAGAGGCTTGGAGTTGCAAACGCAGGGTGGTTCTCTGAGAGATTCGTCCCCACAACGTAGATTAGCCAGCTTCGACCGGCTGGAGGTGTGGCGTTGTCGGGCTCTACGACCCCATTCCGCCTGACAGACCCCGACCCTAGGTCCCGATGACGGGCGTATTCAGAATCACTGCGACGTCGTTGCCGAGACGTACTGGGAGGGATGATATCTTCGGGGGTTTCAAAGGAGGGCCGATTTTCGCTGAGTTGTGGCAAAACACCCGGAGACATGACGGAGGCAGATGATGGCCTCCGACTGGGGGTGGAGGCGCCCGACGAGACGGCGGAGATCCCGGGCTCTGCTGGCGTAGACGGAGGGGGGTGAGGGCCTGGAGGACTTTCTGAGAGGATGGAAGGCGCTGATGATAGTGGGCCACGACTCCCGGTATCTGATGGCCTGCGCGATGAGCTTCCGGGGCTTGGTTGTGGGAGGTCATCACTAGGAGAAAGGGTGCCAGAAGCTCCAGGCTGAGGACGACTGGGAGCAAACCTAGGCCGACCTTCAGGCCGGGGTGGTAAGCCAATCCCACCATCTTGGTTGCGAGACAGATTTGGTGTCAAGAACGGCAGACGAAGCAGGGCATCCAGGCCACCAGGGCCAGGTTGCTGATCACCACCGGGTCCACTGTTTGATGGGACCGATCTCACGCCAACCACGACCAAGGTAACAGTCCGTCCTTCAACTGGCCCGTCGGCATTATTGTCATTATTGTTGTCGTTATTGTCATGATTGCCGCCGCCGCCGTTATCGGTGTTGGGGTTGGGGTTGGGGTTGGGGGTGGTGTTGTTGCTGCTGCTGCTGCCGCCGCCGCCGTTATCGATATCCATCCCGTCTCTGAGACTGACACTATCAGGTTCCGCCGGTCGATTTGGTGGCCCCGGAGGACTGATACCCTCCGAGTTGGCAAACCGGAAAACCCGTAAAAAGTTAACCGGTGTCGGAGGCGTGGGATCCCCCGTAGTATTTGGTGTCTCGCTTGGAGTCGCTTGTGCTGATGTGGCGTGTTGCAAACTTTGAATAAAATTCTCCAACGAACCATCCAGGCCATCATTGCCCAGGGCCTGGATGTTTGGCATGACTGGACCGGCGGTGCCAGAAAGCTGAGCGGCGATGGCCGCAGCGGCTAGCTGCAGCACACGGGACAGAGGGGTCTGATCCTCCCGTCGCAAAGCTCGGGATGGCCTCCCTCTCAAGAGACCGGGTAGCTGCCGGAGACTAGACCGTCCGTGGCCCGACTGGGTCGACATGGGCGAGGTAGGACGTGTGTTCGCCGCAGCGGGATTTACCGAGTCGAGTTCCGGAGACTCATCAAAGTCCATTCGGGTATCTATGGGTCTCAGATGAGGAATATAACCGGTGGCTTCTTCATCGGACGCCAACCCCACGGGCAGCGTGGGCGGTTGTGCGTTGCGATTGTTGTGGTGGCTCGGCTGACCGAACATCTGTGAGATGGGGCTTGATAGTGAGTTTCGGACACGGTGCAACCGGGCACTTCGCCGCCATGACCCTCGAGAAGGATCAGGAGCATTTTCCGTGGTAGTATCGAATGGGGCGGTGACGCTCGGCATCAGTGACGGTTCATTGCGGGGGATGAAATAAGGCCCGCGGAGCGAGCGTCGTCTCGAAATGCCCCTGGAACTAAGAGAGCTGAATGGACTGAAGCGACTGCTGCTTTGTGTGACTTCAGACCTCGGGATAGACCTCGATACCACCCCATGTCGATGGGCATGACCCTCCGCAGGTGTTTCCTCCTCGCTGCTCAGAAGCCCGCGGATAACGGAGTTTGGTAAGATTCTGGACCCTAACCGCGACATTGTCGACTGCCTTCGAGCGGCCATGCGAGCAAGAATTGCAGAGCGGTACTCGCGCTGATTGTGGTCGTACTGCGAACTGCTTTCCTCATCAATACTCCCCATGGGTCCCGTCGTCGCCGATCGCTCGCCATACGGAGACGCGCCAGGTTGCCAACTCCCCGGCGCTGGAAATGGCTGACCCGGTAGGAACCCTTGTGCCCCATGGTGACTCCCCTCCGTCCCGGACGGCCCCGACGGGGACTGGGACTGTCCCGTCTGTCCGAAGTTCGACTCGAAGTTCCGCCCGTCGTTCATATCTTCATGCCTATCGACTCGACCACGACGTGCTTGGAGGGGGGAGAAGTGTTGCGAATGAATCCTTTGGCGTTGGTCTCTGTGTGTGGAAGGAGCCTGGCCCATAGTAGCAACGGTGCTAATCTGGAAGGTGGCGATGGGGGGTTTTATAAGCTGACTAGATCCATCGACGAGACGATGACTAAAGGAGCGAGGAATTAGTCAGAGAGAATATTTTTGAATCAAATCGAAAGGCTCAACACCACGGGAGATGCGTAGAAGGGGAACAGTTTATGAGAAAAGGAGATGATGGAAAGGGGTTGAGTGGTTGAGACAGCACGAGTCATCCCAGGTGCGACGTCTGAAAACCGCCCGACATCAAGCCATACGTACCAGTATACAGATTTAGATCAACAGCATAAATTGACCGATCCCCAGCGGTAATCCGTATATTTTTGACAAGACGTAATAGCATTTATGGCCGAAGATGTTGGAGAAATCGCGTGCCTTGGAGACCTTGTCTCGTGAGCTTGGCGTCCAAGGGCCACGACTGACAGCGACAATGACGTGGTTTTCTCTTCTCCGATCGACGTGCAATCCAAGAATATGAAAATCCAAAAGGAAGTTGACAGACGTAGGATCAAGTGCTGAATTCACATATGGGTGGTTATAACAAGATAGGCAGACGTTGAGAGGTTCTTAGCCCCGTACGACGTCTGGGGATAGACCCCACGACAGCCAACCCTGTCAGCGATAGTGACGATTACGATGCAGAGTCAAAGAGTGGATCAAAATCGGTCATGGGGTTTCAATAGGATATCGCGTTAAGTAAATGCCTGGGGGTGAGGCTCAAGATTAACCAGATTCGAGGACAGAGCGGGAGCCGATGGTTGATGGAGAGGACGATGACGGAGGGTTCATTAGTGGAAATGGAGAATGATAACGGGGCGGCTTGCTTACACGGGTGGATTCACTACACTGGGCTGACTATCTTAATCAGGACTAGCGGTGGATTCAAGAGAGCCTTCCTCCTTGTGTGCAATGGGTGATATTTCACTATTCTTTTCAATTTGAGATATTGGCTGCTGTCCTTGTCTCTCCAAGTTGAGAGTTTCGTAATCTCCGTTGGGCGCCATGGGGTGATTACCATGAGGGGTTGTTTCAGCCATTCCACACTGATTACTACGAAGTATTGCTATTAACAAGGAGGGATCTACTCCGGTGGTTTTATCATCACTGGTCGCATTTCAAAGGTAATCATAGTTGATGCGTCTTTCATGTATCGTCTTTATTATTCTATTCTGCTTGCAACTGTATCTGAATTGCTTTGATACCTCTTAACTCGGGGTAAAGAAAGATCATCGGTCTTTCTTCGCCTTTCGGAAACGGCACCGTGGATCCGATGGCTGCCTCAGGATCGGCAGTATCACCCGTTTTCATTTTCTCTCTTTCTCTCGTTCGGGTGCTTCGGTTCTTCGCCGTGGAACTACCGGCTGTCTTTCTTGTGTCTGAAGATTATTAATATCTGTATTTCCATTGATTGGCTTTATCAACAGTTGTGTTTAAAGCGACCTCGTGATAAAGCGAAAAGACAAGCAAACAAGTCAAAAACCAAAGGACGCAAAATATAGAGACAAGAAGAACCGAGAAAAGCACATCCCACTCGCACATCCATGGAAACTATAGCAAGATCTCTTAGGCAGTCAAAATCGCTCTCGGACCGCTGAAGCCTCCATGGCATCTGCACCCTCAGCATCCGCATTCTCATTGCCCCTGCCATCATGGCAACAACCTCTCAGCGTGCGCGCCGCTCAATACGAGTCCAAAAAACGTAAAAAGGACCGTGACGGGTGGAGCGACGACGACGACAATGGGGAAACAACAGATGCGGCTTCCGAGATAGCTCCTCCTGCGCCATCTCTGACACTATCTCCGGATGAGGCCCGTCAGTATCGCATCGCGGGCCTCTCGTTTGACCAGGAGATCCCGGGAGGCCATTTCCCTCATGGCCCCGCTAAAGAGGGTCGCGCCAAGGGAGCGAGACACAATCATCTTCTGCATGAATTATCGTCGCTCTCGAGTCCCCTTTACCCACCGCAGTCGGCAGCGCACCGGGGGAACCTGCGGCTTCAGCATATTTCGGTTCTCTCTAACATCCTGCACCGGTGTCTCCTTGAGAGAGACTACGTTCGTGCTGGCCGGGCGTGGGGTCTGATCATCCGCGAAGAGTTCCGTGGTGTCCCCGTGGATGTGCGCACGGGAGGCCGATGGGGTATCGGTGCCGAAATCTTGCTTCAACGAGGCCGTCAAATCTCGGATGAGGCAGGTAGAGCACCAGATGATGATACCGGACGCGACATCGGTCCGGCCGGACTCTGTTTCACCCGAAAGGGATTCGAGGAAGCGAAAGAGTACTACGAGAGGATGGTAGTCCAGCATCCATTCCGTAAGTCTGCGCCGGATGCCGTAAGCTCCATGCAGTTCTACCCGGCCATGTTCGGCCTTTGGGTTTACGTTACTCAAGAGGAAAGCAAATTCGCTCGCGAGGAAATCCGCATTGAGCACGAGGATGCTGGTGAATTTTCGGAGGAAGAAGACACAGCATCGGACATCGGCGGCCAGGCGGGCTCGAAACAGAAGATCAGAGCTCTCATAGCCGGGGTGCGCGCCCGAGAACTGGACGAAGCTGGCAAGATTGCGGCGAGACTGGATGAGCTTCTCATGTCGTTTCCGTATTCGGACTCACCCGAGTTGTTGGAGCTTCGCGGCATGATATCGCTCTGGATCGGTGATCTCCATGTGTATTCTCTGCCTCAAGGAGCTGGAGGTCATTATCTTGATGAGGGGGATGGCAGCGATGAGGATCGTATGCCTGTGGAAGAGACGCTGGAATCCGTCCAGGACAGACGGGAAAGGAGGCTCGCGGCAGAGAAACGGCAGACAGAAGTGCGCAAATCCAGGGAATATTTTGAAAAGGCGAAGAAACGCGGCAAGGGTATGACATCGACTTTGAAGGACTTTCATATCGACGATGACAGCGTTTTGGACGACCATAATGACAGTACATAATTCATCTTTAATATCTATCAATTGGAGGAACACTAGCATGTGGACCTCTTATCTCGGGAGCATTCCTCATACCACACTACCGTAGACAGTAGGATTAATAGTCAAGCTACTTATAAAAGTTATATCCATAAGTGTTTATAAACTGGATATAGTAGGCTATCTACTGATATAGGCACGTGACCTCGTGGCGGGATCGTGTGTCGGCGAGCGATCCACGCGTTGGGCTCGTCATTGGCCAATTCTCCCACCGCGAGCTCTCATGATGAACATTCACCCACGTGTGACTACCCAACTCTACCGAGATCATTGTTCAGCTGGATAAGGTCGTCTATTCGAGACGTCTACCGGGAAGATTGGCTGAGCGAGTGGTCGAACGGTTATTACTCTTTTTTTACCCGTTTCTCTTGACCGACCTTTCACGCCATTCTAGACAAGAAAGATGGGTGTCGGGGACTATGTACACTCAAAGGAAGCGATTCAGCTTCGACCATCTGTCAAGGAACCGCCACATCGAACCAGACAGCAACTAGCGGACCAGGCAAGATTCGATATTCCACCAACGACGAGGGTTGCGCCGGCACCGATGCCCCTCAATCGACACCTCCAGCGGGACAATTACGGGGCCGCGTCCATTGACGGCCCGCCTCACTCAGAAGCTGAAACAATCCAGCAAAGAGACATGTTCGACACAGATGTTGAGGGTGTGGATGACTCGACCATCGCCGCCACCAGCATTCTCGGGATCGACGAGCTGCGGCCCACCCAATTGTCGCCCGCTGCGACGGCGCAACACCAGGGCATAGACCCGCAACCTATGTACCAGTATCATCAAGGCGCCCACTCATTCGATCCCCAGTGGTATGACAACCTCGGGGATAAGGCCATGAAGTCAGCGGGCTTCTCGTCAGAGGACGGCGGCGACGACAACGCAAGCCAACTGACCTCGATGGCCGGCGACGACGAACAATCAGAGGCCACCAATGGATCCCCCGACCATTTCCACCGACGCCGCCACGCAGATGAACCTTTGAGCCGACGACTCCAAAGTTTCTGGAACGCCAGTCGCAAATCGCAGGCGCAACCAGACCACCACCAGGAGGAGCAGCACCCGGAGCCGTCCAAAACCCCGGCCTTCGACCGGTCCACGTCGTCGGATCCCAGAATCACCAGCCACATACCCGTGAGCACCAACCGGAAGCCCGCTCTCCCGCACACGATGAGCACAACACCACGCACGAGATTCAGCCCTCCCAAGCCCTCTCTCCTCGACAAGCTCGGTGACCGCACCCCCACCCGCCGCAGCTCTGGCCCGCGGCCTCAGCCTCAGCCTCAACCCAGCAGACAACAGCCAAGCATGCCTGCACCTGACCCGTCAGACGCCGACAGAGAAGAGGCAGCCAACATGGGGTCCTTCTCCATGGACTTTGGCCTCAACAGAGGCAGCAACAACCCCTCGCTCACAGCCTTCGACATGACCAACCTCGACGGCCTCGACAACGACTACAGCTACGACGAGTACGACCCATTCTCCAGACGCAGCTCAGTGCGGCGCATTGTGGAGCCTAACCACAACGACGAACCCAACAACAACAACAACCCATCATCATCAACTCGCGCCCAGAAAAAGCGCCTCTTCGAAGCAGACTATTCCCCCCAAGAACTGCACCAAAAAACCTTCGACTCACTCCAATCCGAACCCTTCGACCACGACCCCGCCGCAGCGCGCGCACTCCACCCCACTCAGGAAGTCGAAGCCCCCGACAACAACAACAACACCTCACCCGAAGACAAACTCGCCTTCCTCTCCCGACTCTCCAACTCCGACCGCGACGCGTACTTCTCCAACCTAACGATGAACGAATGGGAAGACTGCGGCGACGTCCTCGTCGAGCAGTTCAGCAGCATGCTCAAGAAGATGAAGGACTTGCGGCATGCGCGCCGCAAGACGGCTGCTGTGTTTGAGGCGGAGGTTAAGAGGAGGCATGAGACTGTTGAGATTCAGTCTGAGGAGCTGTCGAGGAAGTTTGAGGAGATGCGGTCTGGGGGGGCGGAGGTGTTGCGCGGTCGGACGCCTTGATTGTGTTATCAACAATAATGACAAGGGCAATGGACGAGTTCGTTGGGGAGGTGGTGGTTGATTGATTGTTCAATACATCTATCTATCTACCTGGTGGGTATCTGCCTACCTGCCTGGGTAGTAGTGCCCTGATCCTGATACCAAGGCTTAAACTCACGATGTTTTAATGAGTGTTACGATTTATTTTTATTTATCTATCTTAGTTTTACCCCTCATGTTAGAAATGGTCTTATCTCTATTCTATTCTATGTATCAAATCCACATAATCATGGAGATCATTCTTTAGGTAACGCAGACCATAGTGTAAGGAATGGATAGAAGTAGGTAGTATATACCAAATTAGTCCTCATTAACTAACTCTCAAAACTTAAATATCACGATGAATCACATCGACAAATGGTATGAACAAAGAGGTATATGAAGAACAATAATGCATAGATGCCAATACCAACGCCAACCACTGCTCTAGATAGCAGCCCCAAGAACACCTGTCCGAAATTGAAGTAATAAGCAGGAAGGGAGGAAATGCGCTTGAGGATAAAGATTTCGAATGAGAGCGCAAGCAGCAGCGCCCATTCTACTTGGGATTCTGCCCCGCACTCTGCTCTTGGAGCGCCGCTGCAAGCCTCTTATAATCTTCCAAGAGGACAGCCACGTCCCGGATCGTGAGATCGTTGAAATCCTGCATTTGGATGAATCGCTGGATGGGCGGGTCTGGTTTGCGGGGTGGGCTGGTGAGGCTGGAGGAGGAGACTTCCCGCGAGGCGGGAGGTGGTTTGGCTCGCTCCGAGGGGGAAGAGGCGGCTGATCCTCCTCCAGGAAGCTCAGGCGTGGCGCGGCCGAAACTGCGGATCATACCTGGGATGTGGTTGAGGGGGTTGAGGGTGTTGCCGAAATTGCGGACTGAGTCTAGCGGGGTTTGTGCGATTGGTGCGCCTGTGGGGGATGCTTGGGATGAGGGATTCGGTGATGGCTCGTCCTTCGTTGGAAGTGGCATGGTGCTGGATTTTCGGGAGCCTTGGGTTCGGGTGCTGTCTGCGCTTCGATCGCGCTGTGTTCGTTGCCCGCCTACTAGGCCCAGGAAGGTGTCTTCTGCTTTGGATCCGATCCGTCTAAGCTGAGGCGCTGCGGGTCCTTTGGGGGGTTGATTCTCTTGGTCGGTAGCTGGGGATGTGATTAGGCGTCGGGCGTCGGCTAGCGTCTTCGGTACTACTGAGTTTTTTCCGTCGCTGCCAGGAAGGTCGCTGGATTGGAGTTCTTTTAGACGACCGAAGAGGAAGTTGAAGCTGGAATCTAGGGTTGCGCCGATGTTCTTTATGCTCTGGTCGGCGGTATTGCGGACGGCATCGTTGGCGGCACCGAGCACCTTTGACGGGGGTTGGAACAAGCTATTCAGGCGTCGTTGGCTCGATGTAGACAGCTGGGACCGGGGGAGCGTCTCTGCGGCTGTCTCTGTGCCGCCGGGTTTCGAAAACTCGGGCGACGACGCGACCTGCGTGACGGTAACCGTTGTTGTTTCCTTGTTTGCCATCTTCGGATCAAGGGGCTTTGGTACGTCGTTTGGCGATTTGGCTTGTCCGTCCTGCATGTCGTCGGCGCGAAGCTCGGATAGATCGACATTTTCTAAGAAGCTGATCGCCGCTTCGAGGTTGGTAAGGCAGTATGCTGTTTCACCGTCGACTTTACTGGCCGACCTGAACCGCTGTATGAAGAACAGGTTGCTAATGATGTTGATTCCCTCGGTGGGACACGTAACGAGGGAGTAGATCAAGGTCGGTAAGATCTCATCGGCCGAAGACGAAGATGGGAGCAATTTGGTCAAGGCGTCAACGATCGCCTTGTGCGCCGATGCAAGGTGGCGTAGCTTTCCCAAGGGGTACTTCTCATCGTTCATTCTCGCAAGAAAATCCCGGGCCACCGCCAGGCATTCGTCGGTCTCTTTCTGTTTGACTTCATCCACGGCTGCGATGTCGATGTCGATTCCGAGATCCTTGAGATTTATTCCAAGTAGAAGGAGGGCTGCCGTCTTTGAGCGTAGCTGTTCATCACGCGCCTCATCCAAGGTGCTCTTATGCCTCCAAATCCTGTTATATATGCTCTCACAGGCTCTCCGTTCGATAGCTTCCTCCAGAGCCACCTGTTTATGAGCAAGAAGCTTCCGCGCCGCTCTCCTCTCCGCCACTTCCGACGCGGTCAGCATCTGCCGGCTGGGGGTGTTGCCCGCATCCTTGTTCGCTTTGGTCTGGGTACTAGCACGGGAGCGTTGGTCGGGAGGGTATGGAGAAGGGTCACGGTGTATACGAGACGCGAGAGCCGATATGTGCGTTGCGATGTGCGATTCTGCTCGCTCGTAAAAGCCCTGGAAGAGGTCCGAGATTTGTTCGATGTTGGGAGGAGAAGCGTGTACTTTCGCGGTCAACGAGTTGACAAATCTGGTGGCACGAGGGATCAGTCACTGATTGAGACGTAACATGGGAAAATAGGATAAAATAGAAAAAGAAAAAAAGAGGGGGGGGGGAAGGTCACTACCTATCTGTTAAGCTAATCAACTCAATGGGTAATTCCTCTGGATCGTCCTCGACGTTTCGCGACAGCACGGAACCTTCCTCGCCTTGTTGCCCATCATCTGTAGCACCAGAATCAAAAGATCTTGATTTCTCAAACAAGTCAGGGCCAGCATCCTGACCTGCATCGTCATCAGTTAAGGGGATCGGAAGCGCATCCCCGTTGACAGGCTCAGGGACCGCCATCGACTGGACCGTCTTGGCCCTCACCCGAGAGAGCGGGCTGACGTCTGAACCATCATCCATCCTGGGAAAGGAGCGAGTGGAGTGTAGACGCGGGTGTGGCGGCGCATTGCCAGACCCATTCAACGACATGGCGCTGCGAGAGAGAGGGTCTGCTGTCTGTATGGGACTTAACGCCTAAGTCGGACTTAGTGTCCCGCCACGGAAGTTCAGCTGATCGGTGCGTGCAGATCACGGCGTGACGGTCAGGAGAGCCCCACTGCGCCGGAGGAGCCACGTTGGACTATGGCAGAGTAAAAGAGAGACCGGGGGTGGGCTAGGGAATGAGAGTGAGCATCGTTCGAGGTAACGCTAACAACGAGAGTTGGCGAATATAAGATATCATAATCATGACAGGGTGGTATTGAGGACGGTAGGATGGAGACCCGCCGTCAACGCGACTGGGGGAGTCACGTGCACTCAGCGCTATCTGGTCTTGACGTAATCACGCATTTCCTGTGGTCTGGCCATTTCTCTCTGCTGTGGTTTTCTTGTGAATAACAGGGGCTTTACTGCTTGATAGGGATTTGGCTTCATGCTTTAATTGTCATAGTCAGATCATTACACCCTGCAGTTAAGTGATTACTACTGCTTATAAAAGCTTCAATTTCTATTTCCACCCGTCCTGCTTAGCAAGCACCTTGCCTCGAGTCCAGCAGGCACATCGCTACTAATCGGATGCCGATTTACCTGTTAACCAAGGGTCTTGTAAAAGCTCCTTGGCAGTCGCCCTCTCCTCAGGCATCCAGGTCAATGTCTTTCGGACAAACCGTAAAAAGCCCGTCTTATCCTCCAACCGAGTCTCAAGAGCCTCCATTGTCCGATGGTGGGGTATCGGGGCAAGACCCAGCCAGTTTCCTACCACAATGATCGTTAATATCGACATAAAAAAAAGGTTATAAGGTAGCGCACCATGCTCGTCCCAAAAATCGGCCCGTCTCTCTGGGATTTTGGCGAGAAACTCAGGAGGCGGCGGTCCTAACGCTGCGATGATTTGTGCCAAGTGAGCAGCATCGTAAAGATCCCCGTCCTCATCCCGTGCTGTGAAGAGTCTCCTGGACTCGAGAAGGTCCCAAGCCTGTATCAAGTACTGTCAGCTTGAGATGGGCAGGGCAACGCCTATGAGTGTGAACAATAGACGATAACATACGGTAAGGCCGACGCTCCAAATATCGACAGGGTAGCTCCACCCCACACGGCGAAGAGTCTCGGGGGCCCGATATTGCAACGGCATGATGTCGCCCCCATGGGGTCCTGGTCCTATCCTAGCCTCACCAAAATCCGACAATAGCATCGGCCCTACTTTGGGTCGGATGATGCGTGAGCGATATATAGACCGTGTCTGTGAAATTTGCTTGCGAGATACTGGAGACGAAAACTCCCCTTCCTCAAAAGCCTTTAGTATTTCGTTATCGTCAACTCCAAGGAGCATGTTTCCAGGATGGATATCTGTAATGCACATATTAACAGGATGTTTATGGAAGATGATGATATAAGAAGCGTTACCCGTGTGTACAACTTCTCCATAGGTGTGAAGGAAATCCACAGCTTTAAGAAGCTCAATAATGGCACCCTGAACAAATTCCTCGAAGAATCCATCCCGTTGGAAGAAGAACGATCGCATATCACGTAGGCTCATTTGCGCAGCTTCGAAGACAGAGACGACATGCAGTCCTTGCGGACCACTTACTTCGAAAGAATCGAACAGCCACCGGATGTTACCTCGTCCTCGGTGTGAGGTTTCCGCCATACGACGGGTGATGTGATCATAAACGACAAGTTCACGATGGACTAACGAGGTATGAACATACAACTTCAGCGCAACATACTGATGAGATCTGCACACATCAGCTAAGGATCATGGAGCAGATTGATGAATACTCACATCAGATCTCTAGCCAGCCAATTAGTCGACGAGGTACCAAAGCCAAGCTTGGTGATTATTTGATAACGACTTTGGAAAACCTCCCCGAGCGTTACTGGATAGAATCGGTCGGCTTTATAACCAGGCAATTCTTCCTCTTCGACTGGCTGGTCAATGTCGATCGTTTCAAAGCCTGTAGTGGGAAGCGCGCGTGGCTTTTCTGGAGTGTCTATCGCTGTTGGTTGAATAGAAGAATGGGTCGAGAATGGCATCAACGTGACCGTTGTCCATGGGGAAACCTTTGTTTTACGAAGCTGAACAGCTTTAGTACGTACACTTGGGCAAATATTGCTCGGTCTTAGGCCAGCTGCTAGAATAGGTAGTCGTCTCAAGGGTTTCATTGTTAGGAACCCAACATGGCAGTTATGGGTTATAGTAAACAAGTGTAGTCGTACGCGCCGTAAATTTACACTCCTGAGTATGCGTCATCCCTGCTTTACCCGCAACGCCTCCAACAATCAACAATATACCTCTAAACAGCTAAACTATCAAAAGCTCTTTCTAGCAATAGTGGAGTGCTATCATCTCTGTTATCACCACTAGCCATTCTCAGGCAGTAACACCATCGACGTCATTATGATAATGTTTTAATATACAGTCTCTTGATTCTGCCAATGACAACCTGAATAAGACGGGATGATCACTTTGCTGACCTGCAGGATAATATCAATAAAGCATTGGATCCGCCTATTAGGTAGATATAGGTATGCCCTGCAGTGTAAGTCTTGTTATTGCCACCCAATTTTAATCAATAACCATGATTTGGTTCCTTGTCGGATGTCATTGGCTGTCCGTGACGCTGCCCTGTCAGAGTGGAGGATGATATCATAACCTATCGTTCCATATAAAGATGGAGCAAATGCAGACAGTATCTTCAATAAGATCCATCTCCATCAATTCTATTCTTCATCAATTCTATTCTTCATCAATTCTATTCTTGAATTATCAATACTAGCAAGAGCAGAAGCTCAAGTCTCTTATTTAACACAATGTCCTCGAATAACGGCAACGATAACAAGAACCGTAAGTAGCCACTGACCTAGTCTATACAACCCAACATCCAACATCCACCATCCACCATCTACCATCCACCACCAGAAACTCCCCTGTTACCTTTGCACATGTCTTCAGTTATCAGAATACGAGTCATACGAATACCCCTTGCATATCTACATATTTCCTATTATTTTCTACCCCCATACACCCCCCACTCAAACCACACGTCATCGTCCATCGCTAACATCCAACTCAGCCGGTCTTCTGGGAGGCCTCGGAAACACGCTCGGCCAAACCGTACAAGGCACAACAAGCACACTGGGCACGGTGGTGGGTGGAGTAGGCAAGACAGCCGGTGGAGCGGCCGAAAACCTGGGGAAGACGGTTTCCGGCGCTACCGAGGGAATCGGCAACACGTCCAGCAACGTGGGCAAATCGGCGGGGGAGACTCTGGGTGCTGGAGGGAAGAAAGAATAATTGGTCTGTTTGGGTTGTGTTTTGTTTTCGGAATGTATGATTAGTTAGATTGACAGGGGGTTCAATTCTTGGAGTCTATAAGTTATGCGATCTTATCTTAAACACTATCTTGCATATTTGTCGATCCGTATTAAACTTGGGGCATGTCTGCAGGGGATATATCCTAGGGAGTATATCCTGCATGAGGAGGGACATCAAGGCGTCATACGTAGATAGGGGAATATAATTCTGTCCCTATTTTTTATTTTATTTGCGGATCTTTCTCTCGGTCGAGTGTCTAATAATAAAAGAAGGGAAGAGTTCACCATCTTTATGGAATGTTATCAATATTGTAAGGAATAGAAGCAGCACGTGCCTTCATAGTCAATAGAGTCAAGAGGCAAATATGCGACTTCAACTGTCACAAGATGCGGTCTGACTGAGTTTCGGCTTTCGCCGAAGATACCCTCCCAACCTATAAGATCGAAGATGTTCAATATGGCAACAGAAGACAGTGGAAGATATCACGGTCGTCTAATTCCATACCGAGGAGCTCTAAGCGAGGTTGAAGGCGAATTTGGGAATGATAGGCTGCCACTATACTCAACCATCCTATTTGGGAAAAGCAAGAAAGGAAGGGAAATGAAAGGAATGGAAGAGAAGAGAGAGAAAAAAACTCAGTCGGGATAGTCAGGGATTAACGGAACTAAAAGAAAGCAAGGAGTGAAAGGGTTCTTCTAGTGGTGAGACACGCATTGACTTCTTCCAACTGTCTTTCACCGTCAGCCTGTCATACTCTTAACATCCCATTCACACATTCACACATGTTACCCAGATATTCACACATCTACTCCGTACCTCTGGCAGACCCAGAAACAGTCACTCGACAGGGAACAAATAAACTAACGGCTAATGCTTCTCTCTTCAATAGGCTAACTGTTCCCCGCATCTGCACCCCCAGTCCTCGTGTCGGATGCTCGGGTTGCATTGGAGACGGGTCGGGGACTAGCGTTCAAGCCTTTCCTTTTCCTCCCATCGTCTCATCCTGCACCATCCAGTCCACATGTCGGATCCAGGGATTTCTTAAATACATCGGTTATTGACTCTGGAACGTGCGGACGATGTGCCTGGGTGCAAGTGGAGACTGGTTCTGGGACTCCGCTACGAAAGGGCCTCTTCCCCTATTAAAGAAGCCCCGCCGCCTCCATAAAAAATCTTGAATGTCTGGCAACTCAGTCCCACTCTGTCCACGCCGGGTCCCGAAGATTTGAATTACTCGACCGGGCCAAACCTCTTCTCTACTTTTCTTTTTCTGGGCTCTAGCCTTTCGGTCAATCTTCTAGCCACACGGCCGTTGAACACTCAATTCGAGCCCACCCCGCCCGCTCACCAGCCCGGTCTCCTTTTCTCCCTCCGCACTGCTTGGGGACCGCAATCTACCCTCGCCATGGCTTCCACCAAGGCGGACGATGTCGTCCAGCCGGCGTACGACTCGACGCCGCCCTCTGCGAAAGATCGGCGGGATTCGACCTCCTCCGTGGCCAAGGTCATTGAAAATGCAAAGGCGGCCACGGAAAAGGAACGGAATATGACCCTGTTACAGGGGATCAAGACCTACCCCAAGGCCGTCGCCTGGAGCGTCCTCATTTCCACCTGTATCGTCATGGAAGGCTACGATATTAGTCTAGTCAACAATTTCTACGCCTTTGACCAGTTCAATCGCAAGTACGGTGAACTGACATCGAAAGGAGAGTACGAAGTGCCAGCGCGGGTATGTCTTTTCCCCCCTTTCACTCTCTACCCCTATTCCGGATTGCGATGCGCTTGGACGAACACCGTTCGCTGACTCCTCCTCTACCATAGTGGCAAGCCGGTCTCAGCAACGGAGCGTACGTCGGAGAAATCATCGGCCTCTTCATCAACGGTTGGGCGTCGGAACGCTTCGGATACCGCTACACCCTGATCGCCTGTCTCATTTTGATCACCGCGTGGACCGCAATCTTCTTCACCGCCCCCAACGTGCAAGCGCTGCTCGCCGCCGAGATCCTCGCGGGTATCCCCTGGGGCGTCTTCCAGACGCTGACCGTCACCTACGCGTCCGAGGTCTGCCCCGTTGCGCTGCGCGGGTATCTGACCACCTATGTCAACTTCTGCTGGGGTCTGGGACAGCTGATCGGGGTGGGAGTGATCAAGGCCATGATCCCCCGCACCGACGAATGGGCTTATCGGATCCCGTACGGTCTGCAATGGATGTGGCCGGCGCCGCTCCTCGTTGGGATAGCCCTCGCCCCCGAGTCCCCCTGGTGGCTCGTCCGCAAAGGCAAAGCGCAAAAAGCCAAGCAAGCCCTGCTCCGACTGACGAGCGTCAACCGCGAGTCCGACTTCGACGCCGACGAAACCATCGCCATGATGGTCCACACCACGGCCCTCGAGAAGCAAATCACCCACGGCGCCAGCTACATGGACTGCTTCCGCGGCACCGACCGCCGCCGCACCGAGATCGTCTGCATGGTCTGGGCGATCCAGAACCTCAGCGGCAACACCTTCTCCAACTACTCGACGTACTTCTTCAAGCAGGCCGGCCTCGACCCGACCAAGGCCTACGCCTTCGCCATGGGCCAATACGCCATCAACATGGCGGGCGTCTTCGGCGCCTGGTTCCTCATGACCATCGGGCTCGGCCGCCGCACCCTCTACCTCTACGGCCTGTGCGGCCTCTGCGTCATGCTCATCGTCATGGGCTTCCTCGGCCTCGTCCCCGACGAACACCGCGACCAGAGCGCTCTCGCGACCGGCTCCATGATGCTCATCTGGGCCATGTTCTACCAGCTTACCGTCGGCACAGTCGCGTACTCCCTCGTCGCAGAGTTCTCCACCCGCCGGCTGCAAATCAAGACCGTCGTGCTCGGCCGCAACCTCTACAACGTTGTGGCCATTATCTGCGGCGTCCTCACCCCCTACATGCTCAACCCGGACGCGTGGGACTGGGGCAACTACGCCGGCTTCTTCTGGGGCGGCATCTGCTTCTGCTGCATCGTGTACACCTACTTCCGTGTCCCTGAGCCGATGGGCCGCTCCTTCGCGGAGCTGGATCTGCTCTTCGAGCGGAATGTCAGCGCGCGGAAGTTTGCGAGCACCTCTGTCGATGTCTTTGATGAGACAATTGAGAACACCACGCTGCCGGATTATTTGGCGCAGAAGGAGGGCGTCGATGTTACGACTTCGGAGAAGAGGTCTGCTGTTTGATGGGTTTACCTGGTTAATACTGTCTGGGAAAGGGAAATATTACTTAATACTCTTGTATATATCTAATAACGAATACGATTGACGCTTTATGATCTACTGTTGTTTGTTGAGTGTATTTATGCGTTTCCACGTTAGTACTGCATATAGTAGATATCATATCTGAGTATATTCATTCAGCTAGATAACAGGTTCCTGGCAATCCGCCAGCGGAATCTACTCATGGGACCACTCGGGCTTCTTCTTCTCAGCGAAGGCGGTCATTCCTGAAGTCAAAGTCAGCACTGGCCCTGGCCCTGGTCCGTTATAAAATTCGCAGATCGGGGTAAAGAAAGACCTACCAATCTTCTGATCCTTACTCCCAAACAACCCATGGAAAATCCGTCTCTCAAACTCCACCCCCTCCCTCAGCGACAACTCCTGACTCTTATTGACAGCCTCCTTGCCAGCAAGAACCGCCACACGGCTATAGCTGGCAATCGTCTCAGCCGTCTTAACAGCCTCCTGCAGCAACTCCTCCAACCCCCCCTCAACAACCTTAGCAGCAACCCCCCACTCACCAGCCTCCTTCCCGCTGAAGTTCTTGCCCGTCAGGATCAACTCCATCGCCTTGCTCTTGCCCACCGCGGCCGTCAACCGCTGCGAGCCGCCCGCGCCCGGGATAACACCCAGCTTGATCTCGGGCTGTCCGAAAGTGGCCTTCTCCGTGCAGTACAGGATGTCGCACATGAGGGCCAGCTCGCAGCCGCCGCCGAGGGCGTAGCCGGAGACGGCGGCGATGACGGGCTTGCGGATGCTGTTGGCGAGGTGGGACCAGGGGGCGATGAAGTTCGAGCTGTAGGCCGAGGAGAAGGTTAGGGGCGCCATTTCCTTGATATCCGCTCCCGCTGTATATCCGATGCGTTAGCTTTCCGGTGCCCTATTGCCGAGGTAATGTTGGGGGTGGGATTTGGGGGGGGGGGAGGGACGCACCGGCGAAGGCCTTCTCGCTGCCTGTGATGACGATCGCGCCGATGTCCTTGTCTTCGTCGTATTTGGTGAGGGCGTCGTTGATTTCCTTGAAGAGGGGGCTGGAGAGGGCGTTGAGGGCTTTCGGGCGGTTTAGGGTGACTGTCGTGGACATGTAAGTATTCAATTCTTTCCCCAGAGTATGTGCTTCAGATGAATCGTAGTACAATAAGGGCACTACATACTCTGTCCTACACCAGGCTTAGGAGTCGACGTGAGGATGTGCTCGTAGCTCGAAGCCGCGGAGGAGTAGGGTCTCGCGCGGGCGAGGTAGGAGGTCAAAGGGATGGCGGTCCGGGAGGACACCAGACGGGAGCACTGTCGGGCGAACATTATGAGAGGATATAAAATCAATTGATAGGCTAATTGGAGTAGATGCGGTCAAAATACAAGGTCTCGAGGAGATGCAGAAGTTAAGAAGGTTTTACCCTATATGTAGCATGCGGATGGGGGCTGCGGAACTACCGAGCTATGACGCTCCCCGCACGCCGACGGGAACCGAGCTGCTTCATGGTGGTTGATCACGACACTCGAGTCCTGGATTATCAGTTGCTCCTTTCGGACTGCTACGTAGAACACCTTGTACATGCTTAGGATATTTACATGACTACCATAATGGTCTCAATTACCTGTCAACAGTGTGATGCTGCAATCATGTTCGGAAGAATGGATGCACGTGAATCTACAACAGCTGAGTCAGTAATTAGTAATAGTATATGCAAACAATGCAATACATGCAAACCATACAAGATACACAAACAATGCATAGTTTATTGGTGCCTTGCCCCTTGGCTCAAAAGGGTTTAGCGGCACTACGCTGACCGTGGCCGCAGCAGTGGACACTTTTCCTGCGAAAGGACTCCATCGCCAGGTATCGATCTATCTACTATCTGTCGCGCCCCTCCTCTCACTCCTTCTTCTGTGATTAAGGAACTCCGCTGTCTATTATACGGTACATGCGCGCTGGTTAGCAGAGTGTACTCGTTCTTTTCTTGTTATCGGTCATTTATTCGCCCGCGCTTCACAATGGATGTTCCTGAGCCCGAACAGACCCCGTTCACTGCGGTGACGGCGCAGACTTCGAAGATCACCAGGGTGGGTTACACTTTTTGATGGTGTCCGAGGCTGTCAGACAAAGAGACTGGATATTGCGGCTCAGTCGAGGGTGGAACAAACCGTACTGATTGATCTTCGTTCACAGAAATACCAAGCCTGCCTCGATGCTTCCACCCCGTTCACCACCTACCGTTGGGTAGGCACCGTCGTTCTCCTTCTCGTCTTCTTCTTGCGGATCGTCCTGGTCCAGGGATGGTATATTGGTATGCAGACACATATTCCACCGGATACACCCAACGGTCAACATCAGACAAGACGCGATCTCTAACGGTAAAACAGTGGCGTACACGCTCGGTATCTACCTCCTCAACCTGTTCCTCCTCTTCCTCCAGCCCAAGTTCGATCCCTCCCTCACACACGACGAGGGCCTCGAAGACGGCGACGCCGCGGCCAGCCTGCCCACGAAGCAGGATGAGGAGTTCCGGCCCTTCATTCGCCGCCTGCCTGAGTTCAAGTTCTGGCACTCGGCTACCAGGGCCATCGCCATCGCTTTCCTGTGCTCGTGGTTCGCTTTCTTCGATATCCCCGTTTTCTGGCCTGTTCTGGTCATGTACTGGATTATCCTTTTCGTCTTGACCAGTATGTTCTTTCCCTTCAGCCCGGCCTAATCTGGGCTATGCCCAGAGACAGCTGCTAACTACAATTCCTTTTCCAGTGCGCCGCCAGATCCAGCACATGATCAAGTACCGCTACGTGCCCTTCTCGTTCGGCAAGACGCGGTACGGTCAGGCATAATGGTCGACTGGATCTATTTCTCTTTTCCAGCCGTCCTTTCCTTCCAACCAACCGACCTATTCTTGAATTCTTATACCTGGTAAAACCATACCTTGTACGACTCGCCACGCTGTCCATTTCGATTCTCCTCGCCCACCCGCTCACCCGCCCCACCCAAATGACGGATCGCAAATGGCTGGGGACTGACTGACCGGTGGAGTCGAGGAAGGAACTTAACCAAACTCTAGACGCTTCTAATTACTGATGAATCGTGTACTCAACATCCCATCTATCTCATGAACACTACTTTATTTATCTATGTACAGAACCTTTTAGTCCTGCCTTATTTTATTTTCTGTTTTTCTCATATCATATCATATCTTATATCTTAATGTTGGTTGGTTCTTCGCTGTTCTGAGGAGAGCGGTCATGTGTTGTTGTATTACACATATATTTGTTTCAGCATACCTATGACATAGACAAAATTGATCTGTACGATATGACGTATACCCCTTTATCATAATATGAAGTGTTGTCGGTGTTTACGTGGCTATAAATCCAATGTCGGGTTGTATTTTATGGAAGTCTAGCTCTTCGTGGCTCTTGAGATAGTAGAACGATCCATACCATGGTTTTGGAAATCTGTACATACCATCTACCGTTGATTCCGTTCTCAAGATACGCCATGAATAGAAAGTACTAAATAGATAACAAGAATAGTGAAAACATAACTTCATCGGGATATCAAATCTCTCTTTAACCAAGAACCAAGAACCAAAAACCAACGAAAGAACACACGAGCCAATAGTAAGCACAACAAATAAGACCGATAACGCGAATCACACCGTAGAAACACCTTCTAAAGAACCTCAAATCTCAAGATGCTCCACAGACATCGCCCTCTGAGGCGTCTCCTCGACATCTCTAACCTTCGTGCATATCCACGTCGAAGCATACATATTAACACTGTGAACAGCCACGTTAGAAACCACCCACAAAGCCAAATAGCCAACATAAAGAGTGGGAAAGAAGGAACATACCGATCAATACAGCTCCCCGGGAAGCGAGCGCCCACACGACGCGCAGCAAACCCGTTCTGCTCGAACCGCTGAATATACCAGGGTTCGATGCTGGCTGAGCGCAGTAAGATGCGGCCGCCTGTTTTGAGCGCGTGGTTGAGCTTTTGGGTTTGGATGGAGGCGTCTGTGCTGGATGGGTCGAACCAGTCCATTGAGTCCATGATCTGGAAATTGTGGTTAGTGTGAGTGGCTGGTTTGGGAAGGGGGGAGGGGTAGGGCTTACCACGGCGATGGTTAGACTCTTGGGGGTGATTCGCTTGATGACTTCGTTGATTTCGTCGGTGTGGATGCGGAGGCTGTCGAAGGCGCCTGGGGAGGAGAGTCTTGAGTGGGTTCTTGGGGATAGGTAGGTGGGGTGGCATCTAATGGGTGTGTCAGTGTGTGGTTCATAGAGCTGTCGGTGGGAGGGAATGCTCACTTTTGGGAGAATTGGCCCTGCAGGCACAGGAAATAAAAATAGTTGTCGTTGCTGATAAGGGTGTCGTTGACGACTGGGTCCAGAGTATTGACCACATACTCCCAGATAGACTGGCCACTGACATCCTTCGCTTGCTTCTCATCCCCCGACAGCCCATTACGCTTGTAGTAGTCGTCGAGGATCATGTTCCGCTGGTTACGGGGAACGCCCGCAGCCTTCCATGCAAACCACTCGGTTCCGACCACGGCCCAGTGGAGAGGCTTGCTCATGAGAACTGAGCGGATGCGGGGCCAGATTTCGCGCTGCTCAGCGATGGTTTGCGCCTCGACGAGCTTTTGCACCTGGCTCTGCAGACCGAAGAGTGTGAAGAGGTGGCGGACCATCTTGATGGCGTGGCGTGAGCCTCCGGTCTCGTAGAGTCCCTTGCCGGACTTGGATGTGAAGACGTGCGTGTGCTCCAGCCAGTATTGGAAGGCTTGGCTGGACAGGTGAGGGCTGAGCTTGGATATCAGAAGCTGGCGGAAATCGGAGTGCTTGCCCTCGCCGAAGATCTTCCATGTGTCTCGGTAACCCAGTGCCTCGAAGCTGGCAACCTTTAGCTCAAGTAGGTGGTTCTGGTTTGGGTTGAGGTCGACTGCGTGCACTCGGCGAGGGCTTTTTTGGAGGTAGTCCAGGATGTTGTCTCCTGCGCTGGTGATGGCCAAGATGACGTCGTCGCGTTGGATATTTAGCAGTCGGTGGTCAACGCGGGGGTCTTCCCAGGTGAATGCGTAGATGTACTCGTTTCCAAACTGGGTATGCTTTGGAAGCAGGTCATTGTAGAAGATCCGGTAGTGGTGGTTCTGGTAGAAAGCAGAGGGGAGTGGTAGATTTGAGCCCAGGTTTATGACAGCTGATTCGTAAGCCTTAGAGCGAATCTCGCACGCACTCTTCTCTTCCGCTTTTTCCACCCCCTTGCGATGGTCGGCAGGAGAGAGATAAGGCGATTCTGTGAAAGAAGCGTCCAGTTTTTCAATAGAGTCATGTCCAGAGTTGCACGACCGAATATCTTTCTGGCATCCAACGAAGATGTAGTATGGAATGCCTCCCAGAAGATAGTTTCTCTCGCTGGCGGAGATGACCGTTCCAAAGCGGTATTCCAGGTAGTCTCTTCGAGCGGCCTCGAGGCTCACACGATCGACGTCGAACCATGCGCGCCAGAAGACCCGACCAAGCCAGTTGACGTGGCGGTTGAAGGCGCCTCCGATATAGTTGCGAGAAGACACGTCGACGATGCTTTGCACTGTTCCACTTGTTAGCACCTGCAGCTTCTTGAACTTGGTACAACCTACCATAAAAATCGCAGACTCCCAAGAGACCGGACGGCTTCATTAGATCCGTCAACGAATCGACGACGTTGTAATAATCTATCACGTGTAAGCATACTCACCGGAAGAGATGTTATAGAATGTATACCTGGTATCATCGACAAGCTATAGCTCATAGTGACCAAATCTGCACCAACGGATGGTGATGCACGAGGGTCGACATTGTCTTCGTCTGGTAAGCGGAAGGATCCCGCATTCTGACAGACAACAGTAACATTTTTCCAACCCAATCGCTGGAATCGTTCACGGGCGACTTCGCAAAGGGAGGGCGAAAGATCGACGAGATAGACATGGGAGAAAAATTGTGGGACAGGCAGGAATGTCGACATGGCCTCGATATTGTATCTAGTATGTCGTCAGTCGATTTGTCCGTGTCGAGCCAATTGCCTCTTCGAAAGCTTACCCAGTGCCTCCACCAATCTAGTCATGAGTCAGTATTGGCTCTTTTTCCACAGGGGGTGATGGTATCTTACATCGACCCAGACGGCCTCTCCAGCTCGAAGCTCCTTGTTATTCACCTTGTATCTCAATTGAGCAGCAGTGAGACCAAGCATATCCTCTCGACCACATAAAAGACGCTTGCGGGTCGCATCGTATACGCCAGCCTGTTCAGTCAATCAAGGAGTCCTACAAGCCATACCCAGGGCAGTCCATACCTGTGTCTTGTAGAAGCTCTCCAATGCATCCTGTTGGCTTTCTCCACCTTTGTCATGTGGTTTGAGGAACGTTGCGTAGGCAAACTTGAGGTATGTAAAGATCCCGCTGTTGTGGTCGAGTTTCTGCTTTCTGGCCGACAACAGAAAGACAGTGACAACCAATGCGCATACTAAGAAGGCAGTGGCAGCGCAGTACACGTGAAGCCGGTCCAAACGGGCTAATAATGCACCGGCAGGACTGTTGCTGAGGAGATCCATGGTAGTTGAAGTTAACCAAGAGAAGAACCAATTTCACCTGGCAGGCAAATTGACAAACGGATAGCCACACCAGGCTCGAGGGGAATAGCGGCTTCTTTAATCAAACGCAGCGATTGTAAAGACAGCCATCAACTGCTTCCCCACCATGACCACACTATCACAAAGGCTGGCTCCGAGCCTGAAGACAGTGCCCCCAGACCCTATCAAGACGACACATGGCTTGGGTCTGATTAGAAGCACTGGCTCAATAGCAGGGAATTGAATCATTGGATGCGGGGAGAGTGAGAAGCAGATCGCCTTGTGCATGCCCCATCTGTTCCACGGACCCTCTGGGTCAATGATGTACTGAGATCATAGGGTTTGGTGAAGGACCCATTTCCTGAAGCGATCATCTTCAGTATTCAATTAGCAATGTTGGAGGTTATTGCGACGGAGACTCAATCCGCTAGGACAACCTAAAAAGCTAGCCCAGCCAGCAAGTAAGAGCATGTAATACCAACATGTGTGGACAAGCAGTGGATCTCGAGTTCGATCTGCGTGGAGAAAGTGGGAGTTGGGGCCGGACTGATATGCATTCCGTTGTATGTGTGGGTCGGCCAATCAACAGCCCCGTTGCTTGCACACTTTGGCTACGCGACTGTCTGCGGTCTGTTAGAATATTGGACCAGCTCAGGGGCAGTGTTGTTGAATGCTCATGATAATTATAGTAAGTAAATCAAATCGTAATTCCAACGGCACGTGGGCTCATCTGCGTCTGCTTTCCGTCTGCGTAATCGCCTACGCCCTGCGATTCACTACAAGTCTCTACTTGTAGATACAAAATAGACCTTGCAGTCGTCACCCAGATTCAAGAGGCCAGAAATCTTTATATACTAAAGGATGTTCTTCCATTGCAGGTAGCTGGAAACAGCAAGCCTTACCTTCAGACTCGACATGAACGTATGCAGCCCGTTTATTTGGCCACCATCCGTGGACCAAGACAAATCGACACATTCAACAGCATGTCGCAATTCGAGACACTTACTCTGGTATCTTCACAACAGCACGTCCATCAATCTCAGACCGTCCAAGGCGTTGCAACACATCGCTGATACAATCAAAATCGAACCTCTCGATATGTGCCGACACTTCTCCCCGAACAGCCATTTCCATCAACTCATCCATCTCCTTTGCAGTACCGGCCGAATTCCCCACAATCGTGAGACCTATGCAAACATCAGCCTAGTTGAGTCTACTCAATTTATTGATTCCTTACCTTTGACAATCATATCAAATGGAGTCGCTGGTAGTCTAAATGGTGCACTGGGAATTCCAACGCAGACAAGAACTCCCAGGCTTCGAAGCAATCGCATGCTCTGCGTATAAGCCGCTTCGTTGTTGGCTGTACAGATGACGGCGTGGGCACCATATCCGGAAGTCAAGGATTTTACTCCAGCTTCAACGTCGTCGACCTTGTAGTCGAGAAAGCTTGTGGCGCCGAGGGCAAGACACAATTCTTTTTTCTTTTCGCCACTGCGAGATGGACAGGTTAGGTATGGGAACTATATGAAGATGAGGCGACGAACCTATCAATCGCGATCACTTTCAGTCCCTTTTTGACGGCGATCTGAACCCCCCTGTTGCAATATTAGCAGGAGACCTATACACAAACAGCTGGCATCAACATACATATGTCCTAGACCTCCACCAGCGCCGGGAAGCACGATCCAGTCTCCTGGGCGGGTCTTGGTTTTGAGAATTGACGAATACATCGCAATCCCAGCTGACAACAAAGTTAGTACAGAATACTGTCATCTCAAAGAAGAATTCAACTCGTAACATACCACAAAGCAGCGGCGCGGCCACATCAGGCTCCAGCTCCGAGGGGATCTTCGTTACATGGATCGCTGGGCTGACAAGGTATTCTAGAAAAGGTAAGATACCAATCATGTAAGTCAAGAAAAGTCAATCCTTACGTTGGAATGTCCCTGGTACGTTCTGTGTCCTGTCAGAGCTTCTGATTGCAAGTTCATCCAACAGCAAATTTAGAATAGGATTGGAAACATACTGCACCCGCATTCTTCTGCGACGGACACGCCGTGTTGTTAACCGCGCAGATCTCACAGTTCAAGCAAGAGCTATACAGCCATCTGCTTTTGGTCAGCACCAAGGCACCTAAGCCTCTTCAATGGATGAGTGGGTAATGTGACCTGATTCCAACTCTCTTCCCCATCCACTCCTGCTCATTGACTCCAGCCCCGACTATAAATCACATTAGCATGTCCAGCATTAAAAGTAGAACCATGACCATAATCATCATTATAAATATGTCTCAAGGACGTCAAGTAAAACAGTACCTTTCACCACCTTCCCCACCCCCTCATGCCCCGCCACATCCGTCAACATGGGCGTCTCCCCACGAACACTATGCACATCCGAATGGCATATCCCAGAGAACTCCAGTTTCACCAGAATCTCCCCCTCTGCAGGCAATGGCACAGGGTGTTCCTTTTTGATCTCCAATTGAGCTGCCGCAGTCGCCCCGGTGGAGGGGAGCACCGCTGCAATCTGGGTCTGGGGAATCGCCATGGTGTAGTTGAAGTGCGGGGTTAGATGGAGATGATGCCGGGTGCCGAGATGGGGGATTGGGGTTTCTTTCGTAAAAGGGAAGGGAATATCGTCGGGTTTGGTCGGCGTGAAACTTCAACCTGATTGTTTGTCGACAAGTACAGAACGCGAAATAAGGGCTGTGAGATGTGTACGATGCGAACAATGGTCTTGAAGATGGATAAGATACCCCAGGAAGATACGATTGTCCAGGTAGATAAATAAGTACTACCTAGGTGATCCTGCCAGTAGTAGATAGTACTAGGCTATACTAGCACTCGGCGATAACAACCAATTAACAAGATAAGTACTCTCTAATCCGTACTTATCGGCATATCGCTAGATATCACATCCATGATACTGTCCTATCTCACCAGATAAGGAGAATGCTTATCTCAAAGCTGTTGAATCACTAGGTATCAGAAATCTATTCTCATTTGATCTGTGTAGGTTGGGCGGTATATTGAAAGCCATGGCTGCCATTCTTCAATTTACAAACCAGCCATGGCAATGATGTCAGAAAGGATATGACAGCCCTGCACCCCGTACAAGAAGCAGCTCCCCGGATGAAAAAGTAGGTAGAAAAGAAGACCATGATACTCAACCCCGAATGCGCTCGAACAATGCAAAAGGTGACCACAACATATTCGGCTCAAGAAGTTTCTGCCAAAACCACCATTCCCTAGACCCCCATGCCATACCGAGTCAAGAAGCTGGACATCATCATCGAATCAATTAAAAAATTATGCTAGTCTCAAAACCCAGGAATCAAAAGGTATACAGTATAAATGACATGACTCTGTCTGGCGCGACAGCGTCCGAATTGTAAAGGAAGAGAAAAGAGGTATCTCAGGCGGTGGAAGAATGCATGCCCAGGACCTCGGTGGAAGTGAGTTGCGCAGTATATCAAAAAAGGGGTTCTATAGCATGACACAAAGACGCCAGCGTTTATGCGTTTTCTGATTGAAGAGTTTGCTGTGGTTAAAAAGAGATAGGTTAGTACGGTAGTGAACAGCGGATGGAAACAAATGACACGTACCACCAACCAATCCATGCCTTCGTTTAGACCCTTGCCATCGATGGCAGAGCATGCGACAATACTCCAGTTTCTGTCTCGCAGCTCGCCCAGTTTCAAGGCCTCCGAGATCTCGCCAGCACCCTTGGCACCAGGTTGGTCTTGTTTATTGGCGAATACCAGCAAAGCCGCGTCGTGGAGTTCCTCCTCGTTCAGCATAGCCGCGAGCTCGTCGGCAGCTGTACCCAGTCGCTCAATGTCTGTAGAATCGATAACGAATATGACAGCAGCGGTGTTGGCGTAGTAGCACCGCCAGTAGGGTCGGATGGAAGTCTGGCCACCGAGATCCTGAACGAAAAGGACCATTAACTATTGCTCGCGATAGCCCACCGTGGCTATTGTACATCCGATATGACGGTGAACTTACCCAAACATTGAAATTCAGGTTCCGATAACTGACAGACTCGACGTTGAAGCCAATAGTCGGAATAGTGGTGACAACTTCGCCAATCTATCCCACCCAGCGTCATTAGCCTTCACTCTCACTTGGCATGTCCAGAAATCAGACAAAACACAAAGAGTCCCACATACCTTCAACCGATAAAGGAGTGTCGTTTTCCCGGCATTATCCTGGATAACAGTCCATCAGCTATGACGTTCCCAAGCCTCCTGGAGCCCAGCATATTCCCGTGACAAACATACAAGACCAAGGATCAGAATCCGAATCTCCTTTTTCGTCCAGAAAAAGGAAAGCAGGCGCGACAATGAGCCTCCCATGTTTAGTCTTGCGGTGGTAGAAACGCAGGTAGGTTGGTCCTGTGAGTGGCGGCCCTGGCGATGAACGACGGGAGGGAGTGCGGGATGCCTAGTCTGAGACGTTTAGAAACAGGAAACAGGGTGGCAGGTCTCGGTGTATGCTGATAAATCTGAGAGTAAGTTATCTGGTATCAGCACAAGAGTGCTTGGGTCGTCAATAAGAAAGATCAGAGGGTAATCAATAGGAATCCCGGTCTCGACAAGACAGATCAATCAATAATTAACCAACGTCCAACCTAGGGAGCTGACTAAATACGAGGGCGGTCTTGTGACAGTCATTGGCCCGCGGTCTTTCTGTGGTGCCGATCCACCTGGTCCAAGCGGGCTTGGGCTTTGTCGTTCGGGATGGGGATGGACCGGAGGGACTCTTGCGGTTATCGACGTCTCTGGGGGTGCTGCTATATCTACCGGCAATTCATTGATCAGCCCGAATTGACTGCGACTGCTGAAGTGCTTTTTCTGGATCGCACGAGCTCAATACCATCCTAATTCTCCTCCTTGATCTCCCCGCAGCAAGGCACGGCGTCTCCGGGCGCTCCCTCCGACTTTAGATAGAACGACATCTCCGACAACTTTCCTCCTTCTCCACCCGGCCTGTGTCTGTCATTCCGTCGATAATCAATCGCGACTTTCCCTCGATTGGAGGGTTTCTTCTGGAGGCTATACAGTCCCCCAGTTAGGGTATCCAAATTGATACAGCATTACCTACGCACCATGGTCGGAAAGAAATCGGGAAAGGCTCTCCTTCGGGATGAAGGTAAGAGTCGCAAGAAACGGGTGCCATTGTATTCGCGCTGACTTTGCGCTGCTTAACAGGCCTGGAACGAACGGATAACAATATGGAATTGTCAAACTGGCCTCAAGTCCCTGCGATCAACCAGAAGAACTACTATACGTACGTCCCCGTCCGCTCGCGGGTTTGAATCTGCGATTTTGCGAGTTCGTTGGCTGACCGATCGGTTCTTTGCTTCGACTACAGGGATTATCTAAAACGGGACGACCAGTATCTGGCATTCAGATTTCAGAATGAAGAAAATCGGAATCAGATGGCCAAAACGGCCAAGGATCGAGACCGTGCTCTGGCTATGGCCAAGGCAAATGACTTGGGCATTCCCGAGCCAGAGGCGGATGGCGATGGCGACACCAACATGGAAGATTCCGAAGAAGCTGCGGCAGAAACGGCTGGGTCCAAGGTTATCGTGATCCATGTCGGTAGCCAGAACTTGCGGATCGGACTGGCTAGCGATGCCTTACCGAAAACCGTCCCGATGGTGATTGCGCACAAGTCCACTACGAACGAGGCCGAGGATCACGAAGAACCATATCCCAAGCGGCAGAAGATGGACGATGGCTCTGAAATGGAGCCTGAGAAACAATTCGGTCCTGAGGTTCGTCATCAACGTCGGGCATCCTAGAATCCCACGACTAACCATGATCCTTCTTTCTACAGTTTGCATCACAATATACGACCATGTGTGCGGAATTGAAGACGCACATGCGACAGAACAAGCGCCGGACCCTGCCAAACTCAAAGGAAATGGTCATTAACTATAACCGAAGAACTGTCCCAGAGCCTATCTCCGAACACAATGATCCATTGCGCGTGGATTGGACCGAACTTTCGAATCCTCCGCCGGAACACATTGCAGGCCAACCGGCGCTCAGAATCCCAGACGAGTCGAAACCACGCTATAAACTTTATTGGCCGTTACGATATGGGTGGTGCAACGAAAGAGATTATAAGAGCAAACGACTCATGTTCCTGGACTTCTCGCTGATCCTGGAACATGCAATCCAGAGCCAGCTAGGCCTCACTAGCAAGAAGGAATGGCCACAGTACTCATGCGTCTTTGTCATCCCGGACCTGTATGAGAAAGCATATGTCTGCCAGATGCTGGAGATGCTGATGAAGGAGTTTGCGTTCGCCCGCGTCTGTTTCATCCAGGAGAGTCTCGCTGCCACCTTTGGGGCTGGGTTCACCTCGGCGTGTGTGGTCGACATTGGCGCGCAAAAGACGTCGATATGCTGTGTGGAAGAGGGAATGTGCATCGAGAACTCTCGCGTAAACCTGAAATACGGGGGCTCAGACGTGACAGAAACGTTCATCAAAATGATGCTTTATGATCATTTCCCTTACGCCGATATCAACCTGTGGCGGAGATACGATTATCTATTGGCGGAGGAGCTCAAGAAGAAGATCTGCACTATGAATGAAGCCAGCGTCTCAGTACAAGTGTTTGATTTCCACCTCCGCGTCGCTGGCCAGGACACGAGGAAATACGCCTTCAAGGCGTATGACGAGGTCCATCTAGCTCCCATGGGCTTTTTCCAGCCCTCCATATTTGACAATTCTTTGAAAATCAAGGACCGGAGAACTTTGATCTCCCCTTCAGTCGACATATACGATGGTCAGCCGAACGACCCGACGTCTGCAGCGCAGTCAGAGATTCTCTCTTTGGTTGCCCCTCCCACCGCTAGTACACAAGTGAATGGCGATTCGCAATCGAGTACACTGGACGTTCAATCGACACCAAGCCGTTCGCAGCCAGTCAACGCTCTCAGCCGCGTGCAGGAGCTGGAGGCCACTACGCCACGATCTTCTGTAGCTGGCTCCCCTGGGCCCGAAACCGTCGGCACGCCGCAGGCTGGGGGTGGTGGCACTTCAGGTGGCAGTCAAGCTCAGAATGCACCGCAGCGTCGTGTACCCACTGTGGAAGAACGGGATGATATTGTCCCTGTTTACCCCCTGGACAAAGCGATTCTCACGTCTATTGCACATGCCACTCGAAATGAAGAGCGCAAGATGCGAGATTTCCTTGGTGGAATCATGATCGTGGGGGGTGGAAGCCAGGTCAACGGCTTCCATGCATTCCTGGAGGAGCGTCTACAAGCTCTTCGGCCTGGGTTCGCTAAGGAGATCATGATTGGCACGCCTCCTAGAGATCTTGACCCCCAGGTGGTCGTCTGGAAGGGTGCCAGCATTTTTGGGAAGCTGAACTCAACCAACGATAGCTGGATTGGGCAGTTAGAGTATGACAGACTGGGGCATAGGTTGATGGCATACAAGTGCATGTGGTCTTATTAATCCGGTGCTTCATTGTTTACATGGTTGGTTTGAATCATATGATAAAGATAATAATGCTAGTCCTTGATATTATAGCTTTCATTCTAGCAAAGGCAAATGTTCACAATAGATGAATAGATGAATAGGATGGGACCTGAGCGCTTATTAAATGTGAGATGATCAATTCTCATTTCCAGAGTGCTCAGTGAATGAATTCATGCGAAATGAGTTATTTAGCAGTGTACTCCAGCCATTCCATGTTCTCTTACCTGCCTTCATCTGCCTGTCTTCTCCAACCTCTTAGTCACGTGAGTGCACTAGTCGTAAACAACAGGCGGTCAAGATGACAACCCCATCCACCCCAAGTTAGTTTATCCGCGCCCAGAGTGCTCTTCCAGGAACTTCAGTGATCTCTCTAATCATTTTCTCTCTGGCCTTCCAGAGCTGTGTCCATTCGATCTTAGTGAGGAAGGCGCTAGATCTCTTGTGTCAACATCGGATATCCCACCACTATATCTCTCCTCTTCGCGTACGTCGCAAAAAAATCTCACCGCAAAAGCTATCATAGATCGCTAACTGCCCTACCAATAGTGGCCATACCCTCTCCGTCTCCGTCTCCGTCTCCAGAGCCTCCCATTGTCTCGCGATATCTCACAGTCGGGGATTGTCTTGCGTCAGACATGTCGAAATCCAAGGATAGCAGCTCCTCCGGGGGCTTTCATCAGGAGTACATAGCGTCATTGCGCTATCGCAATGACCTACCTCCTCCTGATATGCCCCCGAAATTCTTGGATATTCCCCACGAAGGGCTAGAACGACTCCTCACACCGGGTTTTGCTTCGAACTTGGCTCGGCGCGAAGAACCGAACATCGACGTCGACGCGGAAGGCGGGATGCCAATTGACTTGGTTGGCATCCCGGGCCTTCATTTGGGCGACGAGAGTGGTATGCTGCCGGAATCCCGAGCTCTCCGTATGATTTGCGCCGGATGTTCAGCTAATTTACCGTGAAACTACAGCGATCATGGCTGCCGAGAACCCAGATCCTATCGACCCCGCCGATCTTCCCCTTCTGATGACGCTGGAGCAGCTGAAGAACCCCGCTCCGAAGAACGCGAACGTGAGCTTCTTGCGCCGCACACAGTACATCTCCGCCGGTGGTCGTGCACCGGAGGGCCCCAAGGTCACTCCGATTCGGCCTAAGCAGCGCCAGAACGATAAAGCGAAATCGCAAGACGATCCCGCCTACGTTAAGAAGTACATCCAGAAAGGATTCGATATCGCATACCCGGAGAGCAAGCATACGGGCGACGACACGGCGAGTAAGATCAAGGGCCACACCGCCACGAAAATTGAGCACGATGCATGGGCTACTCCAGTTCACCCTGATAATCCCAAGTTGAAGCCTGTTGGCTTCTACCCTCTCCTGCCCGACCTGCAAGGGTTTCCCGACCCTGGCGGTTTTGTTCAGTTCAAGTTCGACAAGGCACCGGTCCAGGATTTCTCTGGAAAGCGAGACAAGCGAATGGATGCTGCGGTCCTCCTCCCGTCGGCACCCGAGGAACGTGTCTGCCAAGAACACGCGACCAAGGTCACTTTGCATAAGACAAATCCCAAACTCTATCCCGATCCCGGCCCTATCCCGTGGGATTACGATCTGTTCTTACCTGAGAAGAGGGAATCGGCGAAGGATGTCCTGGCGAGCATGCACCTCCCCAATCCGGACCGCAACAACGAAGAGCTATATACCAACGAAGGACCCGATCATTCCAAGTTCCACCGTTACACACGCATCCGCACTTATGCGACCAGCGCACAGACTCTCGGGGCTGATAACAGGCAGAAAGACGTTGCGCTTACCCTTTTCGATCCCGCAGAATTGAAGGAAGGGCAGGCGAGCGAAGTATCGACGAAGCAGAAAGCCGCCTATTACTATCCAATCCTCGGAAAGACGCGTTTGAAGCCCGAGCGTGCACGTACCATTGCCCAAGCAGGTCTGGCACCGACGCTCCCCAAGACAAAAGAAGACCAAGTCGACCAGCTGCAAGTCGTGGTGCGCGACCCTGACGAAGCCGAGGTGTATAAGCGCGGTCTGTACAGAGCTGCCATTGACCCGAAATTTGCCAAAACGATGCCCCCGCCGCCTGAAGAGCCGGAGGAGGAGGCAGTCCAGGAGGCGGAGTCGCCTAGAGAGAATGAGGACAGAGATCACGAGACTGGCGCTGAGGAAGTGGACCGGATGAGTGACGAGTAGCGCATTCCCTCCTGTATATTCGAGTCAATGCCTTCTCAGGCTTACTCTTCTCCTTTTATTACTTTTACTTGAACACATTGGCTGTCCTCACGGTTTGCGACGTGCCATAGATAGCCCTTTGCATCTGCCTTTTTCTGCCGAAATGCTTGGGTTCATACTCTGCGTCCGCATCTACAGCGATGTTCAGGCTATCAGCGACGCACAAACCATATATTGAAACTGATTGGCAGTGGGCGATGAGGCAGCGGAACAAATCACTCACTGGTTACTGGCGTTGGGTGGCATACATGGAATGGAGTTTATAGCGAGGAAAACTGATCGTTGGATTGAGTCTCAATGATTTTGTATGTACCTGTGACAATCGCACAAAACTACATAGCATACCTTGTCATTATAGAACGTTGTCTTGAGGCGTGATCTATTCACACATTATTCCCAGGGAGAAATGGGCCAGTGCAGAGATGGACGTGGTGGTTGAGGCCTTACCGGTCTGGTGGTTTGGTGGCCTGGTGGGTGCCTTGATGATTCATATGATACCCCTTCTTCTCTCTTCTTTGTCTTCCATCCCTTCCAACTGTCTTCTGAAGGGTTGCATTCATCTGTTCAACACAATTGGCGACTCTCTGGACATTCATCCTGAGAGCCTAATGGATCCAGCGCTATTGTTGATACTCATTTGAGATCAGTGCATTCTCTTCCCAGCATTAGCAGCAGGAATCAATGATCACACCTCTACTTCCTATCTAGAGTCTCCCAAGTCCTATCCCTTGTCTGCTACCCTTGTTGCAGGAAGAATTGGTTCGAGACGACTATTGTGCCTAGATACTGGGCAGTATTGCCATAAAGTACCTATACCCGATGAGGAATAGCGTTCAGGAACAGGTCAATCAATCCGCATCATTCCCGAGAACGCGGCGATCTCCAACAACCAAGCCATTGTGTGCAACTTGCAGCACAAATCCTAAATTTTCACATAAATAGGCAAACCACTAGTATACCGGGTACGATAACATGATTACACATACCACCCATTGTGCTTTATATCTGGCTCGACGCGCTGGTTGACTATCCGTATCTAGTTATCAGCGTTGTATCGGCACTCATACTTCTACTTTACAACGAAATCAACAGCAGTGGCTGGAAAACCTAGTTATGGATGATCTCTCTCGCCCGGCTAAAAGACCTAGACTCTCTTCTTCTGCTACATCTTCCACGGAGAGTCGGAGTCCATCTCCACCGCAACCTCCCCGAGAACATGTGGCCTTAGCATCATTACATCGCTCTATCACACCCCCTCGCTCATCGTCCAACAACACCCCAAGACACCAAGAGAAAAGTCGTTCGACTTCAGAATCAATATTCCAGAATAACTCTAAACCCCAGGTTATACCTTCACCATTCCAACTCACCCATATCCGCGACCTGCCTCGCTCCAGCAATAACAATGTTGACACCATCGGGCTGCGTGATATACTAGGCGACCCCATGATCCGCGAGTGCTGGCAGTTCAATTATCTGTTCGACGTGGACTTCCTGATGAGTCAATTCGACGACGATGTGAGAGCTCTGGTGAAAGTGAAGGTTGTCCATGGATCGTGGAAGAGAGAGGCACCAAACCGGGTGCGCATCGATGTACGCCTCTTTCTTCTGCTAGCTTTCCTATTATATGCTATAGAGTGGATATCATGCTGTATGGCTAGGCTAACAGTCTCCAGGAAGCTTGTGCACGGTACCCGAATGCGGAGGCCATCGTGGCCTACATGCCTGAACCTTTCGGGACGCATCATTCCAAGATGATGGTCTTGTTGAGACATGATGATTTGGCTCAGTATGGTGTTCTATTGTTTGCTTCTTAACCCTTACTAACCTACTGCAGAGTCATTATCCACACTGCCAACATGATCCCGGGAGACTGGGCGAACATGTCTCAAGGCGTTTGGCGCTCGCCTCTCCTCCCTCTACGCAAGCCATCTACCCCAAACAATCCAGAACCCGAACATTCAGCTGCTTTTGGCGGCGGGTCTCGATTTAAAAGAGACCTTCTTGCCTATCTTCGAGAGTACGGGCAGAAGAAAACAGGCCCCCTGGTTGATCAGCTGGCACAGTATGATTTCAGCGCAGTTCGTGCGGCATTAGTGGCAAGTGTGCCATCGAAACAGAAGTTCGATGAGATGTCAGATTCCAAGAAGACGCTTTGGGGATGGCCGGCTTTGAAAAATGTGCTGCGCAGTATACCAATAGCAAGCCAGGGCAAATCAAGAACGACTCCGCATATTGTTACTCAGGTGTGCCTCACTCATACTTCCAGCTCTCCGGTTACACGGTGTATCCATATCATTTACTCACTCATACAGATCTCATCAGTCGCAACCCTCGGTCAACAAGACAAATGGCTCAAAGAAGTCTTCTTCGAATCTCTATCCGCAAGGACCTCACCAGCAGCCCAAAACCCAAAGTACTCCATCATCTTCCCAACAGCTGACGAAATCCGCCGTTCCCTGAACGGCTATGGCTCAGGAGGATCAATCCACATGAAACTGCAAAGCGCAGCACAGCAGAAACAGCTTGGATACATGCGACCCTATCTCTGCCACTGGGCCGGAGACCAGGCCAACGCGCAGAACAACCACCGTCTCCAAGACGCAGGCCGTCGTCGTGCTGCACCCCACATCAAAACTTACATCAGGTTCTCCAACACGGAGACCATGGACACCATCGACTGGGCGATGCTCACGTCCGCGAACCTCTCCACGCAAGCCTGGGGCGCCGCGGTGAACCGCAACGGCGAGGTCCGGATCTGCAGTTGGGAAATTGGGGTCCTGGTGTGGCCGGAGCTGCTGGCTGGGCCGGAGCCAGGTTCTCAATGCACACTCGTTCCCTGCTTCAAACGCGACGTGCCGGATGTTCTAGCGGGTAGTGGTAAGGATCCGCACGAGCAACAGTCAACCGTGATTGGACTCCGCATGCCCTACGACCTGCCCCTATCCCCGTACGCGTCAGGAACTGTCCCCTGGTGCGCTACCGCCGAGCACACCGAGCCCGACTGGCTGGGACAGACATGGCTGGTGGAGGACCCTTGACCCTACACCAACCGCTTCAATATCTCTTTAAACAGTATACACAATACACATACATATACATATACCCAAACCAAAACACGCCAATATGCTCATCAGATGTCTTAAGCCAAACTATCGGAGATATCATTTCTATCGGACATAGCCATATTCAAGCCTCCACATGTGGGTTCCTTATCCCTTCCATTCCTCAAACAGTATCGGTATGGCAATTAAGCGTCACGGGTTCCGATCTGCTCGATGAGCTTGCTGACCTCCTGGATGTAGAGGGCCTGGGCCCGGGCGGCGCTGATGTGGCTGATCTTCTCCCACGCGGCGTACTTGTACTTGGCCTTTAACAAAATCGTTAGACGACATGTAGATAGATAGGTAGATAGATGGAGAGAAGAAAAGAAAAGAAAGAAAGGGTAAAGCATACCTCAAGAGCAAACATGCCGGGCTTCTCAACCTTCTGTCCATGACCCTGCTTGAAGTACGCATACAGCTAAACAGAAACAGCGTCAGTCAAATCAACCCTAGTTATCCTTTATAACAACCACCTATATCCTCATCCCAACACCACACCACATATCCCCCGAAAAAATAAGGAAAGTAGGGAAGGGAAAAATACCGCCAACTTCTCATCCGTGCTCGGCTCCTTCTCCAACATCTTCACCAACGCAGCCGCAAACTCAAACCCAGCCTTCAGGGCCTTGCCCTGCTCGCCCTCAGCAGAGGCATCGTCGCCGCCGGCGAGAACAGCCTCGACGATAGCTTTCAGGAGGTCGGCGTTGACGGGGTCGGAGGCGGTTTGCACCTCGGGGGTGAACTTGGCCTTGGATTGGGCGAAGGAGAGGTTCGTGAGGAAGGGTTCGAGGGACATTTTGGCTGTGTTTTGTTTGTTTGTTTATTGATCGGTTGGTTGGAGTTTGTTTGTTTGTTGGTGTGTGGTGGTGGGTTTGGAAAGGTGTTAAGGTGGAGGGGAAGCGGAAGTTGAAGGGAAGGGAAGGGAAGTGGGGGATTTGGTGGGGTGGGGGAAATGACAACACTCTTTCATCCGGTCATTCACTCAACGTTGGGATTCGGCGCTGGATGGTAGCTTTACAACTCCACTAAGAGGTCACATGTGTGATCATTTGTAACACGGGGTGTTACTGATTCGTTCATTGTGTATATGTGTCTAATTATCGCAATATATTATGTCCAGTCCAGCGATCGATCCTGCGGTCCCAAGACCGGGTCATCACTATCTATATACATCATGCCCCCAAATGGTTAACCAACGCCACCTATGCAGACAAACAGTATCTCGCTGCCACAAATAAAAGAAAACTAAAATATGAAGCACAAGGGAAATGGCAGGAAATGTCCAAAGCTATTGAACTACCAATCCACAGCCCATCCGTTCTTGGTCAAGAACTCTTCGCACGCCGCCTTGAGCGCGTAGTTCGATCGGAGATCGTTGACTGTCATCGGTACCCGGGTTATGGGGTCGACTCCCGACTGCTGCACGTATTTCGTGATTCCGACGCGGTCGAAGCTGGTCCCTGATGGGGTGATGACTGGGTCGTGCATGATTTCGAAGGTGATGCCGTCGACGAGGTAGTCTGGAACAATCTGTAGCAAATGCCAGTTAGCCATGTCCTCTTTCCTCTTTCCTCAAAAGTAGATATTGAGTGCTTGATAGGGAGAAGAGTAATGGGGAGAGAGTTACCCGTTCTTGAACCTCCCCCTTGGACGCAATCCGGAACGCCTCGCGCACATTGTTTATGTTATTCTCGGCATCCTCCCGGAGAGCCTTTTGGTCCTCCCCACACCCAATCTCCCCGATCTCTCCGCGATTCAGCTTCTCCTGCAGCTCGCAGAGACCGCGGTTCAAGTCCGCCTCGATAAGCTGCTCCACGCTGCCGAGCGTCGCGTTGAGTTCGCGCAGGCGCGACGTCTCCTTCGCAGCCCAGATCTGCTGCTTCGCGCGCAACACGATCTTGGACAAATTCTCCGTCTGCGCATTCTGCGCCGCGAGACTGGCGCGGTAGCCGTCAATCGCCACATCGTAGGCCTCCTGCGGGCGCTGGAGTCCCACTAGCGCCTGCGCCAGGTACCAGCTACTCTTGAGACTGGCGGGGTTCTTGTGACCGCCGTAGAGTTCGATAGCGGCGCGCGCGTCGTGCTCCACGTCGGCCCATTTCTCGAGACGGATGCGAGTGAGCGCGCGATTCGTGAAAAAGGTGGGTTCGCGGGGATTTTTCTGGATCCTGTGATGGTGGAATTACCGAAAGAGGTCAGCCGGTTGGACTTTTTTGGTTTCTTTTCTTTTTTTTCTTTTTTTTCTCGGCTCGGAATGGAATTGGAATTGACAATCAATGGATCTTCGCGACAGCTTCACGGGATGTAACACCGGAGTTGCTTAACAGGGTACAACACTCACGCCTGGGAGTACAAGTCTTCCGCCCCGCTATAGTCACCCTCCTTGAAGAGCCGATTGCCCTTATCCTTCAGCTCGAATGACATAATAAAGGCGGGTACTTGAGATCTGGAACGGTCTGGAGCTGCAAAATGGTGCCGGTCACGCGTACGATGTTGGGAGACCCCTGAAGAGGTTGTTCCTTAGTCTTTCCCTTTCGGTTGTTCCGTGAAGTTCGCGGAGGGGGCCGGTCGAGAGTGGGGCACTTTTCTGCCGATGATCCACCACGATGCGTCAGGAAAGGATTCGTTGTCGGGACACGTGCGGCGAAAAGAAGAGCGCAAAGAACAGCGAAGGATGGCGCGTGAGCTTGAGAGTGGAGCTCAGGTAGAAGGGTGCAGGTCTATCGGCCGGATGAGTCGAGTTTGGTATGAGATCTCCTGGTGCTGATGCTCATATGACGCTCTAGAATTTCGTTATCTGGGGAAAACTGGCCTCCCGCTCGGGGTTCTGACTGTTCTCAAAGGATTAGAAGGACCAGAGCATGAAGATTCTTTCGACCCGACGATAGGACAAGGAAGGCGTTGCGCATTGCAGCCAGACCTGCTGGCTGGGTTGCTGTTCCAATTATACACGAGAAACCTGGATGAAGATCGAAGCGGATCGATCCCCACAGAATCGGCGGGTGAGTCAGCGTCCCGTTATTGCACTAGGAACTATACAGATATCGTGATCCTATTGAGTTGCTACGGTGTCAAATAAGAGAGTTTCAGTCGAGATAATAGTTTGTATTCTATATAGGTCTCATCCTATACTACATTAAGGAAGGAATTTGAACGGAGATCCGGCCAAGCATAATCATTCCGTCCGTCGCTTCGTGGTATCATAGATTCGTTTTGACGCAAAAGAAAAAAATGTGGAGAACAATATATCCAACGTCCGGACATGCCCAAAATAGAGATCCCGACGGAATACAGATGTCGATCATCAAGATTCACCGCCAGACAAAAGGATCCTTTGGATGAAGGAGGCAGGTGATGTTGGTTCGAGGTGGACCCCAGCACCATGGTTTCTTTTTTCTCCTTCTCTTTTTATTTGATTTTTCCAGTTGTGGGCTTTTTGACGATAGGGACGACTTAGGCCTTGCCAGCGAACTGGGCCTCGTAGTCGGAGATGGCCTGGACCTTGGAGGCCGAGGCGCTCTTGGGGTCAAAGCGGTAGGTCAACCACTCCGTGGCGAGCTTCTTCGCAAGCTCAATGCCGATGACACGCTGGCCCATGCAGAGGACCTGCGCGTCGTTGGAGAGGATAGAGCGCTCCACGGAGAAGGAGTCGTGGGCCGTGACGGCGCGGATGCCGGGAACCTTGTTGGCGGCGATGGCCACACCCAGACCGGTACCGCAGATGAAGAGACCGCGGTCAGCCTTGCCCTCGGCGATGAGTTTAGAACCGTCGACAGCAGGGTGAGGGTAGGCGGTCTTGTCGGAGGTCGAGTTGACACCGACGTCCTGGACAGAATCCACGAGGGGGTTCTTCTCCAGGATGGCTTTGATGGTCTCCTTGTAGGGCTGGCCGGCTTCGTCGCAGGCCATGACGATGCGGAGGGGCTTGAGGTCGGACATTGTGAAGATGAGTAGTGAGATGAGGATGAAAGGAGAGTTTTCTGGTTGTATAGAATGAGAGAAGACTGAAACTTGAGTCTGTGGATGAAGAATGAAGAGACAAGGGAGAAACCGTCAGCACAGGAGGGGAATTCAAGGACACTTTATAGTTGAGTTTCAACCCCTCTTCCCCAGTCCCGTTCCCTCGCGCGACCCGAACTTTGGAGGGGACCAGTGCTGATGGCGCATGGGGCATCAGGGGAGGAGAGGAGGCTATAGTGAGTGGCCAGTGGCTAGTCCCGTTCCGTGCATTTCAGCCAGTCGCGTCCAAGGTCTAAAACGCCCAGACGAGACTATCTTTCTAGTCCTTTAGTGAATGCTGCCTCCTGCGCAACATGCAACTTCGAATGAGACGGCTATTTCTCCACTGGCTGGGGAGAAGATCCAAACACGCAACTTGCGCCGGCTCGAGGAATCAGAGGCTTTGTTCGAGGCCGATTCCTGGTTATCGCTGCCCCACCATTGCGTCATACGCTCTGGTATCAAATGAGGAAGCGACAGCACGGGTTACAATTGCAGTGACTTTGACAAATTGAATCCAATGAGAGTGGCTGTTCATTTTCGATTCCCTTGCAGTGAATGAAGTGATGCGAATCGGACCGTTTAGGAGCCAAACAGCCTTCAGTTTAGGCTCACCGGACATTCACCTTCTGCTGCGACATGGGACAACGCCACCGCCGTAGGTGTGCATCAGCGGCATACAGATTACTCTTCTCGGGTTAATTACACCAGTCCAGTCTCCTGTCCTCGTCTATTGCTAGTCTGACAACTCCGAGGTGCTGGTGGAGCTTGTCTCTATAGCCCGCTATACCTCCCTAGCGCCTAGTGTCGGAGGCCCTATCACTAAAGCTCGGGAGTCCGGGGGCCTCGTATCAAACCGGTTTGAATGCGAGTGGCCTCATTTCACAGTTCGGGGCACAGCTCGCCGTGTATCCCTTCAACCCCTGCTATAAAAGAGAATGCTGATAATTGACTCCGATGGGTGGTATCCACCAATCGGACGCTTTCTTATCCCTTGCAAAAGACATATGAGCTAATTTCTGGCTTCAAAAGGAATCGCTCCCTGGAGAATGTTGCCGAGCATATACTAAAATAAGATGTGGTGGCTGTGGTTGAGAGAAATAGGTAGGTGATCCCTCATGGGTAGGAGCTCCAGAGTGGCCCAGCGGTCGTATCAAGTCGGGACAATCCTCTGTATGCTTGAGGTGCATCGACCGACGTGACACGCTACGGCAACCGAACCGGGACCAATAGACGAAAGCAATGGGGGAGAAGAAGCGTGTTGGGCAAGGGTCGACTGGCTCGTGCGGGCTGCGGGTCAGAGGATGCGCGCTCAACTTGATTATGAGGGTATTTCCGATTGACGATCCATGCATAATCATAGTCCTATCCAGTTTCCTTGGTGGGATGTGTGGCCGATTATCAGGTATATTACTATATGATGGTCGATCACCCCATCACACCCTCATCCAACGCCTCCATGACTCTTGTCGGGTCTCATCCTACAACCCAAAGAGATGAACATAATAGAAACCAGGCAGCACCAATAGTCCATGTCACCTACCAGTTCACTAGCACCTCCTGGTTATCTCCTAACACCATTTGAGAAACGATTCCATCCCGACTGACCCACTCCTGACCAAATGATTGGCGGGGGCCTGACTTCCGATCAATCATGGCAACGGCTTTAGAGTGACCTTCTGATTGGAATAGTTCGAGGGCGCATACTAGCCGATTCCCAAGTAGCCCGGATTGCTACTCCCTAACACCTAATACTTGGTTAGCCCCGTATTGGCACTGCGCTAGTCTAGGCCAGTCTCAGCGGGCTGCTCGGGAATGGCTTCATCCAGTCCAATTCCATCCAAGCCACCCCTCGGTTTCATGGACTTTCTCTACGCCTAGACTTTCTGCGCCCATTTCATTACGCTTTTCTTCCTTGGCTTCATTTGGAAATGGAGGGGGAAAAGGGAAAAACCGGGCACACCAGCCCCGACGCCATTACCCCTCAATAAGCCCCCTCGTCTCTCCTCCCTCCTTCAACCTTCTTGGTTTTTCCAAGCCTCGTCGGAGAGGTCTTCGCCGGATTAGCTTCATGTAACCCCTCCCGCGGGGTTAAACTATCTAGCAGGTAATCCGAGGGGAAGAAGGGCACGGTAGGAATGAAATGACATATTGATGCTATCGAAACTCTAGTATCATACGTTGTTCGCCGAGCTCGTTTAGGAGAGAGACAGATACTACTCAGCTCCTCCAGATTATCCACTTTGAAAGTCCCATCTTTCGTCAATCCTAGACACTAGCAAAACTAACATATCAGCAATCATGATGTGGACACTTGACATGCGAACGAGCTCTAACAGGCTGGGATGCATCCCGTGGGAAGATCTACCTCTTTTCTTTTCTTTTCTTTTCTTTTTCCTTCCATCTTTTTTTTTTTCACTTTCCTTTTCTACTTTGTTTTAATCTATTTTTCAGCTGGTTGATTGATTGGTTGTTGGTTACGCGGGGTCCATTTCCCCACACTAAGGGGAAATGGAGACCAGACTACCATCCGCTCGCCTCGATATTCCGGTTTTCCTTCGATGCGTCCATAGTCTATGCGCTGGTGATTATCCGGGCCCACTTCCCTGCGTCTCATGACTATCACGTACTGCTATGTATCAGAGCTGTGATGGGTTGGCAGGTAGGCTTGCAATAATCACGTATTCACGACCTGCGTGCATCAACCCATTACTATGTACTTGTTGCTCGTATTTGACAGGTTTAATCAACATATACGATATACAACGCATAGATATACAAAACAACATTATTAACCATGATCAATCCAAAACGAAGGCTATGCAACAAGAATACAGTCGCAGATGTCTCTCAGCCTCTGGGTGACTTTCGCCATGTCCAGTGGCATTCAGACCCTAACAGTCCTATACATCTACAACTGGTAGCTTCCAATCCTATCCCTACTGTGTCTAATCCTCTCTATTCAGACATCCAGCATTACATCTCAGAAGAACAAGCCCATCAAGAACAAACTGATCGACACCACTCGACGCCACAACAAGCTTCTTTTCAAATAAGCACACCTCACATCGCCCTGTAAGGCCCAGGCACAGCTCAGGCTCTTATATTACACACTAGGTACACTACAGGAGGGTCACGCGGACGCCCTGGGCTGAGTGTCGCTGCACCAGGGCCATCATTCTATCCCCTGCTGGGCATAGAGTCGTCTATCGGGAAAGCTTGGCCTCAGCCACCGTTTCTCTCCTATCAGATGAGGGCGTAGGACGTGGCTGTGGTTCTAGATTTATTCCGTAGGGATGGCTCACTGTATATGAGGTCTATAGGTGGGAAGTATCCAGTAAAGATGATAATCCATCATCGTCTTCAACTATAATCATGATAACTACCTACAGACCATAAACCTCTGCTAAACATATTACGAGAATATGCATCTCGCAGTCTCTGTAGAAGTAATATTCGACGATTCCGTATATTGTATATATGTCTATTTATACTCCAGAGTTTGTATACTCTAGCGCCATCGAATACACCGTGCTAGGTTGTTAGAGGCACCACACTCTGCACATCACAACTCCACTCTTGTACCCGCAACTCAACGGGCCGGGTTTTCCCATCTCCCAGGGTTGTGGGATCATGGGTGAGTCTATAGATATAATAGTAAATAATTAAAAAAGTAAATAGAACTTGTATAACAATTCTAGGGAAGGGGGTTTGAATTCAATTGTCACTAGGGTGGTTTAATCTCATTGCCAGTTGACTCCAGGAAAACACGATACTACGTAGTGCCTATTTGGCTAATAGGGTACAATGATGTCATTGGGATATGATATCATTCATGCCTGATTGATGATAGATGGGGGTGGCAAATTGTACCCTTATGCACTGCGGTATCTACTTCCATCTATCTACTTGTATCTGGCCTGAGTCTGATTTTTGTGTAGGTTGAATGGGATTCTATACGTAGACTGTCTTGTACTTCGTGGATAGTATCAATCAGCATCAGACAGATATGCCCTCAGCGTTAAACATGCAATGTGTTCTGAAACCAGTATTATGGGAGTATCTACAGGATTCGCTTCCTTCTCTATTCATGCTTTAATCTAGAGTTGTTTACTCCAGCTTCTTCTGCTCGCGCATCTCCTGCTTGACACGGGTCACAGTCCCCACACCCCCGTAGACAACACCAGTGTACATCATAGCCACCGACGCACCGGCCTTCAGAGCAGCCAATGCCTGCGCGCCGTTGGTGATACCCCCCGAAGCGAAGATGACTTTCCGCGGATCCTTGTTTTCAGACTCCGCGCGCTCCTCATCCAGTAGCGCGCGGTAACGAGCCACCAAGGCGACCGTGCGGTCGAAAAGCTGCGGGCCCGAGTATCCACCCGTCTCTTGCAGGGTACCTTCCTCCTTCTCCGGGAGGGCGAAGCCCTTGGGAAGCGGGGCGGGGCGGCGGTTCGTCGTGTTGCCGACGATCACGCCGTCGACGCCTGAGGCTTGCACGGCTTCGCAAATGCCTGATACCTGCTCGTCGGCGTCCTCGTCCGGACTAACCTTGACCATGACGAAAGGCTTGGTCTTCCGGTCGACGCTCTTGGCTGCTCCCACAACAGCCGTCAGGATGGCTGTCAGAGGAGCCGTCGCCTGCAGATCGCGCAGGCCGGGCGTGTTCGGGCTGGAGACGTTCACGACGAGAATGTCGGCGTACTTGGCTACGCGGTCGACGCAGTACACGTAGTCGTTCTTGACGGCCTCGAGGTCGGAGTCGGGCGTCGACTTATTCTTGGCTACCTGCACGGCTAGCAGCTTACCGGGGATCAAGCTGCCTGGGGGAACCTCGGCGTCGCCATTCAGCACACGCTCAACCGCGAGTTCGTGTGCGCCGAAGCCGTGGGCGTAGGCGTAGTCGCGTACCCGCTGGTCCAGGAGTGCCGCCATGTGATCGGCGCCCTTGGAGTTCAGCCCGTATCGGTTGATCATGGCTTTCTGGGACGGCAGGCGGAAGACACGGGGTCGTGCGTTGCCATCCTGCGGGAGTGGAGTCGTGCCGCCGACTTCGACAATAGCCGGACCAGTCGCAAACAGCGGGTCCGGGATCTCGGCGTGCTTGTCCAGACCGCCGGAGATTCCGATCGGGTTGCAGAGCGTATATCCAAAGACCTAAAACGGGGGAGACGCGGGGCGAGATTGGCGGTTAATTATATGCTATTATCTCGCCAGCAGGGTCGGGAGTAAGTGGTTTACCTCCGTCGTCAAAGCACCGTCTCCATCCGGGTTTCCCCTCTCGCGCGGATGAAGACCGTACTCGTACAGAGTCTTCAGTGTATCCACGCCGACATGATGCGCATCCTCCGCATCCGGGTACAGCATTCTGATCAGCGGAACCACGCCATATCTGTGGATACTCGCCCGTGTGTCCGTCCCGTAGAGGTAGCCAACGAGTAAGGTCGCGGCCACCGTCGTCCCCCAGACGGTCCTCCGCAGTGTGCGGCTTTTCTTCTTGGGCACCTCCTTAAAAGACTCCTTTACCGGCTCTGTCACCTTCTCCGCAGCCTTTTCCGTCGCCTCGGACGCCTTGTCCGAGGAGTAGCGATAACCGCCCGGCGGACGCACTAACAATCCATTGGCGATCGACGGCCGGTGCAGATAGCGAAGGGACTGGCAAGCGCGAGCTCTGGGGCCGACTGACCTCCATGCCAGGTTAATTGAGTTTGCAGCCATGGTGCCAATTGTTGTCGGATTCTCCAAGATATGCACCTAAGGATCAACCATGGAAAAGCGGGTCTGGACTATTGATATGATAATATATTAGTCAATGCCTATTACACAAATTACCAGCAATAAATGACACAGGACACAATGCCATAAAATAAGATCCCGAAAGGTCCAGTTCAATTGAATGACATCAACCGATATGCACCGGCTTCCGAACCGGCAATCTTGCCATTCAAGGGTCCACAAGCAAAGTCCAGCTAAACTCACCCTCGAGTAAAAACAGCCCTGTGGCTACTAGCAGTGTCGAGTTTTCCTACCCAAACTAGCTGAACAAGTTGAGACTCGCAGGGCCGGTACCTGAGATGATGCAAGTTCGATCGAAGGATTCCTTGTGATTCTCGTCGGCTTCCGACGCATGTGGCCGGCGGTCAAGGATTTGTCCGGCAGATCCATCATGTGCTTCAGGCGGTGTGACCGCGGGGGTTCACATAGAAGACGGAACAGTTTCTTGACTATGATGTAAACAAGAGCATCTCTTCTTCCCCCGGATTCACATATTGTGTCTGACATGTTGACATGGCATGGAAATACGGGGTAGTGTCTAGACCGTTGGTTACTCTTGATTGCTCACTATTGAGAGTACGGGTCTTGACTACGGCACTTGCATTTTCCTCACATGCTCCATGACGATTTCTCGCATAAGCCCTTCTGAAAGGGACCTATTATATCCACGACAATCTGCTTTTTGCCGGATATATACAAGCTCCCGAGGAAAAACTGGATCTCATGTGAAGTGATCATCAGGTAGACCTCTGTTGTCCGGGCCGGATGTACTGCCAAGCCGCCCAGAGACCATGCAAGGGTATCTGAGTGTGGGGAAGCTGCCGGCTCACGAAGGGGCGTTCCAGTGTTCCAATATTCGTCAAAGGTCATGCAACTTGTTGCACACTGTAAAGTGTCCCTGGCCGATAGTCTCCAACATCCATGTCATATCGTCTCCCGGCGTTTCTTCAGGCAACAACATTGAACAAACGCATGGAACATAGTACAATGTACATGCTGGTTCGGGCTCGGGCCGGATATAGAATCCCACGACCGGATGGCAGGACCGTGCAGCAATCGGCGCAATTGATAGTAGTAAAAGCGTTTTACTCGCATAAGCTGTGGTGAACAAGGGATCAGCATCCGCCTGAACGATAAAGATATATATACCCCGCATTCAACACGATATCCAGAGGGGCTTGATCATACCAGGTTGCTACACGAGCATACACTTGTCTTCCAACATGAAGTTTTACTTGTTAGCTGTCGCTCTGGCCGTCTCGGCAGTCCCTCTCGAGAAACGCTCAGTCTCGGTAACCATCGTCAATGGAACCATTAACGGTGACTCCGATGGCAATGTGGAGTATTTCAAGGGAATCCCATTTGTATGGGCTTGGGAATTGGGCTGGAGCATATACCAAGGCTAATGACCTTGTACATCAGATGACCAATGAGGAAAAGAACAACTTGACATGCGATTATAAATCCACAGCCACTGGGTGCTCTGGGATATCCGGGGGTGTCCCACGTCTCGGATTCCCCGGGATCTGCCTATAGGACGCAGGAAATGGAGTTAGAGGAACTGACATGGTGAACGCTTACTCGTCTAGTCTTCACGTTGGAGCCTCATGGAATCGAGACCTTGCTCTCAAACGGGCATCCTATCTGGGCGCTGAGTTCAAGCGCAAGGGAGCCAATGTCGCGCGGGGACCCGTTGCAGGTCCCATTGGCAGGGTGGCTCGAGGAGGTCGCATCTGGGAAGGTTTTTCGGCGGATTCGCGGAGTGAATACCGGTCTACTGCCTCCAGGAAGCGATATAGAGGAAGGTGGCCTACCGTCCCTATGGGATGTTATTGCCAGAGTCAGCTGTCTCGTCTCTAACGTTGGGGAGTTCGAAACAGCTGAAGTGGCGCAACTCTACATCGGAATCCCTGGGTGGCCTAAGAAAGTTCTTCGTGGTTTTGCAAAGAAGAGCCTCAAACCGGGGCAACAGAAAGAGTCACCCCTCACTTGGCTTCTTTGGCCGTCGATTCTGGTCATGAAGCCCACGACACCCATACTCCAGACACAACCATGACCTCCTCCGCCAACGCTGCACCCAAGCGCTCTGTCCAGGCGTGTTCACGATGTCGCCAACAGAAAGTGCGTACACTCTCTTGTCCGCTTGTGAGTGTGAAGATGATTAAACGGTCGCAGATGAAATGCTCGGGCGATCCAGGGCCCTGCGAGCGTTGCGCGCGATTCGGTCGCGAATGTATCTTTGAACCAGCTCATACCACTGCAATCGCCACGACCAATGCGCCGGTCAATGCCACCTCCGCCTATCAGCAAAATTCACATTTGACACCGTCGGACGGCTCATACTCGCTGGAGTCGCTCGCCCTTCCACCACGCGGCGCATCCAGATCTCGCAAACGAAACCGCGGGTCAGCTAGCACGGGGGACTCGTGGAAACGAGGACAGCCGCGCGCCCGCCACGGCGGCTTCCTCCCAGGTGCCATCGCGAACCCCGAACACCCAGTCCGATATGACTACTCCCTGGAAGCCCCACTGCTTGCGCAGGATCTCGGTAAGCAGATGCTTATTCTCACTGGCCCATTCGCCGTTGACCGAGTTGTACGCAGACATGACCACCAGGGCGCCCTCCTCGACGCAGCGCTTGAAGTGCGGAAGATACACCTCGTGCAGGGCCCCCTCGTCCACCGTCACGTTCACTCGAGAACGGGCCGTTTCCATGGAATTGAGGGCAAAATGCTTGATGCAGGCCATGACATTCGTCTGCAGACCGCGGACATGAGCTGCTCCGAATTCACCGAGCAGCAGCGGATCATCCCCGTATGTTTCCTGCACACGACCCCAGGCCGGATGCCGGGGCAGATTGATGGAGGCACTGCCCACAGAGTTGGCCTTGTACGCACGCGTCTCCAATCCGATGACCCGTGCGACTTTCTCCTCCAGACCGGGGTCCCATGTAGCGCCTCGCGCCATGGAGACAGGAAAAGCGGTCGCCGTGTTGATAGTGACACCGCGCGGGCCATCGCAGTATCGAATTTCAGGGATGCCCAGGCGTTTGATCTCGCCGTGGACGTATGGGGTAGACAGGTAAACGCCGGTGTAGAGATTATGCATGCCCTCCCAGAACTCGGCATCACCGTGCAACAAGGACAATCTCTCATCTTCCGTGAGCTGCTGAAGAAGGTGTCGCGCTGCCAGGGACGGGTCTTGTCCGGATTTGACAGCCGCTACGGCTTGTTGGAAGGCTGTATTCTGAGTCATGATTGTCGAGAGTGTTCATGAGGGGTGTGTGATGGAATTTGGAAGAGATGAGGGATCAACTGGCATGGACTAGGTATCTAGGGAAGCTCATATGGGTTCCTGGGCGACAAGTTTAGACCTACTATCATTCGAGCGACATCCTCTTTCTGTCTCCTCCCTCACTGAGTAGCCAATGCCGACCCGATCGGACCGGACCGGGCCTGTTGTCATCTTGACCTTGCCTCCTGTACACGATGGAGTGTCTAGACCGGATGCAAAGTCTGTCTGCGCTACTTCATCGGACCGAGCATCTCGACTTCTCCATAATCCCTAGCTGCTCGACTAGGGATGAAGCCAGAAGTGCATCAAGGTGATTTGTCGCAAACAGTGCTAGCCGGGTCGGTGATGGCCCTATCTATGCGTAGCGGTCTTTCGGTAGTTGTCTCTTAGTCAAGAGCGTCTGACTAGTCACCTCTGGTTAGCAATTCCGAAGTCGTCGCTCAAGTATATACTAGTTTAGGATGTAAAAGACGCACACACCTTTCTTCCAAACTTTCTTCTAGATTAATCCCGTAATACTTCACGATTTTTGATGGGAGTAAGAGCAATGCACCCTGTGCCTTGATACGGCTACCCTGTGAAGAACCTACCTAGCCACTTTCCAGAGGCCAATAGATATCCTGGAGCCCTGTACGCTGCAGATTCTTCCTCAGACACTTCCCATAGCCGTTTTCTGGTCTCTGCAGACCTCATATACCCAAGTCCCCCATCCCACTAGCATCGAAGTCCCCATAGATTGATCACAGCTTGGGCAAACTGTGCTGTTGTGTTGAGAATCAGTCAGGTCAAGCCCTATCTATACCAAAGTTGGTCACCGTTTTGGCGCAGCGGCCACGATCCATTGTATACACGGTCATTCTCAGCCACCCACTGCAACTGTACAATAGACAGACACGCCCTCTTCAATGATATCCAGTATGCCTCTTCCCAGCCTCGTCGTGTGGTATCTCTCTGAAGCCGGTCGACCGGTCATATTCTGTCTTCGGCCCGAACTGATAATTTCCGGGCCGGACGCCCATGCACTCGTTTACACAAATGTCAAGAGAGGTTTCAACCCAGCAAGACTACAATGTGTTAGAAAAATAAAAGTGTCTATATAAAATTTTAGCTCATAGAAACTACCCTGTCACTATCTTCTTGTCGGATTGGCTGGCTTGGCTGGAGCTTGGCAGATATAAACACATCCCGTGCATCAACCCACAAACAACTATGTCTATACTACGGACATAGATACAAACGCACTACAATATCCAGTCCCGAGTAGTCTTATCTCAGTGGTCAATGTAGCACTCGCACAGAGGCTTGGGGTACAGACAGGCCGGGCTGTGCCCTTCTCCGGTCTCTCCAGGCTGTCATCCTCGTTAGAACCTGAACCATTATGAAAGTCTGGGGGAAATGCTTACCTCCTCGCCAGAAAAGCTACAGGTGAAAAGGAGACCGTTTTTAAACCCAAAAGCTGTCAATTTTGGCATTAATTCCACTGGTCCTCATATTCTTGATGTAATACAGTAAACGAATAGAGTGAATAGTTATATACAGAGCGCAAACCATCATAAGGCTTTTGCGCGATAATAATACACTTGGTGCACAGAAATTAAACGAGTGTAAGAACCCGAATTGAATCACCACATAAATCGTTGAATCTTCCCGGGTTCCTGCGGCCATTCAAATCCATTGTACAAAAAGATATATCCCGTCGCGGCGTTAATGGCCAAGTACCAATAGGTCTCGAGGAAAAGGGTGAAGTTGGTTGCGATCTTCGCGTCAAGATCCTCCCTGTCATTGCGCGGACGCTGCAGACGATATACGAGCGGTGTCGGGTGTGGGGGCAGATGCAATCGCCACATCACCCAGGGGATAATGAAGTAGCGAGGCTCCACCAGGGGCGCGGTGACGAGTGAGAGTGCAGTCGCGACCAGCCACACTAGAACGAAGCTCACCTGCGGCGACCCTTGCTGTTGCCGCTGGCGCTGGACAATGTGCTCTTGGATTCTGGCGATGGCTTCTTTGGTGATAGGCTGCTGTTGTCTCACGGGCTCCTTCGCCGGTTGAGGCGATCCGGGTGCCCTCTTGGTTAACCTTGCCTGACGCTCTGTCTTTTGCTTTGTCTTGGCTTCCTTCTTCTGTCCTTGCTGGGCAGGTTTCTCTCCGGCGGGGACAGCGGGAACCAGTTTGGGTGGGAGCGGGACAGTCGAGAATCCAAAAGCGGAAATAACCATCCAGCCACAGTAGAAGTAAGCTGCTACAGCAGCGTACTTCACAACCGGATGGTAGCCAAGGAGAATGCGGAATACATAGAATATGTAGTGTCGGTTATCAGCCAGCGTGAATGGATGGACAACAGTATTGAAATGAACCACAGCCAGCATAAGTGGCACGATAACGAGCGTAGTCAAGAGTTTCGGGAGACCTTTTTGCTTTTGAGGAAACCCGTAGTCCACAAACTTGGGCAGCCAGCCTTGCGGGAGGAGCAGGTTGATTACCGGCACGACCAGAATAGGCCATGAAAAGAATAGGAAATACGGCCAAATATAAAGCATCTGGGACAAGTGCAAGCCCGCGGTATGGAATTCCTTGTGTCCTATATTGTGTAAGTCATGTTTCCGGGCCTAACAAACCGAGTTCGACTTACCCAAGACAACGCCATTGTTCCACACAACGAAGCCACCAAATGCGGCGAGAATAAGAAGGTAAGGGACGAGTGACAGTGCCACTTGACGCAACTTGCCCATAGCAGCAGCCCCAAGGGAGAGAGCCGTTCTAAAATAATCTAGATCGCATCGTTAGCATGCCCCTGACCGTCCTGACAGACAGGTACGAACCAAGAAAAGAAGCCTCCGACACCAGAGGATCAAACAGTTCGTTGTTGAACCCCCTTCTCGCAACATCAACAAACCCGGTCGATTTGCATGGTTTGGAAGTGACTCGCAATTTCCGGATCACCCGCAATCCACCCAGGAAAATCGCAACCCAGAAGATATTGGTTTGCCTGAAGGCCAGAGCCGCCACCCCCAGCCCAATGAACACAAGGGTCGGCGTTGACGCAACTCCAAGTCCAGACATACGTTTCAAATCCCAGTTGTAAGCTTCGACGACGACCAGCAAAGCGAGGATATCCGTGTAGTACAAGCCCGAGAAGAAGAACAGCGGCGGGAAAAGACAGATGTTCAAGACGGTGTGGCTCAGCCACGCACCCGACGGCCGGTCATTGCGCTGCTTTCTGATCAGATCAAGCAGTTTCTGCAATCTCCAAGGGAGGAACACGGCAGCGGCGGCGACATTGGTGCCCCGGCAAGCCTCCGTGCTGAGCTGCGTGGGCGATCCTCGGACCGCCAGGAGAGCAGCGCAGATAGCGTACGACCAAAAGTATAAACCAGGCGGAGTCGTGATCTTCGGATTCCACTGCGTCCATTTGTGTTCCCAGTACGTTTGAGCCTGGGAGACATGGAACACCTCGTCCAGGTACGGCTCCGGCACAACAGTATTAATCTGGATCATCCAGAAGGGAATCAACAGGAGGACGAAGGGAACCACATAGCGGGCAGCGCGGGCGAGACCCGAATCGGGCTTCAGTTTCTCCATGGTGTCGCAGATCAGTCTATCATCGAGTCTGCGCGGCGTAAATAGAGACAAGGAGAAGGTGCAGAATGAAGCGACGTGGAAAAGAACGAAGCTCCTCCGACCTGAAGCTCTGGTGGAGGAGCGATGTGCAAACAAAACAAACCACGGCCGCATCTGCCGCATCGGGCAATACCCTCACTCTCTCGCGTTCCATCCGGCCCTTTCCTTCCTTGATATCGGCCGCAAAGAGACGAAGTTGCAGCCGCCCTTATACCAATGATCTCATATCACATCTCTCGGATATTCCCCTGATCTCTTCTGTCCGGCTCCTTCCCCAATCGCCCCCGCAGTGACCTCGAATGGCGTTTCCCCTCCCGCGGGGCATTACGCCCCCGGAGATCTCGTTTCTGGCGGAGATGGAGATGGTCAGCATCCTTCCACGACAGCGATTAGAAGGGCTTGAACTTCTGGGTGTAAGTTTTTTACGTTATACACTTTGCCATGCCCCATAATCCTATAAGTCGTGACCAAATAAGGAAGAGGAAGAAAAAAGTATCACGGCCTATTGTGAAATATCATAAAGAACAATAAAGAAACCACCACACCACTAGACAGCCTGATCTCTCCCCAATCGTAACCACAGACAATAACTAACAGACTCCAAACCTACCAGGGACCCATCGAACCTCTCCTCCCTCCCCGGCGCGCAACCCTCCCCCTCTGGCTCGCCCTCCTCCTCAAACGCCAACGCCGCGCCAACATCCTCCCCCCATCCTGGCTCCACCCAGAATCCCTCTCCCTCATCCTCGACATCGAAACCCAGCACGGCGACTCAAAAGGCGCATTCTCACCACCCCCGCCTCTCCCCAACCAGCCCAGCGCCCAAGAGCACTACCAAAAGCGGCCGGTCGCCATCCCGCACTACACGCCCGACGGGAACCGGTATTTCCCCTCGTCGCCGTTCCTCCCGCAGAACGTGGCCGTGGATCAGGGGCCTGTGGGCGAGGCGCCTCGTCTCCCGTTTCACTGGTTGGAGGTCGGGACGATGCTTCTGGAGGCTGCGAGCGATGATCTGGTGGATCCGGATCAAACAAGGCGGTTGTTGAAGGAGCTGAGGGAGGTTCGCTCGTCGAAGATGCGGTCTGGTGTGGATGTGCTGGATTCGGCGGCTGTTGGTGGGAATGTTGTCTCTCTGACTGGTGTTGGGGCTATGGAGATTGGGGAGGGCCGGGGTTTCATTTCTGGAGTTGTGGATGGATTGAGGTATGTTACCCAATTTGTATCTTCACGAGGGGAGGCATCATGGCTAATATCATTATTCTACAGGCGAATCGGCGCGTCAAAGGAGCAAGCACGTCGGGAGCAAATGGCAGGCGAAATGGGTTCTGGCGGATACGGCGCTACCCAAGACGACGACGATGACGACGACATGGAATTCTGAAGTGCTGCGCAACTCACTTCTTGGATGTCTATAGCCTATTCTGGCTTTCTTGTTTGGAGTTACAGGCGGTTCCTTAGTGCCACATTCTGCTAAAAGGCGCAAATCTATGTATATATATATACCCTATGTTATCGATTGCGATCGCAGGTAATCTGATTTAAACCTAACACCATAAACATGCGACGCTCTGTTGCAGAAAGACCAAGATAAGTAAGAGGAGAGAATATGGTGGGGCGAAATATGTGGAACAAAGTAAAAGAATGCATGCGAGAACAGTCATTCTAGAAATGCCCAGGAGGAACCCTCAGATGGCAGCACCGCGTATTTCAACGGGTAGATGAGCTCGCATGTTGGGAACCAGGAGTCTTCGGGAGGTCAACATGGCATGCCAGGAGAAGATGTAAAGAAAAAAGAAGAGAAGAGAAAAGAAGAGGAATAAGAAGATACAATAAAAAGAAAAGGGAAAAAAAAGAAAAGGTATCATTCTGACAACACAGCGCAACAAGGAAAAACCACGCAAAGAATGCCGACAAACCAAGCACGTACTACTATAACAGCGTACAAGCTTATTGATCCGTCTCCACAACCTTCTGCATCATCCTCTTCCGCGCAGCCAAGATCATGTCATCCCTGCGCTTTTGCAGCAGACGTTGGCGCTCGTCCTTGTTCTGCGACCACGCATTCTTGGACTCGGCCGAGGCGGTCTCGGCGCTGTCTCCGGTGACCTTTGCGGCCAGGTTGTACCGGGAGATCAGGTCCTGGGCGTTTGGTTTCGGGGCTGTCGCGCTGGTGGGGGGCGGTGGTGCTGTCGTTCCGGTGGGGAGATTGATTTGGGGTTGGAAGGAGGGAGGGGGCTACATTTCGTTTATCAGTACTGCCCATCGACGTTGGAAAAGTGGGGGTATTGGTTCGATTGGCGACGAGGGACAGAACGCTATACTGTAGGTGATCGCGTGCCCGTCCAGTCCAACGGAGGTGGAGGTGGAGGCGGAGGAGATGTCAAACTTACCACTTCCAAGCCCCGACCGATCAAGATCCTCTCCGTGGTAGCCGCAACATTCCCACCATTGCGCTGCAAATCCCACGCGATGTCACGAATCCCCAGCTGGGGGAACATCTGCGAGATTTGCGCCACCTGAGCCGGATCGACGCCGTTCCCGCGAGAGCGACTCCCTCCTGCGCCCGGCTCATCCCGGTTAAGGAACCATCGAATAACGAAGAACGAGACGACCGCAAGGGTGAGTAGCGAGGGGATGTTAAGCGAGGGTTCTTCGTCGGGCATCATGGTTGCGCTTGTGGTGGTGACCCGGGAGGTGTGGCCAACGGGTTACGTGGAGAGCGTATAAGGTGAGGGAGAGAGGGAAAGGATGCCGGATTCAGGCGGTATCAACGATCAGGGGGGCGCAGATCGGTAGGAGACAGGTCAGATGCGAGGCTGTCTGGAATAGAATAAAAATGAGGGGGGGGGGGAGATCGGTCACAGATCGAGGGTTGGAGAAGATGACGAAAGTTGGATCAGTGCCCAGACGGTCTGGATTAAGTCGGCGCAGTAACAAATCGTTAAGCAATGACAACTTATGGGGGGAAGTCCCGCGGTAGGGAAGGTGGCGCTAGGATTTAGGCGGGCGGACGGTGCCAAAAGACAGCGATGGATAGTGGAGCCTGTTAGATCAGTGCTATGCACGGAGTATTGTACGGGCTGGAATCTCGACAATGTATGAACAGGAAGAAACTGTCTATTTAATCAGGAGGAATATGTTACAGCAGAGAGTCGAGGTGAATGACATCTACAGATCAGGTATCGGCTTTCAACGGTCGGGTCGGGTACTGATTTGCTGCCTCGGAATTGCCCGCGATCCGGTGCCTTAGTAACCACCCAGTATTCCGCATCGGTTAAATCCCCCGGCAAGAAACAATCCAAGCAGACGCCGGAAACGATATATTCATTAGGCATCATCATTAAACAACAATATCATCCAAAGAAGAAGAAAATCATGTACAATGACCGAAACACCTCCATCCCAAGCCCCTCGGAGTTGACCCATGAACAACGCTTCCTGTGAGATACAGCAGCGTTGGAGAACAAAAGTATATCAAAAAAACGAATAACATCAGCCAACAGGGTATCTATCTCATGTCCGCAGGCGTCAGAGCCTGGACTACACTCGTTCCTTCGCTGAACCTCGTCCGGAAGATGCGGTTCGCGTTCTGGAACATGCCGTCCTTGAGGGAGACGATGATGAACTGGGACCCCTTGAAGCGGGTCTTGATCAGACGACCGATGTTCTGCGTGTGAGATAGATCCAGCGCGGCGTCGACTTCGTCCAGGATGTACATCGGGGCGGGTTTGAATTGCAGGAGCGCCATGATCAAGGAAAGCGCAATCAGAGATCTATCGCGGAATTATTAGCATGTAAAACGGCGTACTGGACAGCGAGCTGGAACGTACCGTTGACCACCACTGAGTTCCGTGAGACTCTGCTTCCACACCTTGCCCAGGGACACCTTGACCTCCAAGCCATCGGTGATGTCCTTGCCCTCGGGGGGGTCGAGCTTGGCGAAACTGCCTGGAAGAAGTTCGGCAAAGATCTGCCCGAAGTCACCGTTGACCTTGACCCACGTTTTGTGGAGGGCTTCCTTCTTGTACTCGTTCAGGTTGATGATGGTCTCTTCAATCTTGCGCTTGTCTCGAATGACGGTCTTCATCATGTTCTTCAGCGCCACTTCCTTCTTCTCGACGCTATCGATCATGTTCATAACCTTGGGGTTGATCTTCTTCTTCATGCCCTGGAATCGCTCAGTGAGATTCTTCAGCGTCGACTTGCACTCGGCAATGTTCTGGTTCTTGAAGTCGTAGACAGTATTCGCGCGTCCGAAATTGTCCTTCTCGTCGGCAATCCACTCGTGCTCTTCTTCCATGTAAGACACCGCCTGGGCCGCCACTTGTTGATCCTTTTGCAGCTTCTCAACTTGATGGCCAAGCTTCTGCATATCCAGGCTTCCTTCGGTGAGCTGGGAGTTCTTCGACTGCATCGTTTCTTCGAGCTCCCGAATCTCATCATCAAATCCAGTCAGTTTGGCTCTCTCGTCCTCCAGGTGGGCCACGGCCATATCATGCGCGTCCTGCGTGCTAGATTAGCATGGAATCATCATTGGAGCCCAGGGTATCTATTTACCTTAATCCGAGCCTGCTCCCTCACCAGCGACTCAATCTCTTCCATCTGAGCTTTGAGCGTATTCTCGGCCTCAGCGCTCTGCTCCTCCGCTGCAGAAAGATCGCTCCCCACCTGCTCTGACTCGAGGCGTGACGATTGAAGTTCTTTTTGCAGAGATTTAACCGAGTTTGAGTTTGAGGTCAAGCTCTTTTTGAGAGAGTTCAACGAATCCTGCAATTCTGCCAGCTTGTCGTCCTTGTTGTCGTTGAATTCGACCATGTCTTTCTCGATGCGCTTGACATCCTTGGAGGCCTCGGTTTGTCGAGATTTGGCGTCAGAGATGTCTTTCTTCAGCTGCACAATATTTGCCTTCGAGTCCTCGACAGCTTGGATGATCTGTGGGTAGCCCATTCATGTTAGCTTCTATACCAAATGGTCGAAATATTCAAAAGCTCGCTAGTAACGTACCGATGAAGATGAGTTGCCGCTGATTTGCTGCTCAGTCATCTTAATCTCGTGGCTCTTCAGATCCAACTCCTGTTTCAGCGCGCGAACCGAGTCAAGCTTCTTCTTCTCTTTTCTCATGGTGTCCTCCAATGTGGCCAGGATTCGCTCCTTGCCCCTGATCTCCCTGGTGAGCTCGTTCAACTTTTGCAGCGTAACGAGAACCCCGCTGGAATTGGGCGAGCTACCACCAGAGAGTGTACCCGAGGGGTCATAGACATCACCGTCAAGCGTGACGCTCTTGACCCGCACAGACGGGTCAAATGTCACTCTCTTGGCCGTATCTGCATCCTGGGAAATCAAGGTATTCCCGAACACGTAGTTCATCGCCGAGTTGAGTTCCTCTTCATATCCGATGAGGGACAAGGCGAGGTCCACCTTTCCGGGTGCGATATTCTGAGCAGCACCGATCTTTTCGGCGGATGCTCGGAAAGACGAAATCTTGTTCAAGGGAATGATGGTCACGCGCTTTCGCAGCTTGCCTTTCTGGAGCAACTGCGTACCTGTTTCTGCCGAATCAACGACAACATTGTACAGGCGGCCACCGGCGCAGATTTCCAACGCAGTTGCGGCTTGCAGTTTCTCCTTATCGACCGTAAAGAGCTGAGCCAACAATCCTTTGACCTTGGAGCGGTCAAAACCGGGGTACGGGTCATTGTAGTTGAAATCAATGTTCGCAACCTTCCTTTGTAGCCCATCGGCTCTCTGGCGCAGCTCGCGAATTTCCCTTTGCAGGCCGGTTTGTTCCTGGTACAGTTGTTCCTCTCTTCCGGGTTCGTAACCTTGCCGCGTAAGTTCCGATTCGAGTTTCTTGGCCTGGGACTTGAGGCCCTCCAGTTCCTTGAGAAGCCCCGAGTTCTGCTCCTTGGCTCTCTTCGCTCTCGGCTCGTCTTCCTTGATTCTCTTCTCTAAATGAGCAATCTTGAGCTTGGCCTGCTCTTGTTCTGTCGCTGCCGTACTTTCGCGGTTACGGGCGTCCTGAAGCTGACCCTGGTATCCGCTTTCCTGACCTTCCTTGGATGCAACACCTGTCTGCAGTGTCTGGAGAAGCTCTTCTTTTTGCTCCACTTCGGCTGTGCGAGCATCGAGTTCTGCCTTTGCGGAGTCGTACTGTGCCTGTAGCTTGTCGTACACCTTTTTCTTCTCCTGGAGTAGTTTTCCTAGGTCTTTGACGTTCTTGTGTGCGTCCTTTCGCTTTTCCTTCTCCTCGGCAATGCCGTTATTCTTCAGATCCAAGACAGTCGTCAGTCGAACGAGTTCGTGCGAGTGAGATTTGACCTCATCCTCGAGTGCCTGGAACTTTCCTCCTTTGCGCAATTCCTTGTCGCGCGCAGCCTTCACTCGCTTCATATCCTCCTCCAAGTGCGCAATCTCGCTTTTCAACTTAGTCGCATTATCTTCGAGGGCCTGCACCTTTCGCCTTTTATTTTCGCAATCATCGCCCGCGATCCGCAGGCGCTCGCCGCCTCTCAGATAGTCGTGAGCCACAACCAGCCGTGTCAGACGCTCCAGATCACTCTGCGTTTGCTGGAAGTCGAGGAACGCGCGCTTTTCGGACCGGAGTCTCTCCAATTTCGGTTCGATCTCTTCCTTGAGAAGACCCTCAATCTCACGCAGCTTCATCTCCTTCTTGCCCATTGTCTTCACCGCCTTCTCTCTCCTATCCTCGAACATGCGCGTACCCGCCGCTTCCTCAATCATGGACAGGATTTCAACCGCCTTCATATTCAGAACCTTTGTAATCCTTCCCTGCATAATCAAGAAGTTGGGGTTGTTGATATTCAGCTGCACACTCTGGAACAGATTCTGCACCGTCTGTTGTTGCGCGCGATGGCCGTTGATCAGATATTTGCTGGTACCGCCGAGGACAATCTGTCTGGTCACGGAAATCTGGGCATATTCTTCGAAACCGATCGGGGATTTGGCGGTATCGCGATTATCGAACACGATGGTCACGCTGGCTTTGGTGACACCAGCCTGGCCGCGCTTGTAGATGAGATCTTGTAAATTCTGGGCACGGACTGTCGACATGTTGGTGATACCGAGGACGAAACAGATAGCGTCGAGGATGTTCGATTTCCCACTGCCGTTGAGGCCAGTGATCGAATTGAAGGACTCGTCCCTGGTCAAGTGGTCAGTACGGTCGGCTTTCGTCAAGGCCGCCCCGCAGTATAGAAGTCGATGAGTCGCGACAGGGCAACTGAGAGGGGCAATTCTTCGCAAATAGCTTTAGAAGCGAACATACCATCCTGACACCACCGTGCGCACGGCGTACGATTTGAAACCCTGTTGCTCACCGTTAGCTTCCCAATTTCTTGCTCTCGGATTTCTTTGGATGGATCAAGAGGCGGGGGACAAACGTCGATAACAATCTCTGTGATCCTCATGGTTGCGACACCGACTCGGCCCCTCAACTAATGAATGACATGGGATGGAGGGGAGATGGGGTGGATGAGGGAGCGAAATAGCGGCTGATCAACCTGTGGATTGTTTTGGCGGGCGCCGTGTTTTGCCGGCGGGATCAGGTGTTTACAGTTTGCTGTTTTGGGTCTGGTGCCAGACAATGAATAATAATGAGGGGTTTAACTTATACCTCGACTAGTGTATCCTAAAAGTGGTGCTGTTCTTCAACAAGATGGGCTTGTGGTTTAGTGGTATAATACTCGCTTAGCATGTGAGTGGTCCGGGGTTCGATTCCCCGCGAGTCCATTCTTTTTTGTTTTTCTTCTATATCTCCTATCTTTGTTTGTGGCGTGTCTTTCTATTTTTGGCCTTTTTCCTTTTTCTTTTTCAAAATTCTAGTCTTTTCTCTGTGTCTTCTTTATAACTCTATTTCTAGCGCCGTTCAAATCCAGTAGTTCTTGGTGCAACCCTCACCATAATCCCCATTTATCCGCCGTCCAGTCTCAAAATAACCACTTCCCCTACTCAATTGTTCCCTGCAGGGGCTATAAACAGCTTACTGCAGCGTACTTTCGCCGGAGTAAACGCAATCAACAAATTCTCCGAGACCTGTCCGACCCATGTCGACACAGCTCCAATGAGAGGCCCCACAAGGGTATCTAGGTCGAATCTGGGTGGTTGGACTCGCAACTCCCGGGATGCGCCTCCTTTTGGGAGATAACAGTCAGCATGTTTTATTATTTTAACTAATTGAGGAACTGCGTTGGTCTGTCGCGCTCAATTGATCACTGTGCCCTTCTGCTTCCCAGCAGATATGATGTGACCGAAGGCGTCGTTGTCTTGTCTTGTGTACCCTCCGGGTCTTCACAGACGGTGTGTGTGTGTCTCTCTCTCTCTCGGACACTTTAAAAGCTGGGCATGTTATGCAGGCAAAAAAGAAAAGAAAGAAAAAAAAAAAAAAAAAAAAAAGGAGTCTGCTTTCGTGGCCTGTATCTTGGCTATAAGAGCTGTCTGGGGGCGTCGAGCGAGTCTTGTTGTTTTTAATTGGGTGTTTCTTTTTTTTTCAGACATGGATATATATGACGAATTATGCTGCGGTTATATATATAGATAGATATCATTTGGCTCATCAATTTTATAGAAAACTCCCACCACACAAAAGCAGCATGGATATATACACACAGAAAGGCATTGTGCCCCGGTACATAGTCGCCGAGAAAATCACTGGGCTGTTCGCCCAGCCACTGATCGACCAGTCTGGCATCGCGACGTCTTTCCAAAAACCGCTGGTGGTGCTGGATAACGCCTGCGGCACGGGGATTGTGTCGAGTTTTTTGAACCAAATATTACACTACAAGACGAGAAAGCGCTGGAAATTGGTATGCAGTGACTTGACTCAGGAGATCCTCGACTATACCAGGCAGAGGATCAGGGATGAAGCGTGGATGAACGCTAAAGCTAGGCTCGTGGATGCGCAAGATACGGGCCTTCCAAATGAATATTTTACTCATGTCTTCGCTGGATTTGGTGAGTATGGATGAAGCAGTATTGCAAATGTCCTGGAGAAGAAACGAGCTAATACCAATCCTACCAAGCACAGCATTCAACACATTTCTCGATGAAATGGCCGCAATGAAAGGTAAGCCGAAGGTCTACTACCCAAAAGAGACAATATACTAACAGCTCAACCAGAGTGTTTCCGCATCCTCAAGCCAGGAGGCACACTTGCTATCTCCACATGGCAGTCCAGTACGCTATACCCTATCATCAACCCGACAACGCAAGCACACCAACTAACCACAACCCAGCCGACTGGCTAACCCTAATCGAAAGCGCCATCAAAACCATCCCCGCCAACCTCCCCTTCCCCTCCACCAAGGAATTCTTCGCACTGTACAGCAGAGGCTGGCACTCCAAGAGCTACGTACGTGCACAGTTAGAGCGAGCAGGGTTCCGACATGTTCAGACGACCTCCGTGAACAAGCAAATATCGCTCCCCATCCCGGAGTTCATGGAGGTCGTGATGAGCATAGTCCCTGTTGTGGCTGTTAGGTTTTGGACGCAGGAGCAGCGCAGCAGGTACCAGGGTGAGATCCCGGGTGTGGTGAGGAGGTATTTGGAGGGGAGGTTTGGGGTGTTGGGGTTGGTTGTGTTGGAGCCTTGGGCGCTTGTTACGACTGGGCTTAAGATGTAGCTGGTATCGTATAGTTAGTATCTGCTAGTTCTTCTCCTACTGTGTCTGCTTCCCACGTCTGTAGGGTGAATACCCACGCCAGAGGATCAATAGTAGTAGTGAGAGTATGCAATACCTGGTTCTATTCGTGTACCTGACCAGACTAAACGATTGGCCTGCCCTCTCAATATGTCTACCCACGTCTAAACTCTAAACAAAAGATCCGGTAATCATGGAAGTCATTCGATTTCAAACACATATCCTACTTCCCCCACCCCGAGATACCACTAAATCAGAGAAACACCCCGGTCCTCGATAGAACTGGAAACACCCGAACAACCCGTTATGAAAATTGGCAGTGAACCTAACGCCGTTGCTGATTTCCGTCGCCCCGTGTTTCCCGAGAATGAGAAGATTGTTCATGATCCCTGCTGCGGGAAGCCCACGCGCGCAAGACCTCGGTTCGCGTCCATTCTGTTGTCGAGATCCTCGTATCGGAGGATAAAGTCGCGCTGTTTAAGAAGGCTGTCAGATGGGTTGCGAGAATTTCAGGGGAGATATGACAGATCGACCGCTAATAAGGTCGAAAGTCGTCACGTACCCTAATCCGCTTCCAGCTAGCAGGCTCCCACAGAAGATAGACCCCCCGTTCGCTGACGCCCCGCTCCACATCGACGGGACCGGGATAGGTCTCATCGCGGGTGAGCCAGCACCGCTCGACCCTGTGATACCTCCACTTGCGACCCATTAGTTCTTCTGCCGCGACTTCCTGCATCGTGTCGCGAGGCATGCTATAGAAGATGTAAAATAACGTCTCGTCGCTGAAGCTCGGAATACGAGACTGGAGAGACTGGATGTTGGCGACATTGTAGCACGAGGGAAGGGAGAAGTCTTGCTCCAGAGGGACCCCTGCCATGGAGGCCACGAACGGGGAGGCGAAGGACGTATGTAACGGTCTAGGACGATGAAATCAGCATGATTCACGGGCCGATGTTTGAAAGATCATACTCGAGCTGATTCAGGTCTAGGCCCAATGTCATTAGATCCTGGCCTACTGCCAGACCCGCGACATCTGGGCTATCGCTATGGATCATCCGGAGAAGACCAGCCAATCCAAACCTGTCAAGCTCGCTCATATCGGCCAGCGGCGGCTGCTCGGAGCTTTGCTTTGACGGCGCAGGAAATCCAGGAGGATTACCGGTGGTTTCCTGAGCTTCCCCAGGGAGTACCTGTTGCTCCGCGAAGCTGCGTTGTCCCGACAACAATGTGTTGGCCAGGTCCTAGTTACTTGTGTCAGAAGAAAGCGTTCGGAAGCAGTGTGGGGCAAGAATGGGATTGTATGTACCTCTTTTTCTTGTCCTGGGACCCCGTTGGGTCCCTGGTTGACGGGCGATCGCGACGTTCCGATACCTGAATTATGCGATTAATATATTATCCACCTGATTATCGAAGCACCCGCTCAACGTTACCTCCTGATCCCACGGCTGTAGGCGAAAGCATCCTCTCTTGCCCGTTTATCGAAGCCATTACACTGCGACCTTGTACTGATTGGCTTTGGCTTACTCCGGGCAAAGGCACCCCACTGTTGAAGCCGCCGAAAGCTGCACTCTGCATCAAAGATCCTCGGTGATCCTGGCCTATCTCTGTGGGGATGTTGCGCCCCAATGGTGGGAATTCTTCGATGTTGCCTGTTTGCGGCTGTGCGCCCGCTCCTAACTGCCCACTGATGCCCTGTCCGCCGTTTCGAAAATCGTCCAGCCGATTGGCAAATTGAGCACCGGACGGGAATACGTCATCGTGTGAGGGCTGCGTTTGTTGCTGGGGATGGTGAGACTGTGTTTGGGGACCCCTTGACGGTGCTTGTGACGAAGGGTGCTGTCTCTGGGCCGGGGTCTGCTGCATCGCTCGTTGGCTTGCGTTGGCCCATACCATGTGGGCGGTATTTTGGGCCTGAGTCTGGGGAGATGCCCCAGAAAGCGAAGGGAAATCGCTACTCCAAGAAGCAACCAGTTAGCACTATCGACGGCCACCAAACTCCACGACCATGCGTGGCGAATCGGCTGAGGGACATTTTAAGCATCACTCACGCTAGATCCAGTGGTGTCGCAGGTTGCGACCCGCTAAGACTCTGTGCAAATGTACCCCCCATGTTCCCGATATTGCGCTGCTGAGCCCCTGGGATACCCGGCGCTCCGCTCACAGGTAGGTTGAAGTTCCAGTTTGCACCAGTGCCTACTTTGTCTCGCCCCCATTAGCTTCCAGAAACATAACGTCGCCGACAGCTTCCGCCGGCCCCACCCAGAGTATAAAGTATCGAACCTAATTTTCCGTTCGGCAATCGCGCCGAAGCCAGCGTCGCATTCCGAGCCTGTGCCTGTTGCTGTGCGGGGAACCCAGACATGCCCCGGAGAGGTTGTGGTCCTGGACCTAGAAAAAGAGAAGAATAAAGTTAGTACCGTATTGATAATGCTGGCCAGATAATGTAGGTATGGTAATTCCAATCAGCAGAGCGATTGGGGTTTCTATCGAGTTGTGTCTTGGTCTCAAACGGAGGGATCGCCGGGGATTGCAATTGTGACGACACAAAGAAACAACGACAAGTCAAAAACCCAGTGTATCAAAGAAATTCGAGCGAGTCAAACACGGCCTCAAGAGTCCAAAAGCGATGCGCCCATCGAACGAGGGGTGGTGTATGGGGAATCAAGAGGTCGAGCCATGCACACAGTACACGGGGAAGAACAGAATGACGAACCTGGCCTATTCATTGTGATATCTGCCTCCGAAGGCCGCGTATGAATAAAAGCAAATAAGAGGATCCGACAGGGAGAAAATATGTATAGAAAAGCAAGACTAGGATTCCAGCCACTGGAGCTTCAAGGAACTGTTGCCCAGAAGATATGCGACGGGCCTTGGAGGTGGAGTGGGCTGCAAACGCGCGCTTCCGGTGGTGCACAGACCACATAACCGCCATCCGCTTTTGCAGTGTGGAGGGAGACTTGGTGATTAACACAAGTCATGGTCATCACTTTCTAAGTTCCTAATACTTGGGTTGATTTCCGACTGTTGGTATTTTGTATATCTACATGGCCTTTTCTTTCATAACAGGAGGATTGGAGATGTTCAATTATGTTGTCCGTGACCAAGAAGGATTGTGTTCTCCGTAAAACTACGATAGAATCAAAACATACCAAATAGGATACCATATGGATCGGCACACAATGAGAAATCATAGAGGTTATAGAACCTTCAAAACAAAACCATTTATCATTAACTTGGAAGATGTTTGCTTTGTACTCCCTGTGAGCATGTGGTCGCATAGGCCGAGTCCTCCGTGCACGTGACTTAGCCGCCGAAAAGTCCATTCCGCCAACTTCTTCGCCGGCATCCTGTTTGCAAAGGATCTCAGTTGCGCTACGACTGGGACGACCGCCAATCCCATCCACAATGCACCGCCAATCGATCACGCGGGTCACTCGGCAGCTCGGGGGTCTCCAGCTGTCCGAATTGCCCCCTCCGTACCTTGCGCCATCCCTCCATTTCCCCCTAAGCCGCTCGCCCATCCAATGCTCGAACTTTTCGACAACGGCCGCTGTCGCCGCGCGTGGACGCGACCTGAGCAAATCCCGCGGAGTGTCTGCGATTCACCGCACTGGGCCTAAGTTCCGGCTAGGTGCTTCGAAGTACCCGCTGCCCAAGCCTGTGGTGCCTGAGGGACTCGAGAAGCGGAGCCCGAATCCCAACCATGGACTTTGGGGATTCTTCCCCCCGGATCGCCAAGCCTTGAGCACGCCTGCTTACGATATTGCGTTCGGTTAGTTTTCAAGGCATACTTGGACATCGCGAACGAGAACCTATTTGTACTGACTGAGACATGTCCAGGTCGCCCGTGGTCGATCCAGGAGCTGCGCGAGAAGTCGTGGGAGGATCTCCACTCTCTCTGGTGGGTGTGTGTCAGGGAAAACAACCGTATAGCCACTTCCAACCTAGAACGAGAGCGACTGAAGGCTGGATATGGAGAGTGGGAGGCTGGTGAGCGGAAGCGAGTGGTGAGTTTGTTCATTGCCCTTTCCTCCCCGGGGTTTGTACTACGTACAGATACAGTGACACAGCTGGCATTGGAGACGCTGGCGAGTTACTGATCCCAAACCCCAAACCCATACCGTCCCGCATCACCGATCTTGGATCTTTTGACAGTTACTGATGCTATGATCTCCGCAGATCAATGTCACGCAGAACGGAATCCAGCACGTTCTTCGGGAGAGATGGTATGCCTGGGAGGATGCACAGAAACTATACAAGAATGGCTATCGCCCTCAGGAGGATGACAGCCAAGAGGCAAGCCAGGAGCCGCCCTCTGGGACTGCATGATTCAACTTAGAAAGCATTGAATCTCTTTCCTCGGCTGCAAGAAGTGCTGTTGGTGTTGTATGTAGAAATCCTGTATCATCAATATTTGAATTCATGTTCCCACTATCTCTTGGTCAAGCAGTTCTCACTTCGCTATCGTAAGGGTCGCTGATAATAGGGGAAGGGGAAAGGTGTCCCGTTTCCCAACGTTGGAGCGCTGATTCTAATATATTGGGGGGGGGGGATGTTATTAGGTATAGCAGCCGATAGTGTCAATAGTCCCTTCTAGTAATGGGAACAGAATATTCCCGAACATCAGCAGTGTCCATTAATAGCTGGCCGCCCTACATAGTACTCCGTTCATAGTGTACTACCTAGCCTATGTATATAGTCTATCTCGTACGATAGCACTACGTAACCCACCAAAAAGGGGCAGGGGATATTATTTGACGGATGAGGATCACACTCGATAATTCGGGATTATTTCGCATACTATCGCCCAGTGGTTTCAAGGTTATTCGACGCGGTGGATCCAAGTTGCTAAAAATGCCAATGAAAGAGGGAAGCTCTCATTTCCGCAATGGGTGATCCGCGGGGAGGGAGAGGGGAGGGAGACACCACTACGGGTGGCACTACCAGACCAGCCCACATTAAACCTCCCCTTTCACCTCCCAGCTTCTCCCCATCGACCGGCTTAACTAAACTCACCGCTATCCTTTTCATCTTGTCTCCGCATCCCCTCCCACTTTCCTGCACCTTTCACTTTCTCCGTCTGATCAACTGTTCATTCGTCCTTTTCTAATAGCTTGCATTCCCTTTCCCACCACCATGGATGAGATTGCTCCCGAGTATGATGTTGTGGTGCTCGGCACTGGTATGCTGTCATTTACCCCGCCCCTCAACGCCAGCTATGCTAACCACCTTCTTTTCTATCTAGGATTGACCGAGTGTGTCCTGTCGGGGTATGTTCTTTGCTTTATCGGATTTACTAGTTCAAATACTTATTGATAGCATGCAGTGTTTTGAGTGTCAAGGGCAACAAGGTGCTTCATATCGATCGTAATGATCACTACGGAGGGTGAGTGACGCCCGCCCGCCGGGGGGGGGGGGGAGCTTGGTCCCGTCCACCGTGAAGCCGCCACTGACCACCATTATAGCGAAGCTGCGTCGGTGAACATCGAGACTGTGAGTTTGATATTAATCTTGTATTTTTTTCTACGTGTGTGCTAATACTTTCGTGTTTGATAGCTCTTCAAGAAATACGGAAATGTCGCCCCCGGCGAAGAACCCTGGAAGAAGTACGGCCGGGTCAACGACTGGAACATCGATCTGGTCCCCAAGTTGCTCATGGCCAACGGCGAGTTGACGAATATCCTGGTTTCCACCGATGTCACAAGGTACCTGGAGTTCAAGCAGATCGGGGGCAGCTATGTCCAGCAAGGGAAGGGCCCCAAGGCGACCGTGGCCAAGGTGCCTTCGGATGCCAACGAGGCGCTGCGCTCTTCTCTCATGGGTCTATTTGAGAAGCGGAGGGCCAAGAAGTTCCTGGAGTGGGTGGGTGAATTCAAGGAGGACGACCCCGCTACTCACAACGGTTCGTTGACCCGACACTTGAACCTCTCCTATGTTACTGCGGTTACTGACAAATTCTAGGCCTCGACATTCACAACGTCAGCATGAGGGAGGTCTACGACAAGTTTGGCCTGGAGCCCAATACTCGTGACTTCGTTGGACATTCGATGGCCCTGTTCCAGTCGGACGACTATATCAACAACCCCGGGCAAGCTCCCGAGACCATCAACCGTATCCGCCTGTATGTCAACTCCATGGCTCGGTATGGCAAGTCTCCCTACATCTACCCTCTGTACGGCCTCGGTGAGCTGCCCCAGGGCTTCGCTCGTCTTTCCGCCATCTACGGTGGTACTTACATGCTCAACACCAACATCGACGAGGTGCTCTATGACGAGAGCGGCAAGGTTTCCGGAATCAAGGCGACCATGAAGGACCGTGATGCCGACGAGGATGCCATGAAGTTCACGACCAAGACGAAGAAGATTTTGGCCGATCCCTCCTACTTCCCTAGCAAGGCTCGGGTGACTGGCTACTTGCTGAAGGCCATTTGCATTCTCAAGCACCCCATCGACAAGACCGATGGCAGCGACTCGCTGCAGCTGATCCTGCCCCAATCTCAGATCGGCCGGAAGCACGGTAAGTCTGGTAGTACAGTCTAGTGTGGGCAACTGGCATGCTGACGGTGAACAGATATCTACATCGCCATGGTTTCGTCGGCTCACAATGTCTGCCCCAAGGGCTACTACATTGCCATTGTGTCGACGATTGCCGAATCCGACGCCAACCACCACCTGGAGTTGGAGCCGGGCTTCGAGCGCCTTGGGGAGATTGAAGAGCGATTCTTTGGCCCCCCGATCCCGCTCTACGAGCCTCTCGAGAGTGGCGAGAAGGACAACATCTTCATCTCCAAGAGCTACGACCCCACCTCCCACTTTGAGACTACCACCGGTACGAGCTTCGCTCTCCCTCCATGACCCCAAATGTATGAAATAGCTAACGAGATCAGACGATGTTCGTGACATCTACCGCCGCGCCACGGGCGAGGAGCTGGTTGTTGAGGGTCTCCGGGAGGACCAGAAGCTTGCTGAAGACTAAATATGGTTGTTCGACGACAGCGAGGGGGAGACTCGCTTGGGCGCATTGAGATACTGATAATCTCTTTGAAGTAAACCACACCTGTTTTTCTGTTGGAACTAGCACACTCCCTTGCCTTTGGATGATGCATCCGGCATGCAGTAGACAGTATATGTACATACGCCGCAACCTTTGCGTTGATGCTAGGTTCCTGAATGAGTATTTAATAGGGTTCGACTGCGCTTAGGATATTACTATAGCAATTTACCACTACACATAACCCGTTCATAACCACCCGTCTATAACCAGCATATCCATTTACTGTCTCTTAACATATTTATATGTACGTACACAGCTCTAAACAACTCTATAGCCGAGACTAAACAAGGCTCTAGACACCAGCACACCACCTCAGTATCAAGAAGAACAAGGATATAGACCCAACTAGATAACCCCTCTCCTCAAAAAAAAAAAAAAAAAAGAAAAAGAAAAAGAAAGAAAGAAAGAAATCAAATCCTCTGATCAACCTCCGGATCCGTATTCGCCTTCTCATGCTCCCCAACAACACAAAGATTCCCATTATCAACGCGCCTAATCTCCGCCCTCAACAGCGCCAACCGACGGCCCACATGAACAAGCTCACAAGTCAGCCTCACCTCCGTACCCCTCGGCACGGGCCTCAGATACGTAATCTTGAGATTGCGACTCACCCCGCCCAGCGAGAACTGGCCCGGCGAGGACACGCCCATCAGGATGACGGTGGAGAGCACGTCGACGAGCGTCGCCGCGCATCCACCGTGCAGGTTGCCCAGGAAGTTGCACATTTTGGGGGCGATGCTGAAGAGGAAGGAGACTTGGGCGGGGGCCCTTTTGTCGCGGATTCGAAGCGCATGTTGCTGGCTTGGGAGTCGATGTCCCAGCGCTAGGGGGGGTTAGTAGTGGACTTCTATGTTGTTGGGGGGGGGGGTTATGTTTTTTTGCGTCCATTGGATTGGAACTAGTTATGTGAATGACTGACCTCTTGACTCTCATCGTGGGGACCCATGCGCGCGGCGTACATGTAGACTAGTTCTTCGAACTCGTCTAGTTTCCTGGCGGGGCGGGCCATGGTTGAGGTGGTCATTGTGGCGGTATACTTTATTATTAGATGGGATTATAAATGATTCCGTTATCCAGGGACTTGAGGTGTGTAGATGATTGTAAAGATATGTACATGAGTTAGTTGGTGGTATCGCGAATGCTTGGAGTAGGAATACGCTTGATAGCCGAGGTTGGCGGCTACACGTTTGCCTATGAAAGTTGACAGGCTGGATAAACGATTTAGTAGTAGGATGAGGGCTATAGTACTCGTGGCTTGATGTACGCTAATTGCATATAATTGTATTGCTTTCAATTCCAATCTGATTATCTTCGCTCGAAATATACCTCTGGCTTTTGTATACTATATATAGCGAGCAAATAGCATACCAGACACAATGTGGATAATATATGTTTATATTTTATCCACCGTGACTTTAACACACTACACAAACCACCATGAGACCATCTAGAATAGTGTCCATTCTTCTAGAAAAGCTGTTTATTTGTGGTTGATTGAGGCTATCTCATGCGGCGAACAACTCACCTGACTTCGCGTCACGCGTTATGCCTCAGGCGCCGAGATCTTTACGATCCCCGACTTCTCCGCTCCAGAAACCTCCACCATCAACACGGGATTGGCGCCGGCGATAGCATTCATATCATCGGTGAGTTGACTTAATATCATAGATCTTTATAGGAATCTTTACTAACTTAATACCTAAACAAGAATTGTCTAGGTTGCCTGTCGCCGAAGCAATCAAACTTTCCCGTTCACAACCGCTGCCTCCTACAACCGTACAATTGACCGCTTGACACGGCCGCGCTTGACCTTTACGACGCCATTTTCTTCTGAAAAACTCGATATTCTTTATAATTCATCGACCGGGCGAGGAAAGCTGCAATTCAACACCAGTCTCCCATTTATGACCTCGAATTACCGTGCTTAGACCGCCTACCAGCCATCTACCACCAATCACAACATGAAAGATCCACGAGCAGGCAAGAGGAGAAGAGTGTCGGACGCGGAGGAAGTCGACACCGACGGAGACGTGGCAATGGACGACGGAAACGGGCAAGCTGCATCCCCACCGCCGGCGCACACAGAAGATACCGGAACGGATGGACAGCAAACCGCGACGGCGACAGAACCGCCCGCAAGGCCTGGTCTACGGAGCAGTGGGCGGCAGCGAAAGCCACCACAGCGGTTTGAGGAGATAGTTTCGCGCGCTCCGTCAGTTCGACGAGCTACGTCTAGGCGAACCGGTCCGACCCCGAAGAGTGCGCAGACGACACGGCCGGTCTCGAAAAAGGAGGCGGTTTCAGAAACGGAAGCGATTTCAGAAAAGGAGGAGATCTCAGAGAAGGAGGAAAGCGATGAGGAATCGACGCCACCACCCAGAGTGAGACGCACGCGGTCCAGGGCTAAACGGGCCCCTGTGAAGCCAACTTCCGCGAATCCAGATACCAACGGGGATGCAAACAATGGGTCGCCTTCTCCGGACGATTACCAGGATGGGCTAGAGGACATTGTCTCGATGCAGCTGCAACAGGGCCATACGCGACCCGAGGTAGAAGATACAGAGAAGGCGGTGCTCTCGAATGAAGCGCTCCCTGACTATGCGGAGAAATTCCTCGCTCTCTGCCAAACGGGACTGACGAACGAGCTACGGGTGATCACACAAACAATACTCGAGAAACTCAATGGCAAACGGCCAGTCCCGCTGAAGGGGCTAGAGAGCGAATACAGCAAGGCGCACCAGCTCGTTGAGCAGACGGTAACGGTCGGGGAGGGCAACTCGATGCTGCTCTTGGGTTCGCGTGGGTCAGGAAAGACGGCTATAATCGAGACGGTAATCTCGTCGCTTCGGAGAGAACATGGCAATGATTTCCACGTCGTGCGTCTCAACGGTTTCTTGCAGACCGATGATCGGTTAGCCCTCCGGGAAATGTGGCGCCAACTTGGCCGCGAGACCAACACCGAGGACGAAGCCAGCAAGGTCAGCAGTTACGCCGATACCATGGCGACATTACTTGGCCTTCTCTCCCACCCGGAAGAGATCTACGGCGCCCAAGGGAACGGGGAAGCGTCGACAGCAGCGAAATCCGTTGTCATCATCCTGGACGAGTTCGACCTGTTTGTGTCGCATCCGCGTCAGACACTGTTATATAATCTGTTTGATATAGCGCAAGCGCGCAAGGCCCCCGTGGCTGTTGTCGGGGTTACCACCAAAGTGGACGTGACGGAGATGCTGGAGAAGCGAGTCAAGAGTCGATTCAGCCATCGATATGTCTTCGTTCCGCTTCCGAAAACATTTGACACGTTTTCCGAGATCTGCTTTACCGGATTGAACTTGGAAGACGAGGAGGTGTTGGATTTAGCGGATGGAGCAGCCCAATCTGCCATTCATTCCGAGAATGGGCAGAGGGCCTTGGAAGGATGGAGGGCGTATCTCGAGGTATCCCAACCACTCTTTGACCTGGGGATTTACAAGACAAGACCACTCACACTACACAGGGCTTATGGGGCGACGGAGCATTCCAAACCCACCTACAAAGAATATACCACCAAACGAAGTCCACACGGGAGTTTTTCACGAGCGCCCTCATGACAATAAGCGAGCTGCACTACAGCACCTACAGCGACGACACCACCGGCGAGGTCTCCCTACAGATCCCCACCCCCACCGCATTCACCAGCCAGACACTGTCATGCCCCGATCCCGCACCTCTCCCCTTCGACACCTCTACGAGCTCAAACAGCCAATCCTCTCTACCCCTCTCCCTCCTCCTAGCCGCAGCCCGTCTAACAGCGCTCTACGACCCGGGCCCCGACACCGCCCAGCCACAGGCTCTCGCCCCACTGGCCTTGTCCTTCCCAGCCGCATACGCGGAGTACGTCCGACTGCTGACGTCGGCGAAGACATCGGCGTCTGTATCCGGCGCAGCCGCCACGCCCGGACGAGTGTGGGGCCGCGACGTGGCTCGCGAGGCGTGGGAGAAGCTCGTCAGCTGGGGACTTGTCAGCGCCGTCGGCGGGGGAAGCGGGACGGCTGACGGGCGGATGTTCCGGGTGGAAATCAGCTTCGAGGAGGTGGTGGATATGGCTGGGTCTGGGGGGTCGTTGGGCAAATGGTGGCGAGACGCGTAGAGGGATACAGATAGACAGGGATATACCTTAGAGCATTGGCGCAGCAGAAAGCGACACCACAAGACGCGCATCGTGATTTGGAATGATGGTCCAGACAAGACGATGGATTTGTTGGGCTGGTTTAAGTTCATGATTGGTTGCTTGGTATGGTAGATCGGTGAAGCCGTTGTATCGACGTTAGCTCCTACAATGATGAAACAGTACAGATGACAGAAGAGGATGAAACGGCAGGATGTAGAGCCGGAATTACCCCGGCTCTATTATTCATACCATGTACAATGCGGATATCCTCGATATCTATACAAACAATCCAGCCCAAACCATCCCTCCAATCCCACATAGTCAGCCCACAGCAATGAACGAAGACCATCCAACCGTCGAAATTAATTTAATCTACTAACCATGACATGTGGCATATTTGGCATATTAGAACATGCACAAAAAAACAATCAAATAAATCCACTAAGCAACTAGCGACATAAGATTCGACCAGGATTAGCACCAAGTTCAAGACGAGCAGATTGATCATCCAACCAAGCGTCTTCGCTCCTCCCTAGCATCTTAGTCGATTGTTGTTATTATTAGGATCCTCTAGTTCCTGATCCTGACTGATCGCATCTATTACTCGATAGAGACGTAGACTTCGGAGTCGTTTGGAAGATGTAATAATATAAGAATAAGAGTGAAGATGAAGATAGGAAGGAAGGAAAAGGGTATTGCCCTGTTGATCTTGGTGTTGAACGTTAAATTATCCCTGTATACTGTACTTTGGATCCTATAGCTGATTGCTGTATAGATCTGCCTGTCTTACATGTACGGACTCCGTGGAGGGATATGTAAGGATTATGGTCAAATACCTTGTGCAACACATATCCATGTCTATCTATGTCTTCTGGAGGCCGACGTCGGCGAGAATAAACGGGGTATCATCGTTCAACTGACACACGTCTGACGCGTGAACCGTCCATCGAAGCCCAACATGATACAAAACAAGAATTATTAAAATTAGAAAGATATAACAATAAAGACGGTAAGCTCCGACCATAATCGCATGATTCATGTTGAGTCGCCCCACGTCCAAAGCCTAACCAAGGCGAGAACAACAACATATCCAACTGACTATCACAAGAGAAGTAAGTAAACAACAAGACGAGTGAGCCCCCTTTCCCCCTCCTCCCCCAATGAAACACCCCCTGTCTAATTGATCAGCGGTTAACCACATACAGATTTAGTTAGATAGGTTGAGGAGCAGCATAATTTCATCTCACCGGTCAACCTCCGCATCCGAGAGTCAATCTCTTCGGGATATCGGCTCCCTGGCGAATCAACATCCCTGTTGTGCTTCCCCGCTCCGTGGTCTAATGCATGAAATCATGTCGACTCAGCGTGTTACTGTTGGCGGTGACAAATTCGAGATTGGTTTCGGCCGGGGTATTTAGTACTTTTGTGACGGGGGTGGTTTGGATTATGCAGACTCTCTGGACGAGATGATCTCTATTTCCAACTCTCAGGGGGATAGATGCATATCCAAAAATATCACTCCATCGCTTGACTTCCTGTGCCTTCACCGTATGGAGTATGTACCCTGTCCTGGTAGGAGAGAGAGAGTACAGTAAGTAAGTACATACCCGCTTAGTCGAGCGTCGACCTCCTGACCGATCATCCCGAACGGAAACTCCTTAGTACGCATCTCAGGCATGCTCCAACCCAAACCTGAAACACTGGCCCAGATGCACCAGTTCTATCGATGCAATCTATCGTCAACATCCCTGACCTGTCTCCCCCCCTCCCCCCCACCACTCTCCGATGCCAGTGCCACAAACCCCGAAGTCGAAATGCCCAAGCCACGTTGGGTCATCGGAGTAAGGAGGCAAGATCCCGCGCTTACGGTAGTGGCTGTCAGTATTACTCGTCGTACAGTATGACGTTGAAACTGCATGTCGATGAGAATGTCAATTGCCCTCGTCGATTGACGGATGTGATTGGACTTGTTCTGCTTGACCGGAGGAGTCCAGGTCTTGGGCGGGTGGAATCATGGGGAAATCATATGTGATGCTCATATGCACATCCATCAGTCGATGTTTCCGTGCGTTTTGGTCAATGGAAATGGCGTGATTTAGATTATTATTGATTTATTTATGTCCTATAACAATAAATAACCACGACATTATCATGATAATTATTGACTACTATTTACCACGATAGCATCTAAAACTCAAGACAGATGTTAACGACTAACCCAAACCAGTATGAGGGCCACCCCTGAGCCCCTCCCTCCCCCAACCTCTGAGCGTCAGACTCCCCAGATGGGGTGGGGATAGACCAGTACTGACTGCTTCCTTCGCGTGGACAGCAAGGATTAAAACACATGCGACAAAATCCGCTGCCCATCATTCCCCCTTACTTCTGACTTCTGCACTGTACGCCACGCCCGAACGGGGCAATGGACAGGGATTATTCTAGGTTTATTTATATATTATATCATATTATCATATTATACATGATTTGACTCTATTATTATTATAACGGTTAGTTTTAAACTCTTTCTCAAACCGCAATATTGTTCCGTGCATGCATGGCTCAGTGGATGCGATAGACCAGCTAATCTTACTCTGGCATCCAGGATTGGCCATTCAACAGTAGTCCAAGGGTGTACCCGACGGCCAACAATGTCAGGATGTCAAGCATTCTTCAAATACAGAATCATCTCCGAAGACCCTCTTTTCCCTCAGACGATCTCTACTCTCTAGTCCGCCGAAGTGATGTACACGACGGGGAGGAGTAGATGCAAGATAGACAGGAGCGGTGTGTCACTTGTCAGTTAGCAGGTAGGTAGTCAGAGATTTAGTCCCAACCCGGTTCTAGTATAGCCCAGAAAAAGGTATCCATTACATTACATAAGTAGCGACCTGCCAAGAATGGTCGACAGATTCATGAATGATGAAAGGCTCCTCATGTGATTCCTCAACTTGGTAAGGCATCGTCCCCTTTGAGGGTGTGTCTCTGATCCACTCTGGCTTCATATGGAACCCCCGAACCTCGTGGGAGCGATCGTACTAGCCACATGGCGTGCTCAAGGTCGGCAGGTTCCGCCTAAGGAAAAGATTTGGTACAATAGGTAGAATTGATTCCTTAGTCCGAAACCTTTCGGGGGGAAAATGATGTGGGGGAGATGTTGTGCCCGCTTTTTTTTTTTTTTTTTTTTTTTTTTTTTTGTGTTTCTTCTTTCTTTTTTTTCTCCCTTATTTTTGGGGTCTGTATTGCTTGCAGCTCCTACCCGCCTGGGTAGTACCTTTCATACGCCGCAGTGGAATGGCACCTGGCAGGAGGGATCTACGACGTGTCGAATAGCAAATACAGCCTGGGAAATGAGGATGAGAAGTTGGCAGGATGGTGCGTTAAATGTCGTGTAACGACCGATACGTCCGCTTCGGTCCTCCGTCCGGAGAAGGCCTGAGTTCGACTGTCGAGTCAGTCAACTGCGTTGCCGCTTTCCGGAAGATCCTCCACGTGCGTTTTCTCCAGCCAATATATTGTTGACTGGCAGACAGTTAGGCACAGTACGGAATACGGAGTACGGGGGGGAGTTAACTGGGAATGATGTGACAGATGGAGACGCGTGGTCCACAGTCCGATGTGAATTGTCACTTGACTTGAGGAGGATTTTCGCTTGCTATGCCTTGCATACAGCAACTCATCTCCGTAGTTTGGGGGCGATTCATGGCGCTTAGCGCCAGGGACCTCCTGATATCAAAATAGTTCTCCATCAGTGCCAGCCACACTGCCAAGTTTGCCAACCTATCTAGGGATGTGGCATGGCTACTACTACAAAGTAGGCAGTAGGTACCTAAGGCTAATCTTACGAACCACTACCAAGACCCAAAAAAAAAAAAAATGACAAGTACAACCCAGTACCCACTAGGCAATTCTTTACATCATATCACCCCCAACAACGCTGAACCCCACAGAAGTCTTTCCTGGTCCACATGAGGGTCTCTACTAGACTCCGTCGTCTACTCCATCGCAACGAAGCGGTGTATCTATTCTGTACATTGTACAGATATCGTATTTACCACCGTATGTCCATCAATAACAGATAATACCAAATACAAAGACATACCCCCGGAGCAACCAACCCAGACGCAGAAGTCAGCCCCGGTATTGACGCCCAAGCCCACTAGTATGTCTTTAGTAACCGGAGGTAACCGGTTTCAAAATCCCCCGAACCATGGATGCAACTCACTAGCGGCAAGTCCCCACCTTCTGGTATCTTCCAGAATCCTTCTCGAAGGCTTCTAGTGTCTTTCTTTCCCGTCCCCCTGACTCAAGTCGGAGTTGCTTGACAGGATAGATCACATTCATTAAACTCAACCATGGATAACGATGGAACTAGCGGTCTGAGCTCCACTGATATGTTTGTCTACCCTGTCTATCATTCTAGATTGTGGTGCTGACGGCGACCTTTTCCTTGGAATAGTACTCCGTAGTTGTCGGTCAGAAGAGCCGTTCAGGATGTGGGTTGTCTGTTTTTTCACCCGTCCATCCATCCAACACTCCGCTCTACTTCGGCTTCCATCTCGGCATTGAGGGCTCAAAATTGGATATAGTCACGCAGTGATGTGCAATGGAAAGTTTGGATGACCCCAGCACAGTAGGCACTCACTTCTCCACTACCAACCCTGCCATCACCGATGGAATGGAAAAAGAAAACACGTAGAAAAAAAAAGGGGCCAAGCCATAATTAGTGGGTCTGAGCGATGTGATATCACCTCAAGGGACAGTAGCATGGGCATTATTGTTAGAATAGCCAGAGCCTCGCGAACTCAAAATAGAGTTTTGTTTTTTCTTTTGCCCGCCCCATCCAACGTAAACACAAACATTGCCCATGACTATACCCTGTTAGACCCTTTACCCGATAGAGTATGATCTGTCGCTTAGGTTATAGCCACGTTGGTTGCCTTGAATTCCAGCACCAGGGAGAAAAAGCCAATGTTTACGTGTCGAATGCGACGGGGCAGGCCTTCATCTCGGATGGTTGTACCGCCAATGAGAAGATGATCAATTTCCCGCCTTTTTCATAGTTCTTCTTTTATTATTCTGGTTGTAAAACTGGTTAGGGGAAGGCGAGAGGTCGAAATTTGCGCAATGGGGGTCTGTGCTATTCTATCATGTTGGCAGGAGGATCGTCAACGGTGTCTGTCTGGTGGAAAATGATCGGCTGGATAGCTGTTGGGCTTCCATAGAAACAGAATTTGGACGCGGTTTGACACGGCTGGAGATGGGGCGGAAAGTGGTCGCTTTTCCATTCTTGCAATTGTATCCTCATTGCTTCTCCGCGGCGGTAGTTTCAAGCGTGATTATCGTGCTGCATCCTTTGTTGGACCTATGTCATTGGAGCTACAGGGATAATATCAATCCTGTCTAAGGAAGTAAGTGTAAACAAAGATTTATATTCAAGGCGGTGAAAAAAATAAAAAAAAATTGGACTAGAGTTCAAGTTCCCAACAACCACGTGGCTCCCCATCTCTTCCTGATTTTTAATTTGTTAACCTTGTTGTCTAAAACCCTGTACTCAAATCAATGGCTGTTGTCTGTTGTTTTGCCCCACCAAGCGAAAGACAGACTAGACACCAACAAACGACGTATTCCGTAATCAGAGAGAAAACCCGAAAAGAGATACCAATGTGGAGATAGACAAGATGGGGGAATCATTTTCCACCCCCAACTCCAACTCACTAATTCGCCAACTAGTTTGTTCGGCTGTTTGATTCATACATACCCACCCTCCAACCCACCCGCAACGCACCTAGTGTCTCACTGTCTAGTATAGCGTCTGCCAGCACCAAAGACTAAGACCCATCTCCACAGTCCCAGTGTCGACCCACCGCAGTCAGCCGTCTTGACCGCTCTTATGGAAATTTCAATTGGAGTTATCTCGCCGCCCCCAGTGGCCCCCAAGGTTAGGTTTCAGGATTTAGATTATGACGATGGGCAGGCCAGGACGGGCGGTGTCGAAATCCACCTTTCCCTTTCCCGTCCTCAGTACCACCGTTTCTTTGGGTCGACCGACTCGGCGGCGCAGCTGGTTTGCTTTACGCTGGGGCTAAGGGCTAAGGGCTAAGGGCTAAGGGCTAAGAGAGAAACTCCACCGACGAACGGGAAGGATTTGGACGTGCTGGAGAAAGAGCTCACTAACTATCGAAGACCCCGATTTAGTTGGTATATGGGATCTGGTTGTGTGGATGATTGGCATGGGGTAGGTTGGTAGTCTCGTATATTTGGACTGTGATACGAGGCCGTTGACAATCATCTGCCTGCCATATGTTATGTACTTGCCTACCTACGTAATAGGTATACATCATGGAGCGGTAAGCCAGAGGTAAGTCGGGACGAACCTTCCAGAGTGAGGGTCTGATTGGTTGGAAGGGACTATGAAAGCAAGTCGGTCAGAAAAAGCAAGAGGAAATAATCTGAATCAGGATGAAAAAAAAAGAAAAAAAAGAAAGCGGGGTGGATCTTCTGTCGGGGAGGAGAGTCAGAGCACAGAGGTATCACTGCCCCCTTCATTTCCCTTTCCATTCCCTGACATCCAAACAGCTCACTGTGTTCCTTCCGGCTGACCAGTACGACGGGTTCGGGTAACTGCTGTTGGTTCAAATGTCACGCCTGAGTCGTGTATCCCGAGCCGTCAGGTCTAGAACTCGAAGCCCTTATTTGCCAATAAATGGAAGGAACACACGTATGTATATCAGCCTCAGATGATAGCGCAGATATGATGATTTCTAGAAAATTGTGGATTGGATGTGGGTGGCGAACCCCGATTCTGGACAGGTCAATCAATCTGTGGAACCCTGTAAGGAATCATCTATCATCACCTGTAAGCATGATACGATGGCAGTACTACCTTAGTATCCCTCCAGGGTGCCACTCATTATATTGCACTGAGGACCCGGCGATACTACCTACTAGGACAAGCTTTCGATACCCTGTACTGCACTACGTGATATACATGGATGGGAACTGCCCCAGCAAGGAATGTATGTCATAGACCCGTGACGGTGGATGATCATGAGCACGTTAATTACAGGCAGAAGTATTTCAAGACATGTTACAGACTTTACTGCTGTAATGGATAACGTACCCTGTAAGATACCATCAATACAAAGAGCTGCCCAGAAGCATCGGCTATCAAACTATCACCAAAAGCCACCACAATATCGACATAGCCGACACATGGAAATAGACTCATATACGAGCTCACTCAAGCCTCAAACCTACTCGACTCGCTTCCAAGCCACAATCCCCAATATTACACACCTAACTGCAGCCAACATGCAAGATCAGGGAAAACCATGCCCTCCTCCACCGCCGCCACGCGATAAGCCTCCCAAGACGCCCCCCTCCCCTTTCTCATCCTGCACGTCGTTCACCACCATCTCATTAGATTGGCTGGGCGTAGCTCCCAAGACCACACAGACACATCCCAAGCTCAGCCTTGTCACAGCTGAAACAGGATCATCCCTGTCAGTTGCCTCGCGTGGCGGCCAGGGATTTTCATTTGAGCTCGCATGGCCGCAAGCTAGATGCCTCACTAGTTCGCTGCTCAGCTAGCCTACGTAACTACCTACTTACCCCATACTGGATGCGGGGATATGTGTCCGAGATATATGTGATGTGCTGTCTGTGTGTTTGTGGAGAAGTAGGTTAGGCAAGGTAAGGTACACGCGACTAGACACTGCAGGTACTTTAGACATACCGCATTTGACTTTCAATCAATCGTATTCTTTTGTTTGTTTGCTCGTTTGTGTCTAATTACTTGTTGGCGTTTTTCACTGTTTGTCTCTACGGAGTACTCCGTAGGAGCGAAGCGAAGCCTGTCGCAGTCCAGACGCGTGGACAGTAGTCATACCAGTATGATGTATCATTTTGAGAGCTAAGAAAAGCCTCTTCCAAGATTGTCCCACATCCTCTTGGTAAGACCTCCAAAGCGATCCTCTAATCATTACATCCCCCAACAGGATGACAGCACCGCCAAACGGAATGCCCGAACAATCTCACCGCTATGCATGCTCACCATGTGGAAAGTGGATCCCAGACGAAGACGAAGGAGTCAAAAAGGCCCGACCATGCTCTCTCAAAGGGATCCGACCATGAAACTAGCCCATAAGCAACTAGAACAAACCAAAAATAAAAGTAAAGGTGAAAAAAAAGAGTTAGATTACGATGGTGTCGCTCTTATTCGGCATTCGCAGCTCTGACCGGTGATTTGTGGCGCTATACGATTATCACTAACTAACTAACCATCTCGTATGTCTAACTAACTAACTACTAGGTAGTCATCAGGCTGGGCTCTAAGGCGATCTCCTAGACATACGCAGGTATTTAGTTAGCCTTGGCGTTATCTCTTTTGTCATCGGGTGAGGGTTGAGTTGGGACAGCCCCCCTTCTCGCTGGTGCGATCAGACCCTTCGCCAGCCTCGTAGGCTCGTACTGGGGAGCCTGAGCCTGAGCCTGAGCCTCAGAAGGATGCGGAGGATCTAGGCAACCTGCCTAACTTGGTAGTTACCTATCGGGTTGGGAACTCAACAACCCCGGAGTTTGGCACTGGGAAACAAAGTCAGGGGTTCTCTTTTGTCTTTTGTTGTCTTTGTAGAACTAGACCTGTCTGTGGCTTTGATTAGACGGTTGCTTGTACGAAGTATCCGTATGGTGTATCTATCTCCTGTAACGAATACAAAACAAACAAAACGCCGTATTGAGGTACATGAATACATACACACACACACTCACACACACACACACACGAAAGCAACACCATATTATAATACGCAGTAGTAAATCCTGCAAGGGCCCTCCCTCCCTCACCGATTCCACCTAGTATACTCTGGCGGGGTCAATCCCCAAGACTAACGTGGAGCCGCGGACAGACTTTCTCAATTGCATCTAGTTTACGGAGTAGTCAGTGAGGCACTGCCGGAGTCTCCCGATCTGGACGGCAATGCCGTGGGCGCGCGCGCTGGACGCGGTTAAGTAATTATACAGCACTTCTGTCCACGTCCGGTGTCGTCATTGAAACGCTGGGCTCGGAGATAACGCTTTTTGCCGGGGGTCGTTTTGTCTATGCCTTTATGGGATGGGATGGGATATCATATCAGATTACGATGGGTATGGGCTAGTACATGTCAGGTTTGATGCGCTTGCATACATACATGCATACTTAGGATGACTTCGATCAACGTTGAGTTACCACGTACATACATGCTGCATACATAGGATATCCTACTACCTAAGTTAGTATCCCGTTTCAAAACTGTTGGGACCAACAAGGAGATTAGAGAAACACTGAAGGCGAAAAAAGATAAACATGAAAGGAATCAGAATCAAAATCTTACAAGGTCAAAGCGACCAAATTGAAACACCATTACAACCTGTTAGGTACGAGAACCGCATCGGTGGCACGGAAATAACAACTACCAGCCAATGAGTCCCCACGATCGGTCCTCCGGACGGGAACAATTGGATCCATTTCGAGACACACCGCCAGGGCGAAAGTCAAAACGGCTCGATGGCTGGGGCCAAGCCGCGCCTGAGCGGCCAGCCAGAGAAGAAAACCACCCATTCATTCATCATCGGGCGTTGCTCCACGTGTGTCCACGTGGGACGGCATGGATGGATCCCGGCTAAGGGAGAAGACGCTTGGAAGAGAGGTGGAAGGTGAGATTTCTTTTTAGGCATTACGGACGGGATTACAGGTCTTACTTTTGGGCTCAGCCACATGGTGGTAATTTCTTTTTTTTTTTTTTTGTCCACCGTCTCTGGGTGCTTTGTATTTATCACTGAGAGGCAATCGATATTATTGGTATTGTTGATTGTTGGTTGTTATGGTTGATAGTACGAGTATATAGCAAACAGGAACATTAGCCTGTCAGATATGTACGTAACAAACGCCAATAGCCCCAACCATATATACAAAAGATCGATCAAGAGGCAACCTTCGATAGCTGCCAGTGGCTGCCCTGGCTGTTTGGATCGGTCAGATCAGGCAGAATATTGACTCAGCTCTCAAGCAAGACGGCCAATAGTTCCAGGAACCCGGTCAAACAAGCAGCTAGTGGAAACTCTATGCCATGTGGTGCGGTGATGTATCACTTGAAGTGTAAAGTGCATATATTCCACATGGAAACTGGCCTGGCAGATTGAGTGTTGGTTGATCTGCATGGCTTTCCTCGGGTGAGAAGTCTAGCGATAAGGGTAGTGGGTTCGAGTATTAATTACTTGTTGTTGGGGTAGGTGCTAGGAAGACTACTTTGTAGATTCGTTCGTAAGGTAATTTCCACGTGGGCCGAAGGAAGGCTGAGGACGGCACGAGGACGGACATCGCTGGTGAGGGGAAGAGGGGAATCATTTTGATTATTAATTGGTTGGTATCGTTGGTGATGATGTCGCTCAACTCATGCACATACTAAGTACTGAGGCAGTAGTCAATACTGATCCAAGTTAAATGATATTTCCCGACCCATGTAAGATCCCCAAACCTTGCTTTTTCTCCAAACCAAAGAGGGGCTATCTCCTCTGGTTGAGGAATGGAGATGAGATACTGCTGGGGTTTGGTACAGCCCGTAAAAACACATACCGCCTGCTGGGCGAGGACGCTAGTAGCTGGACTAAGCCTTGTTGAGTAAGAGCCTGGCCGACCACTGCAAGTGTTCGAACTTCGTTCCCACGGCGCCTTGTTTGGCTGGAGAATTAATTGGGGATTTGCCGGGAATGACTCAATCCGACCTAGTGATCGCTGTTTGCTTGCACTGGATCGAGTGGACATCCACTGGGTTAGCACGGCTGGAAGGGGAAGGGATTCTACCAGTGTGCTCGAGTTGGTGATGGGAAGCGAGGAGTATTTTATGTCAATTAGGTAGATTCTTAAGGTAGGCAATGTATTGCTAAAGAGAGGCTTCTTTTGTTGGGTGATTCAAGGGCTCTCGTTCCAGAGATTGTGCCAGATGATATGTTCAGGCAACATGTTAATTAATCTGGTCGATCCTGAGTTCCCATCGGCCTGACTCGGGTCAAATAGGTAGACCGTAGGACTGATAGGACGGTGGGGACGATGAAGGTAAACCGTACCGCCTTATCATGCAAGAACTTTCGGCATGGCAGAAGCTTTCAAGATAGAGAGCCATACAGAGGAAATGAAGAATTCGGTATGTTGGTGGTGGGGTTGGATCAGTCCTTTCCCTGCTTCAGTCCTTGTATAGCTGTTCTTTCTTTGATCTCTTTGTCTCCCTTTGTTTACCTTTCTTCCCCTTTCCCTTTTCTTATTCTCGCTCTTGTTTCTGTTCTTGCCCATCAATAGCTAATCTCCTTGCTTACCTTCATATTTTGGCAGTATCTGGAGAGGGAGGACGATCTGGTAATTCTCCCCAGCCGTAGATTGGGTTGATCATCCGACGCTTGCAGTGTTTGGAAACATCCCCACTTATTTGTATGTTAGTAGACTGGTATGATGTGTATCCATCATGGTGTAAACAATGAACAGTGACAGGATATAGCTAATATTTGACCACTTCTTGCTTATCTGCATTGCTGTAGGTTGAGACTTTTAATTGTGTTATCATACATCTTAGGTTGTTCTTGACGGTAGAAATCAAATGACCACAATAGTGATAATGCAAGTGGGATAGAAATTTGGCTATTATACAGACATGATATCCCAGATAGAGAACATCAGCAAGAATCATGATAGATACAGATATTTAAACCGTATTAACCGTATGGTCATTACAGACTGGTACAGTATCTATGTAAGGTAATACCCTGAACTCTGCAAGGAAGAGCAACTTCTGTGATCGCCCCAAAGGAAGATCCATCCACCTTTGCACTTGGCCCACGTTGTCTGGTGCATGAAACCATCCGCGTGCACAGTGGGTCGGGAATGACAGGCCAAATTCTTCACACCCCTGGCCTGTCTTTTCCTTCTCTTTTCTCCCACTTTTTCTCTTTCTCCCCAACTTCAACTTCCTTCTCTTGTCTGCCTGTAATATCCCTTTCGCATACCAAACCCACAAGTGGAATCCAGTAGCTGATATCATTGGTAATTGTGAAAGAGACAATTATTTGACTAATTTCTCGCTAAGCCGAAAAGTCACAGAGAAAGAAAACTCCCCCAGAACCAGCACCTTAATTATCCTTTTTTTTTTTTTTTTTTTTTTTTTTTTTTCTCTCCCTTCCACGCTTTGCCTGTCTGGAAATCGGCTGATTTGATTTTGATTTAATTTCCCATCTTCATACATCCACATTTCTCTCCACCTTCTCTTCCTTTTTTCGGTTTTCTTTTTTCTTTTTTTATTTAAAAAAAAAAAGGGAAAAAGAAATAATAATATCTTTTATTCTCGTCATCATTTACTCACAACACTTCCCACACTCTTATTTTATTCTGTTTCTTATTTTCATTTTATTTCATTTTATTTTATTTTAAATCCCCCCTAAAAACTAAAAGAAAAAAAAGAGAAATTAATTCTCTTTCTCTCTTTCTTTCTCCATTTTTTATTTTATTTTATTTTATTTTATTTTTACATACATACACCCATAATCCCCCCCTCATCTTTTTTACACTTTACTACCCTTCCTCCCACTTACTTATCTGGTTCTGGTTCGCACTATTCAATGCCAACCATATCTTCCACTCTCGACCAAGGATCTCCTTCGTCCTCACATCTTCACTATCACCGCTCTCACCCTTCCCACTCTGCTCATCATCCCGACCCGGCCTACACCTCCCCGGTTGACCAACGTCCCCATACGTCTTCTTCCGCCTCATCCCTCCCTCCCTTCGCTCCCCCGCCGCTGTCCCCCCTCTGTCGCTCCCTCGACCGTAACCACCACTCCTGCCACCAAACCGAACGCCACCGGCTTCACCGGTTCAGTCATTGGTTCGATCTCGAGACGCAATCGTCGTTCCTTCGCTGCCCTCGCCCGCGAAAAGACCTCCAGCGCTCTCGCCAATCTCTCCGCTATCGGAGGTGCCACTACCAACTCCCCACTCCGTCCGTCCGCGTCGTCGGGGAGCTTGACCAAGCATTCGCGTAAACCGTCCCAGATCGGCTCTGGTGAGATCTCAGGTGGAACGTCCTTTACCTCGCCAATCTCCGACAGCCGCGCCAGCATTGAACATTCGACTGTCGTTCCTTTCGAATCCGCGACCAGCTTCACGACCCCGGCCGTGGGTGATCAATTCGATAGGCGCCGCCAAACCCTTCAGCATATCCCCTCCTCTCTCGACCCGAAATCGCAAGTCGATTCTACGCCCAAGATGCATCAGACCTCGTCACGCCTGTTGCGCATGACAGAAGATGATCGCCCTTTCACTAAGGTAAGAAATCCCGTCCCCTGCCCGCGCCGCGAGTCCCCGAGAATGGTTTTCATGGGTGGCGAAATCAGTCGCTAACATGACTTTGTACCGTAGGATTTTATGGACCTCTTCTCGACATTGATGGTTAGCTTGAAATTGGACTCGCATCGCGTACGGTTTACGAAATATGACCACTCGTTCACCTCCGAGGAGGCGATCAATAACCTCGGATCCCTCAAATTCTCCCAATCGAATCGGATGCCGGATCCGAAGGACCCCTCCCGCATCGTGACCACTACGACTACGACCACGTTCTCAATGGCGAAGGAGATGGCCCGTTCCGTGTGTCAGCGCTTTGTCGACGCTCGTTTTATCGAGTCGGTTGACGGCAAGGCGTCGGTCATCTTCCCGCTGAAAGGGGCGCTGTTCCAGCTTACCCCGAAAGGCATCAACATCCTGCAACGATTCTGCCAGCGAAATGGAATCACGGCGCGCCATGTGATCGACGTGTTGGAATCGCCGCGGAACACCATGCAACTGGTCAACCTGGAACGTGACTCCGAGACCGACAAGCTCTCGCATGATCGGGCAACGATCGAGGTCATTTTCCGTCGTTTCGCCGGCCAGGACGGACCCAATGTCAAGAGTAGCACCTCGAGCTCCGATTCGGACTCGTTGAGCGACTATTCCAACGGGTTGGTAGGTGTCAAGATGGCCAAGGAACGCAAGATCAATGATCGGATCGTTGCCAATACCTTCCACGGGAAGGCTGCAGTTGATTGGTTGATGGATTGCTCGACGACCATCGAGCGCCGGGAAACCGTGCTGATTGCGGAACTTTTTGTCAAATATGGGTTAATTACCACGCTGCAAGAGGACAAGTCGATTCCCTTGCCGGATAACTCGATTGTTGCCTTCCAGAACTCCAAGAACGCCATTTACGGAATTAGCGAACGCGGCCAGCGCGTATGTGGGTGGATCGCCAGGGAAAAGCCACGTGACACCACGACCTACGACAGCCGTGGTATCCCGAGAGACTCCAACAATGCGAGATTGAACCACATTCTTCATGATCCTGCCCTACGACTTTTGTTCCGTGAATTCCTGCGCTTCTCGCTTTGCGAAGAGAATCTGTCCTTTTATCTGGACGTGTCTGAATTTACCTCGACTTACCACAAGTCCGAAAAGGTCGGCACATTCAAGAAAGCCGATTCGGTCCGGGAGACACTGGCTGCAGCATATGGTAAGCTCGTCGACGAAAATAAATCTTAGGATTTGGCTAACTCCTCAAAAGGTCTTTACAATGCCTTCTTGGCTCCTGGCTCGCCCTGCGAACTCAACATCGATCACGCATTGCGCAACAGTCTGGCCGGCCGCATGACCAAGGCCGTCGGCGATGATGAATCGATGCTCAAGAGTCTGCAGGAAGTGGTTCATCTGTTTGAGATGGCTCAGACCTCGGTCTTCAAGTTGATGTCTAGCGTAAGTACTCCGATTCCTGAATACACCGGACGTACATGTCTAATTCCCAATAGGACTCCGTGCCGAAGTTCCTGCGGGATCCCAAGTATGCCGTCGTTCTCCAAGAACACGACGTGGATTTAATAGGCGCTACGAGGTCGTACTCGCCGACTCAGGCGCCGATTCCGGAACGCTCCATGAGCCGGTCGGCGCGGCCTTAAAGCCTGCGATCATGCAACATCATGGCCGCTCTTGAACACCGTCAACCATACGTTGACCCGGTGACCCCGTTACCGACGATATGAGCCGTCCGCAATCCTGGGAGTGTTCAGTCTCAAGCGCCACACTTCCTGCGGTAAACATGACGTGTTTGCACGCCTACGGACACTCGCCTTATTTAATTCCCTTGGCGGCGGGATTTCTCAGGCAATCTCGTTTAACCAAGGTATCATGACCGATGAAGGACGTTACGATCTATGGATCATGTGATAGAGATGGTTGATGGAAGAATCATCCAGACTACACTTTCTTTCTTTCTTTTCTCTTTTCCATTTCCTTTCTCCTTTTCTATACATTTTCAAAAACTTCACGCTTTTCGTCGCTACACGGATGACAAAACGTGGAAATGGAGGCTGAGGTACGACAGTTTACCAGCATTAGAGAGGCGTTCATCTGTCATTTCACTTTCTTTATTTTCTCTTTTTCTTTTCTTCTTTGCATGCATGATTCAAGACTTTTCTTTCGTTTTTTCCTTTCTCCTTATCTCCTTTCCAGATCTCATCTCACTGATTCTCCACATGTTTGTCTGCATTTACGTGCGCTTCTACCATGTGTCTTCTATCTGTCTGCATACCAAGCATAGCTCTCGCGCGTCTGTTTACTCTCATTTGTGTATTTGTGTTTTCGTTCAGCATTTTCAAGGATTCAGCGAATACATATGTATATTCATCTGCCCTTTGAAGTTCTGGCACTGTTTTTTTTTTTTTTTCTGGTTCTTTCTCTCGGGGCAGTATCGAATGGAAAATAGATACAGCAATAAACAATAAACAATTATGCTAGTCTTTTTTTCCCCTAGTAGTAAGTAGTATGCTTGCGACAGGTACAGTACCTACCCACCTCCTACATTCTACCTAACAAGGTACCCAGCAATCCACCCAGTTAACTACTAGCTACGCAATTAAGTAGCTAGTAGGTAAAGTCCCACAACCCCAGCAATAAACTACGTAACCAGTATCTAACCAAGCACCCCACCCCAACCCAACCCCAAGCAGAAACCAATCCAATTCCCCAAACGAATCACCATCCCTACCCCCTCGCACGGACCTTGGAGGGGGGGCTGTCGAACTCGGCGTGTCGGAATTAGTCAAAGACGAGGGGAGGGGGAGGGGGAGGGGGATATTTCTCGGCGCGCCAACAACACTCCCGAGCGAAGGATGCATGCATGCAGGATGGGGTAGGTTAGTTAGTCAGTTAGTGAGTATGACTGGTGTGAGGGGGAGCTAAAGCTAGCTAGGTAGCTAGCTGGAGCTTGAAACACATGGCGACCACGTGTTGGGGGCTTTTGCTAGTTGGTATTGGTATTGGTCATGATTTATCAGCTGGATTATAGTTTACTAGTTTGGTTGTCTGTGGTTGACTGCCTCTAGCTAGGGTAGTAAGTAAGGTAAGGTAAGTTAAGGTAAGTTGGGAAGACTAGGTTTGGTGGGTGTTGTTTGGGTTGGGATGGGGTTAGGTTTTGACTAGGTAGATAGTTGGATACTTTAAAGTTAAGTACTTAGTAGGTTTTACCTGACAGAAACACTTCGTTGGTTTTATACTAGGTAGAGAGATTGAGTTTCAACCTTCGAGACAGTCAAGAAGAAAAAAAGAAAAAGGAAATATGAAACCAAGTCGAAACAAATAGAGAACGATAAACCAAAACAACGCATACTCAATAGAGTAGATGAAACTGGCCATGTACTTACATACCTAGTCCACCTTACTATAGGTAACTAACTATGTCACTATCTGCAAACCCACTTTTTCTTATTGCTTTGTCAAGGCACGTTTTCTTGACTGACTAGTTAACTACGTAGTTAGTTAGCTACCAAACCTTGATGAGCTTGATTTTGTGAGTGTCGTCGCTGGTTAGGTAGTAGTTTTGTAGGCCTTCTTTGTGGCTTGGGGCCTTGTATATTGACTGTGAGTTGTAGGCATTATAATACTTGAACAGAGACCATGTATTTCTGTCTACCCTTGGTAGATAGGGTGGTAGGGACATGCTATCTATTCATATCTTGAATAGTTCTATCAATCACTATGCATATCAGATTCATCTATTTCAATGCCGAAACACGAAAACCAGACGATAATGGACAAAAAACAAGAAAGAGGAAACGCCATCTCAGTCCTTTCATTCTCCCCACATAAAGAATTCGGTCAAACTGATGGCGGTAATCGGAACTCCAGTGTTGAGGGTTCCTCTTGGGACTCTGGTGAATATGAACCAGCTCCATATTTAAATAGGGATGATACTAGGGAGTCATCCCACTCTGCCTACCGATATCCATCCATACTGTACGTGAGATTCACAATGAGGTAGAATAATATACAAATTGATAGCAGAGCAAAGGGTAACTGTGGAATAGGCTCAAGATGTCATGTTATGTTATGTTATGCAGTGAAAGATAGATTACTTCGACCCCCACCCCCGCACCTTCATCCCCTCCTCAATAGCAGTCCAGATGCCCTCGACAATTTCCCGATCCCGCCACCGGCCCGCACCCTGCGTCGCACCCTTCTCGTCCCACCGCTCGACGCCAAAGCTCTGCACGCCGCGTCCCCACCCGCGGACTTCCCGCGGGGTCTCCTCGCCGCGCCAGCCGACGTAGATGCCGGTGGCGTGCTTGAACAGCTCCGGGGGCGAGGTCCACTTGTAGGACTTGAACTGCCAGGTTTGGCCGGTGGTGAAGACGGCGACGAGCCGGCTCCAGTAGTCCGGGCGGAAGTTGGCGGTGCTGTCGACGAGGATGAAGCGGGTGGGTTTCCTGGATGGGCCGACAGCGCGCGATGTGGAGCTGGATTGGTCGGAGAGGGTGCGCAGGGGCCGCGAGATGTAGAGGATGTTGGAGCTGGGCATGGAGAGGGTGGGGTGGTCGGGGGGCACGAAGACGCCGTCTTGGAGGAAGGACCGCACGTTGGACATGCGGATGAGGGATGAGGCGGAGGGTGAGAGGAGGATGATGGGGTCTTGGGTCTTGGAGCTGCCTTTTCGGGGTTGGGAGAGGCCTGCTGATGGGGCGGGCACCATTGCCTGTGGTTTCGTGCCGGGCTTGGTGCCGGGGGGGTATTGGCCGGTGCGTGAGCGATTTCGTCCGAGGAACGTCTCTGCTGTCTTGCGGACATGCGAGAAATCCTGAGAATGTCAGTCTGAGCAGCTGGACGGAATGGCCCACAGGGATAGGTTCAACCTACCGTCGGTTTAATACCCCGTAGTACACTATTGCGATCCCCCATCTTGCGCTCGCCATTATAAATCTCCTGCAGCCTCGGATCAATCACCTTAGCCGCGCGTCCATGCTGAGCCCCCCAGCCTGCGCAGTCGCACCCGGCGCACTCGGCACGGCAGAGACACCCCCCGCAGCGCCGGAGGCAATATTAGCAGAATCCTGAGCCTGAGCCGCCGCCGAAGCAGCCGCAGCAGCAGAGACGCCCTCCAAGGGCTTGATGTACTCGCTGTCGTCGGAGGCGCCCTCGAGCCAGGTGATCAAGTCGAGGCGCTCGACGAAGACCAGATTCTGGACCTTCTCCTCCGCGTCCTGTCCGTCTTTGCGCTCCTTCTGCTTGAGCGACTCGTTCAATTCCTGCGCGGAGGCGATGTATTCCGGGATCGCGACGTCCTTTTTCTGCCACGCGAAGAAGATACTGCGTAGGTCGACGGCGGAGTCGGAGGAGGCGGAGACGAAGCGGGTGGGGGCGGATAGTGGGATGGAGTGCGGAAGGGGGTTTTGGAAGTAGAGATGGGTGGCTTTTGCGAGGTCGTCGGTGGCATCTTGCTCTGAGAGTTCGGGGGAGGTTGTCGGGGTGGGAAGACTTCCCGCTGCGATGGCCCGGCGAAGGGCCAGCAGGGGATCTTGTAGGGATGGATCGTTGGCCATGGTGATGATGGTGGATGAATTGGGGAAAGGGTCACCACTACTCCGAATCAATCTCCAGAATAGGGTGGGTGGAAGATATAGGGTGACGATCGTCTGATGGAAGCTGAAGCTGGCGCAGATTGCGCTGAGTCGCGCAGTCGAGGATCCGATGGTGCACGTGACCGGGCGTTGATCGTCGCCCGAGTACAATCGTCAGGGCACTTCCATCCACAATAACCAGTATCAGACTTCAATACGTTTCTCTATGAATCCATCATGTTCAATACGGTCCTCCTTGATTCTTTGACTGGTCAGAACCCACAGCAAACAGAGCTAGAAGAAATACCCCAGCGAATTATGCATGGACAAGACTGAACCACGGCAGCAGAGTCAACCTCTGAATCCAAATGAACAGATTGAATCTAACCCATTGGTCTAAGATATCCTCCTCGAATACTATCACAAAGGGAAAGGACAGTCAAACGACTTACAACATCCCAGTCCAACAAAACACACCTCATTCTATCCCCCACGATCAAATCTCCCTCCGCGACAACCTATAATAAATCCAAATACCATCCATAGTCCAGCCATCTACTAACGAATACTCCCTATCTCACCACTTCTTTCCCATCAAGTATCCGTACATCTTACAAATCCCTTCACTCAAAAGTCTGAACCCAAGCTATCAACACCATCAAGGTCTCTCTCTCTCTCTACTACCAAGCCTCTCCCAGCCTTCTCCCATCAAAGTTCATACAAACCATTAGTACACCAGAAACAGCCATGATTACCTTCCCACCCAACTAAACCAACTAAGCCCATATATCCATACTACTTACTCACTGGCGAAGACAATGAATCCCACCAGAAAACAGAAACCCGCAAGACCCCACACGAATCATCCAACACACTACAAACCACGAGTAAATCACAGTAAACTGTCATCACAGTAAAACACCAGAGATACATAGGATAGATTCTAAACCCCATGATACAGCTGACCAGCTAGCCAGTCAGTCATATCTTTTTTGTACGGTTTCCAGCAGAGTTCAAAGATGAGATTGTTGGTCTTAATTGTACGGATGGATCGTCACGTCACGTCACTTAATAGTTCCCAGATCGGAGCATAAGTTAATGTAGGCAGGGAGGTCATAGGTCATCAATCGAGATTGAGATTGCGGCTGGCGCTGCGACATGTCTACTATACGTATACAGAATGCAGTAGGATGCGATCAGTGCAGTAGATGTTTCCTTTCTTCCACTACATCTACTACTACACAAATCGCGACGAGACTATACCATCATATCATCTTATCCACCCAGGTCCTGAACTGAACAATATCAAGCGTCTATCAATACGGAGTCCACGTGACAGATGACAGACAGACAGACGGACAGTAACTAGTAACACTGACCGCTACTTCACTTCCCCAAACTAACCGTAGCTAGTAGCTAGACTAGATACTCGGATCATAATGACCTCATGAGGCTCTCCAGTGGACCACACACGGTATGAGCAAACAAGGAAAGGAAAGACAATTGGCGATCATTACTCGTCATATTCGAGTTAACTATCTCATTCATACTCAGGTTACGACCCTGCCAAAATAAACAAGCTAAAGCCTCGGCATGTATCAGCCTCACAATAAGTGAATAAAAAAAAAAGAAATAGAAAATAAAGGCTAATAAGGACAAATCATGAAGTGAATGCTGCACGAGGTAGACCTCAAGGCCTACCCTTGAGGCAAAAAAATAAACAGACCCTAGCACACTCTTACCCTAGAGTGTTTTCGTAAACCCATCATCCTTCACACACGCCATATACGCCTTTTCTCGAACCTATTCGGTTCCCGAACTCACGGTTGAACGCCATATTCCACCGAATACAGAGTCAAGATGGAGAATAAAAAACAAAAATAAAAATAAAAATAAAAAAACAAAAAGGACGAAAGATTGGTTTCACATAGAAGATATCAGAAGATAGATCTGCCAGATCGCCCCAAAGCCCGCTCACGTGATCGATACGTGGTTGGAGGCATCTTTCATCACCACGTTCGGTGAGTGAGGATTCTCCGGCTTGGGCACCCCTAACACAGGAGCCTTGTCGTCCGGACGCGGAGCATGGCCGGCCGCGGGTGTATCGCGATCAACCGAGGGTTGACCAGGCGGGGACTGCTGTGCAAGCGTCGACGTGGCCTGGGCTTGGGTTTTCTCCGAGGTAGGGGTTGATAGTGTCCCTCTCCGAATGAGGTAATCACCCAGGCTGAGCTTCTTCTTCACCGGACTGGGCGCCGTGATGCCAGGTCCAGGGGTGGTGGGATGAGGATGTGACGAGTCAAGGGTAGATGGCGGGGACATGCCGGTGGAAGCGGTAGCGGAGCCTGGACTGCTGGCGGAATGGACGGACGGAGCAGCTTGGGGGGGAAGAGAAACCCGTAGGTTGGCACCAAGGCTGCTCATATTCTTCCCAGGTATTCGACTGTTATGAGCCGCGGTCGATGGCCAGGGCGGAGGGGCTGACGGCTTGGTAGAACTCCGCGCGGATAATGGCGACGAGTCCACTCCCTGCCCAACGGATCGAATGGACGACGTCCCTGCGGACGAGCCGAGATCCTTCATATCCACATCGGTGTCCCCCCGTGCGCTAGGGGTGGTAACCGTGGGCGGCACGTGATGGGGACTGAGAGGAGATGGAGAGGCCAGCGGCGCACTAGGGGAAACAGGGGACTGTTGGCAAACCTGCTCCAAGCGCACGCGATCGGAATAGCATCGTTTCAACAGTCGTTGGGTCAGTGGAACGAAACTAGACCGACGAGGGGTCGACAGCGCCGAGGCGGGGGTTGTAGGGGGCAATCCTGCGTGGCTATCCACCTCGGTCTGGATAGCCGAATCCACATACTGCTGAGGACTCCCCCCATAGCGACCGGAAGGAGTGCTGGGGCCAGATGCTCTCCGTGGGGAGCCATGACGTGTGGATGAGAACAACCCGGGAGACGGACCGGACGACGGCGAATAGGACTGACGGTCACGCATGCCCTCCTGAGTCGTTGACGTTTGGAGGGACGGCCCGCTGACCCGTTTCCTTCGCTTGTGGGATGCTTGTTGATTCTGCTCCAGCTGTTGAAACTTCTTCTCTGCGGCCGCGATCTTGCGCTTCTCTCGTGCCGACAGCTCCGACTCGCCAAAGCCCGAGCCGTCCTGCGTGGGCAACGTGGGGGTGAGATCGCGACTGTGCGTTTGACCGCGGACCGAGTCGGACGTCGAACGACTGTCCGCCTGGTCATCGTCGTCGGCATTCTTGGTCATCTCACTGCCGGCACGACTATTACTGGCCGCGGGCGAGATGTTGGATTTGCTCTTGGGCTTCTTCCGTTTGGTACCGGCAGGCTTGGAGTCCAGCGCCTTGGGATGTCGCCGCCGATCCACGCTCGACAGCAGGCAGTTGGGGGGCGGAACGCAGGCGCACCCGCCGAAATGGGCCAGCACATTGCTGATGCAGATGGCGGCCGCGTCCTGGGCCGACTCACTGGTTTCCTGCTTGACGAGGCCATTGGTCGATTCAAACAGCTGAGGATCTAGGTACCACATGGCGGTAATCTCGGAGCCGGGTGGGATGTCTTCCTTCGCGACAAAACAGAAATGGTATTCTACCTCGTTCGTAATATAGGTCTTCATCGTGACATTGGGGCGACAAGAGCGCCGTACAAAACGGAGAGTGCTCCCTTCGTGCCGACTATCGATGTAGATCGGCAACTGTGGGTGAAAGAACACAAAGGGTTCGGGGTGCCGCAGCTCCTGCCAACGATTGCCGGGATCGAGACAGTAGTCGCGCAGGAGTCCGATCTTGCCGGTGATCTCCCCTACGATCTGATCTTTGCCCACGGGATCCCGGGTCTTGAGGATCTTCCAGGCGGGTTGTCGGCCATCGACCTCGAGACCAGGGTCCGAGATCGAGTCGATGGACAACTCGGGCCAGCGACCCCGGTCCAGGGCGGCGTCCGACCAAGTGAAGATGTCCTGCGCCGACCGACCGTTGGTCACATTCGCCAGCGCCTCCGGCTTGGTCACCCACGATGCCAGATCCGCAGCGAGAGGGAGGTTGACGAAGAGATTGCTATCCATGTGCGAATACCCCTGGTCGCGATCATAGAGATGCAGGAACTCACTGGAATACAGGGGGATCAAAGGACCCGAGGGTTTGATCGGACTCATCGATGACCCGCCCCGCTTGCGCCCGTCGGGCGCGAGGGAGGGGAGGCCGGACATGGAACTGACGGACCCGGAGGGGCGATGGTTCGTCTTGGACTTCTTCGCGGGTGGTGGATCGCGGGTCCCCGACTCCGACCGGTGGTGGAACCCATTGGCCTGATCCCCGAGATCTTTTGGTTTCTTCTTGTGACTCTTGGTCCCGGAGCGTTTGGCTTTCCGGTCACCGCCGTCGCTCTGCTCCCTACGCCGCCGTTGCCGTTCAGTGGCGCGCCGGCTGTCCACCAATCGGGGCTCGCAGTCCACGCAATTGTGAACCTCGGGCACGCGCTGATCGGGGTAGTAGCAGTCTATGTGCTGCCAGGTCTCACACCCTTCGCAAAAGACCGTATTTCCATCGTCATCTTCGAAGGCGCAGATGCATTTGATGGTATACGGCTCCTCTTCAGGGGCGGCAGAGTCCGAAACGGCGCCGTTGAGGGCAGGCGAGTTCAAGGGGGCGGTGACCGGGCGAGGCTCCGTGGTTGGATGCGTGATGGCGACTGGGGAGGTATCTGTCATAATCTGACGAGATACCCCCTCTCAGGCAAGGTAAATAAAAGCGCAGACTAGGTATGGAGAAGAGGGACTTTTCAGTATGACCTTCCAAACACGACACGCATGTCAACCGTCGGCTTCTGGCGACCGTATCCTGGATAGGGCCTCTCACGGAGGATAAGCGACAAGGGGTGGGCACAGAGATGGCCAGTAGGGGATAACCGTGCAACTAAGACGAGAAAAAAGAAAGAAGAACGATCCCAGAATGTCTTCCCCTGCTAATCAAGGACACGACGAGTATCGAAACCAGAGTTTGCGAACGAGAAAGGCGACGCTTGATGCCTCAATAGAGTCTTGTACCTCGGTGGCGCGTGCGACCGGGGGAAAGAAGTGTATCAAGGGTCGAAGGTCGATGGACGTCAAGGGACGGGTGAGACTCGAATCGCATGGAGGAAGGGCCGAGGATGGAAGTTGGCGAGATCGATGGAGGACGACGGACTGGACAGGTCGAGAAGGGTCAGGCGATGGTAGAGATTCGAGGACCGGTCGAGAGGTCGAAGACGAAGCAATGAGGAATGAAGAAGACAATCAGGGGAGAAGGATAATTAAAGAAGAAAGGATGGCAATTCAAAGATAGGCGAGAGTATTAAAAGATGAAGGAAGATGAGGTGGAGCCAAAAGGGTGAAGGGTAAGAAGAGGAGATAAAATGGCAAGGAGAGGAAGAGAAGAGAAGAAGAGAAGAGAAGAAGAGAAGAGAGGGTGAGCGAGAGCAAGAGCAAGAGAGAGGAAGAGGAAGAGAGAGAGAGAGAGAGAGGAGAGGCTAAAGCCACGGATGGTCCATTCAAGCGGCGCGTCCCAGACCCAGAGAGAAATAGGAAAAGCGTGGAATTTTTTTTCCCACCCGCTCTTGCTTGCTCCCGGAGCAGTAAGTAAATGGGGGAAGACAGAGAGGAGGGAGGGGGGGAAGGGAAGGGAAGGGAAAGAATGGAAACTCGCGCCCCCTTTTAATTATGATTGTTTAATTTTTTCCACCACGATCTGGATTCGGTGATGGAATCCAGAGTGAATCTCCAGAAGAAACACGAGAGGGGCAAAGGAGAGGGGACATACTAGAGATAGACAGGCAATCTGTCGTCAAGGAGTCGATTGTTAGTCTCGAAGGGGGGGGGGGAGAATGAGCAACCTCAGGCCGGAACAGCAGCCATCATACTGATCGGGGAACTTTTTTTCTCTCATTTTTCCCTCATTTTTTTCCCTTTTCTTCCCTCGACGGAAACGAACGGGGGAAGCCTCAAGTCTCAGGCCGCACACACAAAGAAATTGCCTGGTTGGGTTAGTGCCAGAAAAGGACGCTTGACTGTTTTCGGCCATGGTTGATGCCCCAGGACCCCAGCAGGCAGCGACCGTGCCAAGACCCCATTTCAGGCATAGCGGCATCATGTGAGCACAAGCGAGGAAACCATGGGTTGACAGAGATAGAGGGAGAGAGTGAGTATGAAGAAGGATGGGAGTGGGGATGGATGGACTCTGACATATCAACCGATGTAGATGATCAGAGAGTTCTGATCACCTGAAAAAGGAGAATACCAAACCACAACCAAGAACCAACTCCCTGCCTGTTTTGTCTCGGGTTGATTAGATCCTCTGGTAGTCATCCCCAGGACTATGCAGAGGGGAAACAAATCGCCTGCACGAGGCCAGTAACACCGACAGGGACCATGCATGTACCCTGACGGGGAGGAAGCAGGGCTCCAAATCATCTGAACAGTAGGTCGAAAGACCAAGACCCAACGGGTGGCAAAAAAAAGAATGAAGAAGAGGGGGAGTATTAGTAGACATCAAGTGATGGTGATTAGTAGAGGAGCCAGATCAAGTTGAGCAAAAATGGAAGAGATCGCTGGCCGTATTTCAGGTCAACGTCGGGTGGGCCCAGATGGGCGGGTAGCGGTCAGATAGCAGACATTAAGAACGTGGTTGACCAGTATGGTGGGAAATTGAAAAAGAGGAAGAGATGAAGGCAATGGTAAAGGGTAGGAAAATAGGTAGGGAAATAGAGGGAGCGGTGTTGCTATGGCAGTAGGCAAAAATCAGACCCGAGGATTAGAAAGACCCCGTCCGTACGCCGCCCATGGGAGTTGAAGACAATGGAGGGAAGACAGCAATCTCAACAGGTATCTGAATAATGCCATATCATTCTCAAAACAGAGGATAGGAATGACAACTTGGGAACTTCCTCTGAAAGACGAGGAGAGAAGGGTAGTGGGGAGACATGGTGAGATGTTTGTTTGCCAGTGTAGGGCGAAAGTGAGGGAGGTGGGTAAGAGGGGTGAGGCAGGGGAGTAACGAATAGAACCCAGTCACCGGACAAAGGTTGTATCTCATTTGGGATAGGGTATAATCGGATCATGAAGGGGAAAGGGAAAAAGACAGAGAAGAAAAGAAAGAAGAGAATGTCAACTTAGGGGCGGAAAAAAAGGGAAGGGGAAAAATCAGAGGGGAGAAGAGGGAGGGAGTGAGTGGGTAGGGAAAGTGAGTGGTAAAGTAAAGTGACGAGGCGGAGGCCTAATAATGATGGTATCAGTATTAGCACAGACTGGCCTTCAGTCCATACTACAGATTGCCATTCCGGTCAAAGCAAAAGACACTGACCGACCAAAAGACTGACCGACCCAACAGCAAGCGATGGCAAAAACGCAAACCCTGCCTGTAGTCGTCGGAGGGGGAGGGAAGACAGGCAATCGACCGGATAGAAAGTGGAAACATCCATCCGTCAGGGTTCTTCGCTCGTCCTATATATTAATTTAATTACAACAGGCTAATACTTTCCATTTTCCCCCAACGTTATTTATTTATTCTGTTATTTTTCGACGGGGGTTTCCCACGGGTTTAAAGGTCCTTTTTTTACTAGCTAACTAGTGCCCAAAAAGGTCCCAAGTTAGGGGCTGATAGATTTCCGTACGTGGCAAATGGGGAAAAATACGTACTAGTCGAATAGTTTGGGCCCTTTGCCTGAGGCATATCCCATGGTCGGACCAGCAGAACATTGTCGACGTAACATTGAACGTCGGATATCACTTGATTTTCTGTTTCTGCTGTTCTTTCAATCCTTTTCTCAGAGGAACGGTGTCTATCTTGATTGGCGCTGTCTCTGGCCTTTAGAGCGAGAATACTGTGATCTATATAGATAGACCCGCGCTACATTAGGTCTATAAACCTATATAGTAAAGAATTACTGTAGAGAACCGCGTGTTGATTAGGAGCACGTTCATTAGGATAAGAAGAGACACAATGTGTATATGCAGCGGCTGCTTTGGGACCACCCGACACGCCGGTAACTGATCCCCAGACCTGATGTCTGCCTCGACACTCACCCAATCGTCGACTGCCTCACGGCCTTGTCTCACTCCGATCAGTCGCATCAGCCCGCTTCTCAATATCAACAACATTCCCTCTCCGCCGAAAAACTCGCCCTGTGACGGTAGCATTCAGGAAATGTCCCGAATAAAGAAGGACGAAAACAGCGAGCCCCATGTAGGCAGGGATGGAATCTGTCGTGGGCAGGGGACACGGCGCGGCGATGGTGAGTGTATTGGCGAGAGACAACACCGAGCAGACGACCATCCCAAAGTAAGTCCCGTAGGGTTGGATCCAGGACTGGTGAACCGATGTAAATCCTTGCGCTTTGGTGGACCGCCGGAACAAGAGGTAGACGATACACCAGGACATCCACGAGATATAACCGGAAGTCGTTATGAAAAACATGAGCCAATTATAGACAAGAGAGCTGGGCTCTCCTGCAGACAGGAAGGCGAGAGTTGAAAACGCCGCAGACGCGGCAATCGACACATACGGCACCCCCCAGCTAGCTCGAGCTTTGAAAACCGTAGGTGCATGTCCTGCCTCGGCCAGCGAACACAGCGTTCGTGAAGAAAGGTACAGAAACGAGCGTCCAGAAGCCACCGATGATAGGAATATCAACCCTGTTGCTATCATAGACAATGCTGGGGTACCGATCCTTCCTACACCGATAATGTACGGTGACGTACCCGCGCCGAGACCATTATTCGTTAAGCGTGGTTCGTCGTAGGGGCTCATCACGCCGATGGCCAGCACGCTGAGGGTGTAGAGCAAGGAGTGGATCACGCTGGTTGTCGTGGATGAACGGAGGATGTTGGATCTTGATTCGGATACTTCTTGCTCAGCTCTCTGGACGATCAGTTCCGGGGTGAATATGAAAGACACGGTGCTGTAGACGAGACACTGGACGAGGCCCAGAAACCGACCCAGAGAGCCACCAGTAGTATATGCGTGCATCGCGCCGGGGTCGCGCCAATAGTGGAATCCTCCGGCGGATGATCCAGGGATGCTGGCCAACACAAGCGACAAAATCACAAGCCCCACTGTCGTGAACAGCTTCAACCCAGTGAACATGACCTCGGATCTTTTAAACAGCCTCTCGGGAAGTAGATTGAAACCCGATATGACAAGACAGACGATGGCCACACGCAAGGCGACCTGGGCGCCGGGATCCCATAGACCGATGTTGACCATTGCGTTAGTGATTTCAAAGGGGACCATCAAGGCAAAGGAGTACCAGCGAAGGTATCCTAGTGCAAATCCCAGATGGCTCCATCCATATTGGTATGTGTGCGTTACCGCAGTGCCATCGTCAGCGGGCATATGCGCCGCGACTTCGGCAATGGCCGTTGTCAAACAGTACACCAGGACAGATATGAATATGTAGGATATAAGGAGGGAGAGCGGACCCCCGGCCGCCAGACCTGGACCAGACCCAATAAACAGGCCGGTTCCGAGGGTAGGGCCGACAATCATGATAGAAACTTAAGGATAATAGTGTCCAAGGAGTCCATAAGAATGCGGGGAGACTAGGGAGGGTATAACACCATATAACAGGAGGTTAAGCGGGTGGGAATCATAGCTTGTGTAGAAAACAGCTATTTGGTGTTCAAAAACAGCACGAGATTGTCGCTACTTCCTCAGTAAGGATGTGGTGCACAGGCGATGATGTGAGGTAGTCCTTCCTTTACTGTAGCAATGAGACCGAAAGGCGAGAGAAGAAGGAGGAAAGAAGGATCAGAAGGAAAACCGAGGCAGTAAAAAGGCAATCATTTCCGGCGTCTAAAGGCCAAAACAAAACAGGCAAATCTTGAGGGTTAAGTTAAGTAGATATAACAAGCAGGAATGGGTATCAATCAATGTCTACCAAACAAAACAACGAGATAGACCCATACCCGTCATAGGCAACTGTGACAACGCCCATAGGTAAGAATACCTAGAGAGTAAATAAAAAAACAACGGATCCCTGTTGTAAGACACTAACACCATAAACCATGTAAGTCGGGAAAGGCATAATTTGCCGACTGCCGATTATCGTCCCATTGAAAGTATTTTCAAGGTTGGGCGCCACATTTTAAGCCATGTCAGTCTCGGCATACTCGAGCCATTCACCAGACAGCGATTTCTTCCAAAATCGCACAACACCATCGTCACCGGATGAGATGAGACAGTCACCTATTGAAAGTATTAGGACGGTTGATCATTCCTTGCTTTCCGTTATATAGGGTCATATCAAGACTTACCGGCATACGAGAATCCGACTTGCCACACATCCAAATGCTTACTATCGATACAAGCCACAAGTTTTGATAGATGCTTGAACTGCGAATCCCCGCCCGTGGGGCGACTAGACATAGACATCGGTGCGCGACTAGCCAGTGCCGAACCAATCCCTGATTGCGTTGTTGCACGAATCGATGGTGATTGCGCAGCAGGCTGCGCGGGCTTGTCATTATTCGCATTTTGAGACCCACTGCTCGATATCGAAGTATACACTTCAAAGATTCGAACGAAACCATCCTTGCATCCACTGGCAATGAGATCATACCCCCGGACCGACCCGTTGGCCCAAGAGATTTCTCGTACAAGACCACCATGACCACTCAGCTCTATGGCGTGATAGAAGCGACGATTGGCATCGGTGCGGTACACCTTCACACTATCCATGGCTGCCACCACAAGAGACAGACTCTTGCGATCCCAAGAAGGCAGCACCGAGTGTGTCATATCAGTCGGATCATGGTGGAATTGTACCTTGAAGCTTGTTTCCTCTCCTCTCTGAGGCGTACTGCACACGCGAAACTCGTCAAGAGGCTGCCAGTCTGCAAGAGTATCCGGACTGACGGGCTCCATGACAATCAAATAGCCATCTCGCGTAATGACAGCAAGCCAGGTCTCCAGGTCGATGTTTCGAAAGTCAATTGAAACAAATGGATGCCGCTGTGGGGCTGTCATCCGGAAGATGGACCTGAAACGCCTGCCCGAGTGTGGGGGTTGCGTGACATCTTCTTGCCATATCTTGCATTTCATGTCTTCACCTACAGTGCCAATATGCTGTCCCGTAAATGGCCCATTCCATGCTGCCTAGTGGAAGTTAGATCAGAACGAAGAACAACACTAGTGGAAAAGGCCTCTCTGCTCACATCGCGAATCTCAGCATCATGAGCACGCCATGTATCAGTCAGCTGCCATTGGCCATCCTTCTGATCCCACACCTTCATCCGGTGGTCCGAAGAAGCCGTGACAATGCGATTTCCATAGAAATTGAACTTTGTAACCAGTACCAAGTCGCGATGACCGGCATCGAAATCGGCGAACCCAGACGCCATTCCGAGCCGCCTGGGTGTTTCCAACCAACGATTTCCCGCGACCAGTCTTAGCTGTGCATCTATGGCATCTGCTGGGCAACGAGACACGTAGTTCCGAGCTTACTAGCCACGAATGATCCAGAATCGATTGTTATGGCTCCTGATCATGCGTGAAGATCAATATGTATTCCTTTACATGTGAAGCGCGCCGCGCATTAATGCGCCTGGCTAGTGAAGATTACATAATACTGTACCCACGCTATTCCGCTCTAGGGAGACTGTTGACGTCGGTGCCTTGGGCGCCGTTTGCAGTTTACTTACCGCCTGATCCGGCGGTCAGGTCTGTTCGGCAGAACGGCATTATATTGCCCTTTTCCCTGATAGATCTGGCCTTTTACAGAGGTGCGATGATAAATGATGTATTGATGGAAGACCAATCCAACAGAAGTCTATGTGGTAAGGTGGAGCGTCTAAGCTCGTGATGAATTCAACACAGTCAGGTTCTCTCTCCAATGGGGAGATTTGGCGTCTCTTAATCCTCACGGGGATCTGCATTGCCATACTCGCCAACGCTTTTCAAGATGACGGCGCGCCTCTGGTGGCATCCGCTGCCTTTAGTGGAATTGCATATGCTGTGACTTTCAGCATGATCAGATGGTTGGGTCCGGTTTTCATGAAAGCCGGGCTGAAGGGAAGGGATATGGCCAAGCCAAGAAGACCTGAAATGTATGGACAGCGATCCTTTCTATATTCTCGTGTTGGAGCCATATCACATAAGAATCGACGTATCGATGACTAATGATTATGATTCCTCAGACCAGAGACAATGGGGGCGGTTTGTGCCATTGTATATCTTCTAGCGATCATATCTTTTATCCCATTTGCTTTCTACAAAGACATTGTCGCGGCTACCTCCGGCGGAGGCAATCGAGATGTCGTCGTCGAGGTCCAACATGTCGAGACTGGCCGGATGCTCCATCGATTTCCTCATGGAAAGGTTTGTTATGGACCTCTCCTTCTGACCGGTCGTTAGAGTGGGCAAGTGCTGATGATCGCAGCTGGCGTCCTATATGTCCGGTGTCCTTTCCCTACAGTGCATTACCATCCTCGGCATTGGTGATGACCTTCTGGACATCCGATGGAGACACAAAGTTCTTATTCCTGCATTCGGAGCGATTCCAATGCTGATCGTTTATTTCGTGGATTTCGGTGTCACCCACGTTGTCGTACCGGTCCCATTGCAGCCCTACTTGGGCGCCGTTGTCGACCTCGGATGGCTGTACTATATGTACATGGCGGCAGTGGCTATCTTCTGCCCCAATTCCATCAATATGCTGGCGGGAATCAATGGGGTTGAAGTAGCCCAGTCCTTGGTCATTGCAGTATTGTTGATCGCCAACGACCTGCTGTATCTTGCACCAATCACTCCGTTCCCGCATCCGGCCACAGACTCGCATCTGTTCTCGCTTTATTTTCTCCTCCCGTTTGTCGGAGTATCATACGCCCTTCTCTACCACAATTGGTATCCCTCCAAAGTGTTTGTCGGGGACACGTACTGCTACTTCGCCGGGATGGTGTTTGCCGTCGTCGGCATCCTCGGCCATTTCAGCAAGACACTACTTCTCCTCTTCATCCCACAAATTTTCAATTTCGTCTACTCGACCCCTCAACTGTTCAAGCTGATACCTTGTCCTCGGCACCGGTTGCCCAAGTTCAATTCAATGACTGGGTTGTTGGATGCGTCCGTGACGGAATGGACCGTCCCGCCTTCTCCGTTGATCGCAGCGGCCTTGGAGCTTCTACACCGGTTACGGCTGATGCGCATCACGAGAAACGACGAGGGCCAGATTGTGGAATCGACCAACCTCACGATCCTGAACCTGTGGCTCGTGTGGATGGGTCCCATGAGGGAAAACCGGCTTGCGTTCCATATGGTTGTTGTTCAGATTGTTTGCGGGTTCATTGGTCTTTTCATACGCCATCGTCTGGCGCTCGTGGTGTTCCGAGACGATAATCGGGCATTTGATTTTGGAGTTTAGCTTGAGTTAGAATTTATTCAACTTCTCCTATACTTATCTGCTTAGATTTTCAAGGCAACAGACCGAAAAGGTGGACTATTTCGCAGTCAGCAGTGTAGGGACTTGCATGGAAGCAGATACAAGGACACGGTCACACCAATAGCAAGCCATAGAATATACCACAATACATTTGGTTGACAAGCACACCGATGGGTTTCTGTCAAAGATAGGCAGCGACGAATAAACCCTCTAATTGAGAACGTGGCTCAGTGTTATGCCTACATCCTTTGGGAGCCAACCGTTGACGCCAACATGTATTGGTACAGACTAGCTTCATGGGGGATTTAAGAGATACTAGGTCGTTTTAATAATCAATTCCCACTATTTGAGCAGGGATGGATGTTCAACTGCGCCCTTTTCCTGGTCAACAGACCAGCTGATCCGTGCTTATCAACAGCAACAGCAAAGAAGCCTGGTTGGAAGCACTCAGCTAGTCAGCACCTCGATAGAACGGTCATTCCCGCCTTATCTCCGTCCGCTGACCCTGGTTGATCTGCTTGGCCCGTCCAAGCGGCAATACGGTTGCACCAACGCCAAGAGCGGAGATTCCATAATATCTGCTGTTGTTGCTTAGCTACCGCACCTGTTTCACTTTGTTCTTCCTAGAAACTTGAGAAAGAGGGGACAAAAGCCACTAGTCACTGCCTAGTGCCTACTGCCTACTTACTGCGTGGGGACTTGCCAGAGGGAGCGGACCCGCTTACGATCCACTCGACTCTAACTCCGTCTTTAACCCCGGGTGGTGTTTCTCCCCGCGTCCTGGATTTGGGACACCCAAGGATTCTACTATGGTTCAAGTGCTGTTCAATTCATAGTCATTGATGGAGATAAAGCGGTATGCCGTCGGAGTTACGCGGCGTTTGGGGAGCTCCGAAGAGGGAAGCATATATAAGGAGAGAGCTGGGACCATGTCTGGGGTATTCGAACTGAACAGCAGCAAAAGGATACTCCAGTTTGATCGATTAATTCAAGCCCCAACTCATTCTTACCTTTTCAGCTGACAGTTCAATCCAAAAACAACTCCTTCAACCGCAAGCAGTTTTCAAGATGTCCACTAGTATGTTTGCACCCGCCCCCGAGCCGCCCACCGAGCTCGGTCGCTACCGCATCCTCTCCTCGACGGCGGGGATCCGGGTATCTCCATTGCAGCTGGGCGCGATGTCCATCGGAGACGCATGGTCGGAAGGAATGGGATCGATGAACAAGGAGTCCTCCTTCAAATTACTGGATGCCTACTTCGAAGCGGGCGGGAACTTCATCGACACATCCAACAACTATCAAGACGAGCAATCCGAGGAATGGCTTGGCGAATGGATGACCGCCCGGAAGAACCGCGACCAGATCGTGCTGGCGACCAAGTTCACCACCGACTACCGGTATCACGCCCTGGGCAAGGGCAAGACCCCCAACCACGGTGGGAACCACCGCCGCAGCATGCACGTGAGCGTGCGCGACTCGCTCCGAAAGCTGCAGACCGACTACATCGACATCCTGTACCTCCACTGGTGGGATTACACGACCTCCATCGAGGAGATCATGGATAGCCTGCACATTCTGGTGCAACAGGGCAAGGTGATGTACCTTGGGATCTCGGATACCCCCGCGTGGGTCGTCAGCGCCGCCAACACCTACGCGCGGGACCACGGGAAGACACCCTTCAGCATTTACCAGGGCCGATGGAACGTTATGCAGCGGGATTTCGAACGCGATATTATCCCCATGGCGCGTCATTTCGGGATGGCTCTGGCCCCCTGGAGCGTCCTGGGCGGTGGCAAGTTCCAGTCGAAGAAAGCCCTGGAGGAACGAAAGAAGCAGGGCGAGGGGTTACGCATGGCTTTCGGGACGGATCAGACTGAGGATGAAGTCCGCATGAGTGAAGCTCTGTTGAAGGTGGCTGAGGAACATGGCATCGAATCCGTGACCGCTGTGGCCCTGGCCTACGTGATGCACAAGGCCCCCAATGTCTACCCCCTGGTGGGTGGCCGGAAGGTCGAACACCTCCAGGACAACATCCTCGGACTGTCCCTCAAATTGACCCCCGAGCAAATCACCTTCCTGGAGAGCGTTAAGCCGTTCGATGTGGGATTCCCGAGTAACTTCATCGGCGAGAACCCCAAAGTGGCCGGACATACCACGTGTTGGCTTATGGCTGCCAGTGCCCAGCTTTCATTCCCGCGGACACCATAAGACTGATCATGACTGTACCTAGCTATTTTTCTGTGTTTTCAAATATTAATAATTCCAACGAAAGTGTCCAACGTAGTCACATAGCAAGGCCACAGGTAGCCGGTAGCCCTGCCAATCATCTAAACTCGATATAGAACAGGTAGAGTAAACCAGCCACGTGACCACTATAAATCAAGCACCCGCACAGACGGCCCTTAAATAGTGCTATGGGGAAACTGCCTCGTAAGTGTGCAGCCTAACAGCCTTAGGCTCTCAGGTATAAATCAAGCCTTTTCCCTGCCAAGTGGAGCCTCAGGCCCAATCACGGCCCGAATGTTAGTCATGCTCCGGGACTAAGCGCGCTGCCGGCCGATGTCGGGCGGGAATCTTGCCAAGGGGGGGCGGGACAGGCCAATCGCCACCCAGCGATTGGTGGCTGACCAGCCGAGATCGGGCCAGCCCCTCGGGCGCCGCGCAGCGACATCGCGGCCCTATGGGCGACGGTTAAAATGTTGCTCTTGTGCTCTTTCGTATCCATCTCAAGATCACTTTCTAGTTGCACGCCTGGAGAACGCAGTCGACTCCTCTCACGTATCTGGAGTATCCTGTCATTCATACCGCTCTCGTTAACATCCACGCAATATCTCTATAACCTTACCTGACTCATTTTCTCTGCCCCTCATGCCTGGCGCCGATAAGAAGCCCAAGACCTTGTATGACAAGGTCCTGGAGCACCACATTGTCAACGAGCAGGAAGATGGCACCATCTTGCTGTACATTGATAGACATCTGGTTCACGAAGTGACCTCCCCGCAAGCCTTCGAGGGTCTCAAGAACGCCAGTCGCAAGGTCCGCCGGCCGGACTGCACTTTGGTCACCGTTGATCACGTACGTATCAAACACAATCTTTTCTTTCTTCTAAGAGAAATCTTCTATAAGAGCAATTCTGACATGCTACAGAACATCCCCACCTCCTCCAGGAAAAACTTCAAGAATGTCAACGAGTTCATCGAAGAGAACGACTCCCGCCTCCAATGCGCCACCCTCGAGGAGAACGTGAAGGATTTCGGTCTCACATACTTTGGAATGGGCGATAAGCGCCAGGGTATCGTCCACATCATCGGCCCCGAGCAGGGTTTCACCCTGCCCGGAACGACGGTCGTGTGCGGTGACAGCCACACCTCGACCCATGGTGCTTTCGGTTCCCTGGCCTTCGGCATCGGTACCAGTGAGGTCGAGCACGTCCTCGCGACCCAGACCCTGATCACCCGCCGAAGCAAGAACATGCGCATCCAGGTCGACGGTGAACTGCCCGCCGGTGTCACTAGCAAGGATGTCGTCCTGCACATCATCGGTGTGATTGGAACTGCGGGTGGCACGGGAGCCGTGATTGAGTTCTGCGGCTCTGTCATCCGCGGCCTCAGCATGGAAGCCCGGATGTCCATGTGCAATATGTCTATCGAGGCGGGTGCGCGTGCTGGCATGATCGCACCGGATGAGATCACCTTCGAGTACCTTAAGGGCCGCCCCCTGGCCCCCAAGGTCGACAGCGCGGAGTGGAAGAAGGCTGTCAACCACTGGAACAGCCTGGCATCTGACGAAGGTGCTCACTACGACACCAACGTTCTGCTCAAGGGTGAAGACATCATCCCTACCATCTCCTGGGGTACCTCCCCTCAGGATGTCATCCCCATCGCTGGCGTGGTTCCCGGTCCCGACGACTTCGAGGACGAGAACCGCAAGCTCGCCTGCAAGCGCGCCCTCGAGTACATGGGTCTGACGGCCGGCACGCCCATGAAGGATATCCAGGTTGACAAGGTTTTCATCGGGTCCTGCACCAACGCCCGTATTGAAGATCTGCGCGCCGCCTCCAAGGTCGTCAAGGGCAAGAAGATCGCCGCCAACATCAAGCGCGCTATGATCGTCCCTGGTTCCGGCCTGGTCAAGCAGCAGGCCGAGTCCGAGGGCCTCGACAAGATCTTCGTCGACTCCGGATTCGAGTGGAGAGAGGCTGGCTGCTCCATGTGTCTGGGTATGAACCCCGACATCCTCTCGCCGCAGGAGCGCTGCGCCAGTACCTCCAACCGCAACTTCGAAGGCCGCCAAGGTGCCGGAGGTCGTACCCACCTGATGTCCCCCGCCATGGCCGCGACGGCCGCCATCGTCGGCAAGCTTGCCGACGTCCGCGAGCACATCTCCACCAGCCCCGTCCTGGCCAAGGTCGAACCCAAGTTCGACGTCCAGCCCGAAACCGAGGACGTCGAAACCGAAGACGAGCTGGACCGCGTCCTGGACCAGCCCGCCGACAACGAGCCCCACACCAACACCACCGGCGCCCCCGCCGGCACCAGCGCCGGACTGCCCAAGTTCACCGTCCTCAAGGGCATCGCCGCCCCCATGGACCGCTCCAACGTCGACACCGACGCCATCATCCCCAAGCAATTCCTCAAGACCATCAAGCGCACCGGTCTCGGCAGCGCCCTCTTCTACGAACTCCGCTACAAGGACGGCGCCGAAGACCCCGACTTCATCCTCAACCAAGGCGTCTACCGCGACTCGAAGATCCTCGTCGTCACAGGCCCCAACTTCGGCTGCGGCAGCTCGCGCGAGCACGCCCCCTGGGCCCTCCTCGACTTCGGCATCAAGTGCATCATCGCGCCCTCCTTCGCAGACATCTTCTTCAACAACACCTTCAAGAACGGCATGCTGCCCATCGTCATCCCCGACGAGGCCGTCCTGCGCTCCATCGCCGACGAAGCCCGCGCCGGCCGCGAAATCGAAGTCGACCTCGTCAACCAGGAGATCAAGGACGCCCAGGGCACCAAGCTCGCCTCCTTCGACGTCGAGGTCTTCCGCAAGCACTGCCTCGTCAACGGCCTCGACGACATCGGCCTCACCCTCCAGATGGAGAGCAAGATCCGCTCCTTCGAGATCCAGCGCACCCTCGAGACCCCCTGGCTCGACGGCTCGGCCTACCTCAAGCGTGGCACCCGCGGCGGCGCAAACATGGTCCAGGCTGCTCCTGTCCCCAAGACCAACCGCGGAGACGTCAAGGACGAGCCTCTGGAGTGGTAAACAACTGGATACTCACTCCACTGATACGACCGCCATGCTGTAGTTCTTGATTTATTTCTTTATGTTTTTTTTCCCCTTTAACTCTTTTTTCTTTCCTACTCGTTTTGGGTTAGCTTCAGGATTAGACACGGATGATAGTCAGTCTTGTTTTTACTGCATCTCATAAACGAGGACGCATTGGGATGGTTCCGGGTTTAAACCTTGGTTATTACTTTTTTTATTTTCGCATAAACCTTCCTTAGTTGCCATATACCTGAGGGCTCGAAATGACAATTATTTAATGCTAAAATTTGTATCGATATCAAATTCGCGACATCTATCGTCCTACATAGATTGAATGATCTGATCTCTACCAAAGGTTATCATTCATATCATGTTATTTAATTTTGAAAACGGCACACCCTAGACAGATCTCCATTAAAGAAAAGAAAAGAGAAACTAACTAACCAAGTCCTCAACCAAATAGACAAGATATAAAATCATGATAACATCTCTCAGAGAACCAAAAAATAAAATAAAAATAAACAAGGCAAATTAGACATTCAAAAGCTGACCACCCATTAAAGAATAAAAAACAACTATAATAACGAAATAGCTCTTTTCTGATCACTCCATTGCTTCGTTCAGTTCCATTCCAACTCATCCAACCAGCGATAATAATGAAAAGAGCGTACCAGGTTCCGTAGACAATCAATCAATCAATCAATCAATCAATCAATCAATCAATCAGATAAAAGAGCGTAATGACATCCGATTCGTGCAGTAAACAATCAATAAATCAATCAACATGTAGAATAGATCCATCGTGTGGGTGCGCATGAAGTGGGTGTCATGGATATGGATCGTGGGCTAATGTACAGGGGGATTCAGGTTGGCTGAGTAGTCATTTCTCTCTCTCTCTTTCTTTACTCTTCTTCTTTTTTTTTGGGTCTTTTTCTCTTTTCTTTTGCCCTTCTCGGCCTGTTCGCTTCTTCTTCCTCTTTTCCTTTTGCGTGCTCATTACCTATATGTCTCTTTCTTTGCGTAACTTCTGCATCTCTGTTCGCTTCAGTCAATCAATCAATCAATCACGATAAAAGACATTATTCAAGTTGCGTAATTATGTATCCGGTGTAAATGACGAATATGAAAGGGCAAGGACCCCTCAAGACAAGAAATGACATGCAAATCTTCTCCTGATGGGCCATTGCCAGGATGTGGTATATACTGCTGGCAATCTGAGAGTGCATGCGCACTAAGGCTTGGTAAGTTGTTCCTTGCGGAAGAACAGAAGGAAACCACCGCTAGACAGAATTAGTACTAGAATCGAAGAATCAAAAGAATGAAGAACCTACCAAATAACAAACTGGAAGAAGATAGCAATCCAGAACCACGCGTTCGCTACTGCGCTCGGGCCAGCCGTGACATCCGGCGAGATAGGCCCAGGGCCGATATTATTCGGCGCGAACGCACGGGCACAGATCGTAGCGATGGAACCCAGGACCTGAGATGCAAGCAGCGTGAAGCAGATGTGCAGTCTCGTCATGGTCTGTAGCAGGATCATGCCGAATCCGAGACCCTGGATGGCGTCTAGGATGCCGAGCCAGAGCCAGAGACTCCGTGAAGCGAGAGCGCCTCCTACGGAACCGCCGGCCCACGGGAGGAACACGCCCATGCCGGAGACGCCCCACCAGATTTGGGCCCAGCGGGGGCCAATCAGGCCGCAGGCGAAGACGGGGAGGATCCAGCTGTGGGATCGGGAGAGGTGCGCGAATATGTATAGCAGTAGGACCCAGGCGACGCCGAAGAAGACTATGACGAGGAGGCCGATTTGCCAGGGTTGGGCGTGGGTGGAGCTCCAGAGGACTTGGGGGGTGGTTAGTTGGTTGTTATTTAGAGAAAAGGAGGGGTGGACTTACAGGCCCAGTTTCGTCCGTAGGGGGCACTGAGGAAGAAGTTTTGCAGGATGACAACCACGAAGTTCCATAGGATGATCTTGCGGCGCATGACGGATTGGTAGAATGATGGGACCTTTCCGGGCGTCTGGCGGTAGAAGTTGGGCAGTCCGAAGAACACAAGCAGGCCTATGACCCAGAGGAAAGCGGCAATCGGTATGCAGATGGCACTAAGAGATGGTTAGAAAATTTGGATATATTGGCTGTAAGAATACATACGTCATCTTCCAAGTGTTCGTGATATTACCCTGGGGGTTAACGACACCATCGGTGACCGCTTGAGAGAGGGTCGTTCCCCAGTACCACAGCCCGATGATGTAGGCTTGTTGACTGCCCTGGATCATGCAAGCGCGGAAAACCCACTGTCGAACCGGAACACCATTCTCATCACCGAAATTGAGAGCAAAGAACAGTGCACCGCTGGACGAGGCCGCGGCATAAACTCCGCTCCCGATGTTCTGGACCCAGCTGCGAGTGAAGCTGTCGGCACTGTAGTGCGCCACACCGATAATGATGAAGGAGAAACCGTACAAGATCCAAGGAATGGTGAGGACAATGACCGACTTGAAGTGGCGGAAGAGGAACCACCAGATGATAGACGTAACCAGGTACACTGTTGCAATTCCATAAAGCTTCTCGGGTGTTTGACCGTTTTCTCCCGTGAGCAGGGTGATCTGGTAGGAGTTGGCGGCGATGATCTGTCCCAGGGCAAGGAACAGCGAGTACAGCGGCCAGTCGAAGATGCGAATTTGCATCCATTTCTTCAAACCTGACGGGGGAACGTAATCATCGCCAAGAAGGAATTCGTCCTTCTGCCGACGTGGACTGGGGTCACTCTCGCGAGAGGTCCCGTCATCGCCGGAAAGCGAGCCCACGGGTGACGAGTTTTCGAGTTTGGCTTTGAAGACTGAGGAAGCTGGCGATTGGTTGCGGCCAAGTCGAGCGTCGCGGAACTTGTCGAACCATTTCTTCTCGCTCTTGACCAGGTACTCTTCGATGCAGAGCTGGGATTCCGAGTTTGCTCCATTGAGAGTCTCGAGCCGCTGTTCGAACACCTTGTAGTACTCTCCGTTGCTGTCTGTGAAGAAAGGATCCACCTTTTGCAGCTTGTAATCTTTCTTCTCGCCAATGATTGAGTTGACGGAAAGGACCGACGCACTGCTGAGACGGTTTCCGGGCTCTGTCAACTGTTGCTGTCTTGAGGCGGTGATCGAGTCGTGGTCAGTATCGGGCGTGGACTGGGCCTGGAACGGAAGCCTTGGCAATGATCCTTGACTTGAGTGTCCTCGGTAACGACGACTTTCTTCAAGTTGCTCAGGTGTTAGAGTGTACTCATCGTCAGCATAGTAGCTTGGGATAATGTCATCATCGCTGCTCTCCTCGGTCATGGAATTTGCAGCGCTGTCCTCATTGTTCCCGTTGCGACCCCTCCTCAAGCGACGTCCACGATGCATAAGATGACCAGGTCCAGCGCGAACCCCCAGAGACAATTGCCGACTCAGTCCGGACCTGGGTTTGGCGTTGCTACCTGGACTAGGATCCCGGCTATAGACGATGGTATTCCGTTGTTGCGGTCCGTAAGCGCTGAGGCGATTGGCGCTGGAGTAGCTTCCCTCGCGCGAATGTCCCAGCGGAGGAGTATGAACTCCAGTGGGAGTCATCGTGCCATTTGTTGATGCAATCGGGGGAGTCATCATCCCGCTCGGTGTGTTGTATCCGGAGGGCGTGGCACCTTGACCATTAAGCTTCGCCTGACCCTTGCTATGAATACGCACAGCAGTGGACTGTAGGATTTCCAGATCTTCGACCCACTGGGCCACAGGGAAACGCTGTTTGGCAGACCGAGCACGCATCTTGGCTCGAACCGATGCCTTGGAGTCCAAGGCACTGCCGATGGCAAGCTTGAATTGTTGCAGCAAGTGAGCAGTTGTCGGGGATTCGATATTGAACCACCAGCCTGGCATCTGGCCAAGACCACCAACGCGAGCGCCGATACCCAAGGCTCCCTTGCGACCGAATTCGACGGCAACCAGTCCGAAAGGCTCGTCACGGGATGGAATCAAAGCAAATTCGGCACCGGAGAAGATGCACGGCGGGAGAGCAGTGAACTCGGGTTTGGAGAACACACGTCCGGGGTAAACCTTCATCATGCGGTCGAGCTTGAGCGCGGCAAATTTGCCATACAGATCGATTACTGGACCGACGCAGACCAGCTGCACATTGGGACGAGCCTCCAAAACAGCAGGCATCACGTCAGCGATCAGATCAACGCCCTTTTGATGGGACCATCTTCCGACGAAAACCAGAAGGTCGGCATTAGGGTTTTGGTCAAGGCCTGCCCATTCCTGCGCCTGGCGTTTGAGAGCTCCACGGCTGTCCTCGTAAGCCTGGTCCACCTGGACATCAGTCGCGTTTTGCATGTCACGGCTCCATGCTCCAGTATCCGATGGATCCGGGTTGGGCAAATTGCCGACCTTTTTCAGTCCCCAGAAAATGGGATAACGAGCATAAGACCGCTTTCCGTACTTCCTAGAGACACCCACAGCGCCGAAGCCTTGCTGATGAACACGGAGATAGCTTGCACCAGCATGAAGCATATTGAACACTTCTCCGAACTGAACGTAACGTCTTGCCGTATCGAGATCGAGATTGAATACTGAACAGACCTCATCGCGTTCCTTTTGGGTTCGCATGGGCCACAGTCCCTGGAACTCGGCGTTGTGAAGCGAGAGACACACGGGGGTTGTTTGAGGAAGAAGGTAAAGCGGCGCAATAGATCCGTGGTAGTCATTGATATGGTACAGGTCAGGCGAGAAACGCTTCAATGCTTCTGCAATACACTGATTCCAGGCTGAGTAGTAGATGGCGCTGTCCAAGTCATCCATACGCGCGGGATACGGTTCGGACTTTGTCTGCTGGCGGAAAACGGGAGCATCCAAAAGAACGTATGTGATGTTGTTCAGCACATGGTACTGAACCTTGACCTCATAGGGGTTGCCGAGAACGGTCACGAACATGGAATCGGCAGGCTGGTCCCTGGGGTAATTGATGCCGCCAACGCAAGGAACAACCCACACCAGATTCTGGTCTCCGAGATGCTTGCCCATCAGCTGAGCCATGACACCCAGGCCACCAATCTTGATTTTGATTGCCCAGTCCTCAATGTCGTATTCCATGGTGGCAATGAGAGTGGTGCGTCGTCGAGCGGCCTCCGCGCCGAAGGCAGGGGTACTCTGGAGGAACCCCGACCTGTTGGCAAAACGAGTCAGGGGGTTGCTCGAGTCGCCAGCAGCACCGGAGGCCAATTTTCCGCGGAAGAACGATTTCTTCTCCACGACGCCCACTTGATTGAACTTGACCTGGTAGAACGATTTCATGAAGGCGTAAACACAAGCTGCGGCCAGTGCGATCGGGACAAGCCAAAGAAGAACATAAATGGCAATCTGGGTGGGCCGCGATCCTACCGGCTCAAGGTGAATGCGAAGAGTGCTATCGTCAAGGCGTAGATTCCAGCCGAGATAAGGCGATGGGGGGATTTTCGTGATGTTGACCACCGCGTCACTTTGCGACGAAGGAGGCATGCGATCCAAGACAAGGTCCCCGTCCACATCACCGTAAACCCAACTCTGGTCCGGTTGCCCATCCGGGTTCATCCCCCAGACATTGTACTGAGCTTGAGCGGGGTACTCCGCCATGAACTTGCGAGACCACATCCCATCCTTGTCCTGGTGGACGTTGTTATCCAAGCCAGCATCGTATCCGAATTGATTGTACGGGCCGTTGAAGTAGAGGTGGGGGAAGCGTCGAGGTCGATCATAACCGACATCGCCCTCTTGAACGTAGTCACTGCTTCCACTCAACTTGCTCCAGTACTCGACCTTCACGTGCTTTCCTTGCCACTTTTGCTTGTCTGTCCCAGACCAGGGAAGTTCTTCGATGGTGTCCGTACCACCGTGGTAGTCTTTCCACTCAGAGAAAGATGTGCCCCAGTTTGTCGAATAGCGGTATTTATCAGCGCCTGCTGCGTTATGCTTGATGCGCAGTTTACCACCGTCCTCTTCTTGCAATAGCGAGGTGGAATAGTTTGCCGATGTAAATACCACAGGGTTGTCACGCTGGCCCACGCGGATCAGGAAGTGGTCGACAGCCTTCGTAGAACCGCCCCCAGACGAGCTGGCCGCGTTCTTCACCGTCATTCGGTGTACACCGTTGTATACACCCGTCAACTTTGCCGACCAGACCCATGCGTTTGGAATTTGACCCGTCCAGTTTGTTTTACCGCGATTAACGGCTTTGCAGTCGACACTTCCTTTGGAAACTGATGGTTTTTTGCCAGCCTGATGCGTGGTTGATTCGAAGGATATAGATTTGGTAACGCCATCGCAGTCCATCTGCTCAGAGAAGTATATGCTCACGTCGATATCCTCTGACTCATTAGGACCGACCTTCGATACTTGGGGAACATCATGACCTGGCTTGATTTGGGTGATCATGGGTCGAGGACCATGGAAACTGTCCTTGTTGACGAAAGCCTTGAATTCGAAAGGCTTGAACGTCAGATGTTCGAGGCAGCCATTGGTGGCATTGGAGCCGTTAAGGTGAAGAGCCTTTGGCCCTCCCAGAAGTTCGTATTCATCATGGGGGTAAAACAAGTTCTTCACCGTCGTTCCGTGGGTGAAAGCGGAAATCAAGGCCGAGTCGTTGCTCTTGCAGTCGAATTTATAATCCACGGTCTTGTTGACGTTGTGGTACACCAACCACACGGGTTGATTGTCGCTTTCAGTGCCCAAATCCTGGACCTTCGCAACTCGATCCCGCAAGACCGACCACATGCCAACCTCCGTGGCAGTGCCATTCGAGCCCGGGTATTGGACTTCGCGGGTCTGATTTGACAACTTCACCACGGAATACCCGTCGTTAAGTACCGGGTAGTCATGTCGCATCTGGAACATGTGCTTGATGATGTTTCTGATTGGATGAGACGGGTCACGGTGGTCATAAGCAACGGCGTCGTCATTGCACCCTTCCCGACCTTTGGTGATTGGCCAGTCGTGATATTGCGAGGCATCGAGAGAGAAACAGCCATGGTTCTTCCACGCGGTAGCAGGAGACATCGCTTGGCGGCCGTAAACATAGTTTGACGCGGTTGCATCCAAAATATAGAAGCCTTGCTCTTCACCCCACAGCAAGATAGGAATCCCAGGGAGATGCAAAGTCGTGATGAAGTGCCCCATCAATTGCCTCTCGACACCGAAATCAAGGGCGGGCCAGCGGAACACATCTTGGTTGGTCGCTCCATACATGTGTCTGGGGTCAAATTTGCCTGTGTTGGCGTTGATCAAGTCGTTGGTCATCACCATCACGTTCCACGCATCGGTCCAGTCCAGCGGCGTATCGTAGCCTGCGGCCAGGTTGCCATCAAGTCCAAGAAATCGTGTGAGGGTACGATAGATCGAATAATGGAAAGCGGAGCCGTCCAGGGCCGACAGGCTACCGTCACGGATGAAGTACTGCTGGTTCGACCTGTTCGTCATACCCATGGCGTCCATCGAGGAATCGGGCCATTGGTCGGGCCGTCTACCACGGCCGAGGTAGATAGATCCGAAGGTATTTCCGCCAGTGATTTCGCCGGGGAGGAAGAAGTTGTCCTTGCCAACGCTACGAGCACATTCTCTGTAGGCTTCAGACATCTCAGCAAGGGCATCCACGGTGGCTTGGGTCGCCTTATCGTAACGGAAACCATCGATATCCAGAGCCTTGATAATCATGCAAGAGTGTTTAATCAGTTTCTCACGGACAGGATCATGCCATTCGCGCAGACGGTCTTGGACTGAAGCGAATTTGGCTAGTTGACGCTGCCAGTCGGGGTAAACACCGAACGCCTCTCTGTCGCCATACTGGTCGAAGTCACTGTCGTAGCACCCCACGAGCTTGTCATCGACCTTTTTCTCAACCGGAAACCCCGTTTCGTCCCAGAACTCGGGGTATTTGCACGTCTTGTTGTAGGAATTGCCAGGACGGAAGTCAACGTATTGTCGCTCAGATTTCCATACAGATTCGTATTCCTTGCTCGAGAACGGAGTAGTCTCGTTTAAGTACCCTTTGAAACCAATCAAATCGCCCATGCTATGATATTGTCAGATCCTGAAGGCGAGAGAGAAACATAATTGAAACGCCAATGGCACTTACGTCGCAATGGTATTATCGAATACCACATACATCCCTCGCTTGTGGATCTCCGAAATCGCGTCCCTCCAGACCTTGATGTTTCCATAATGCTGGTCAAGGAGGGTGGTATCGAGAATGGAGTAACCATCGGCGCCCCAGGGTTGATTCATCAAGATGGTCCCTGCCAGGTAGATTCCCTGAACGACAATTAGATATCAGAGGACAGACACCAACCTCAAAAATACGAACATACCTTGATTCCCATTCCCTGAAGATAGTCCAATGTATCAACCAGGCCAACCGCATCACCTCCATGGCGCATCTGAGTCGAGGACAAATCATGTTCGAAGCTGGTTCCGTTGATGTTGTCGTTGGTAGGATCGCCATTGACAAATCGGTCAAGGAACAAGGTGTAGAACGGGAACCGCCAGCTCTTTGGCGACGGGTGGTATTTGTGACCCTTCCATTCTGGGTGGAAATAGTCGACCGGGTCGGTAGCGTCTTTGTTGGCGTTTAGGTTATAGTCAACCAGAGATTCCTCGTAGGGCCAGCCTGTCGCTGTTGTTGCGAGTAGCGCCAGCAATGAACTCGCTATCCCCCACTTCATCATAGACGGTTCGTATAGTGAACCGTTTCCCTACCTGGCTTGTTTACACAGCCCGCATGTGGTTGGAAGAGACCAGAGGAGTATTTATGGGAAGGGAAACCCTGAGAGCACGCTTCGGCGAGGAAAAGGAAAATGAAAGGGATTCAAAAAAGAAACAGCCTCGAGAATGATTTGCACCTCTCCACCTCTTGGCCTCTTTTTGCTCGAAAGCGGAGCCGTTCAGACCAATCTGATATCCAATTATGATTACCAGTGGGCTGGGAGAGAAAAGAGCCACCGAAAAAAGTAGCGAGGGGGAAAGGAACTCTAAAGAGTAGTTGAAAGAGGAAGTACAAGGCCAATATGCCCGAATATTTGCCCGAAGAGATGCAGGAAGGAAGCTGAACTGGAAACGAGTGGGAGACCGTGTTATGAGATGTGATATCTGGTGGGACAAGGGGACAGAAAGGTCTGATATCGCCTGGAACAAAAGAGAACGAACGCCGATCATTCCTATACTGTGCTATTATGATGCTATAAGCAGACAGATAGTCTGTCGGCTTGCGGGAGAGCTAGATGGATGGATGGGCGTCGAGACGCATCTGTTCCTTGAATGGCCCAGTGGGGCACCGGGGGCTTCGCTCACAGCAAGCCACCGATCTACCATGATGACTTGGGTCACATCATTCGCGGTCCGAAATAAAAAACCATAGAAGAACTAATAGCTTCCCGTCAAGCAGGATGGGATGGATGGGGCAAGGGGAGCCATGGAAGCCTGCAAACGAGGACAAGCCGGATGTAGGTCAGTGGCTCTGCCCTGTACTATCTCCTGCACATTGTATGTACGCATGGTGATACCTAAATAGAATATACCCTATGCAGTATTGTCAGTAGGCAAGTAGAATCGAACTGTGTACGGAGTAGAGGCGGATGGTTGTGGAGGGAAGAGTTGGTGGTCAGTACTCCGGAGTATGTTCGAGGAAAGTTTGGTTCTATTTCGGGTGGTGTGGATCCATCCATGCCTGGGTCCGCGCTCTATTTCATAAAACTACCCGTTTTATTCGAATTTTGATTGATTTATTTGTCTTTTCTATTGAAAGTATTAAAAAAATATATATATTATTTATTCTGATTTGATGATAATTCTTTCCAGAGTATATACGGAGTACTTATTCATTCTAATGGTTGGTTCTAGTCCGCTTTACTTGTTCACTCAATCCTCATTTGTATATTATCATCATTTTCTACTCCAGCAGATCAAACATCACTAGCGGCTCAAAGCACGACCGCAGATCCCATCAATGAAAGCTCGGCTATCCCGTGTGGTGTGATAAATCAAATCCTCCGGCCAACCCATTTCATTTTCCCCCGGTATAGTCGTTCGAGAGTCGTCGCCACACTCTGGGTGCATGCCCAGGTCTATTTTTCGTCACCGGCTGATGAATGCCGATGCAAGATACACAGCACGATTAGGCACTATCATCGATAGTATATGTCACGCCATGACTGGACAACAAGTCGACATGAACATAACGTCTCAACGGCAGATTTTGATTCGACCTGCTAGTCAGGAAATGGAATTTTTCTTACTTGTCAAGTGAGAGGGCTATAGCGCGCGGCGATAAAGCATATCGGTTTCTCCACCACTCGATTGGAAAATCGAAAACAACTCTACAATAGTGGAAGAACCCACTTCTCGTCCGCCGATAAGGAAGAGGTCAATATGACAAGAGGCTTCCACGAGGTGTCAACAAAAAAAAAAAAACAATAGGCAAACATTCTCCCAGCCTGTCGGGGGTTTTGGCTACCGCTCTGCGAGATTATTATTCGCTGACGCAATCAGAACAGGAATCCGAAATACATCGGTCAGTCATGTAGTAATAATTATGTAGTTTTATGTTTGCATATACGACCGTGTTTACTTGATCTGTTACATTTAGTGTCCAAGGAGTCATCAATGGTTTGAGTTCTTGCTTGTCATCTCCGTAATTCTTATTATCTTGCGATCAATCTTTGGATTGGTAGGAAGAACAAGATAGACTGTGTCTATCATTGACTTAAATCGAATTAAGTTGACACTACCGATGCTAGTCTCTTTTCCGCCATCTACCTACGTTGTGATACCTCTCGGACATCAACGACAATTGTTTTATAATTCAACAAGTTCTGGGAGTACGGACCATTTGTGTACACGTCAATGATATAGAAAAATCGACATGAGTCGCGCTATTTACATTATCAATTACTCTCCGAAATGGAATTTAACTGGGTCTTTCATCGACAAGAGAACTATTCTGTCAAGCATCGATCGCCAGTCGGCTCCCGGCGATCAAGATGTGGGGAGAGGCTAACCGCTCAGGCCTTGGCACGATTACGGTTGAGATACGTCCAGTTGTATTACAGATACAGACACATATTGCGGCTAATGTGCAGTCCCCTTGCGTCGATGGATTGCAAGAGAGAAATGCGGGATATTCAGTAGTGGGAAAGTAATGCGGTTGTCCAGTGTGTTTATTGCGAGTTGATTTCCGAGGAATTGGCCACCAGCGAAGCTCGCTTGGGCCAGTCGGTAGTAAGTCGAAATTCTCGAGAAAACAGGTAAAATTCAATCCATGCAAGGGGAGTAAGCGAAATACATATCGTAGGACCGGGTTTTATCTGACAATCATAGTAGTCCGAACCTTGGTTCATAAAAAGGGTTAAGAAAGGTTGTGAAGAAAAGCAGGGAAGCAACAAGGAGCCTGATATTCAAGGTGTCACCTTAGAGCGAATATCAGAACTCTCATACCAGTCTGAGGCTTTTCATGATTTCATAGATGCCATTGCAGACCTATGGCACTAGGTCTGGCGCTATATCGTAACTTCCCTTTTCTGGTTCTTTTCATAGAAATGAAGAAGCTTCACTGGATGGAGCCTCGAATGCCTTTATACGCCTCTCGTCAATTTAATTCTTTAGCCTTAGTCGAGCTCCCCCATCACTCTGTGGGGACTTTTGAGGATATAGAACTCCGACATCACGAGTTCTCATTTTCTGGTGGATCTGTCCCTTGCCGGTTTACCTATGTAGGCACCTTGTATGCTTCATGGCGACTAGATGTGGCGACCCTCTTACCCGGCGCTGCTTGGGCAATACATGATGCGAATGTGGCACATTAAGTTTGAAGCACATTGAGTTTAGATACATGTAGTCTTGAAAGCACCATCAAACTGCTACATACTATGATATAGTATTATGGCTGCTAAGTACCTACCTAACCACTGAGGTCAAAGACATAGATAAAGTAGTTCAATTGAGTTCAACCAATCGATATACATGTAAGGCAGCGTATGAAACTTACTAGACCACCCGACTAGTCGGTACCGGGTAACTTAAAAACGCCGCGTACCATACCTTAGTGTTGAGCTTATCCGATATACCATGATTGGTCACTAATTCCAAGCCGTTTGGCGAATATTGACCGCTTGTCACAGCTAGGCTTTGCTCGGGGGTTGGGTCGATCGCCGCCAGGATCGGAGGCACTCTGAACAGACCATCATGGCCCACTTGATGTCATCAAGACTCGGTCTCCGCAGAGAACGGCACTATCGCTTGCTGCACCTGCCATGTCCTACGCATGCAGGCGGATTCTAGGCGCATGCATATATTGGAACCCGAACTTGTCAGCAGTGAAGCTCAATCCCTGCCAATCGGTTTGGACGGTAGTTTGGTGACAGCCGGCTGTTTTTCTCTACCGCTCATTTGGCTCGGATTGACCAGCTGAGGCTCGCCGTGGGTTCCAATTTCACGCGGCTGAGTGGCCTACTGGTGGTATGTTAAGCGTGTGGTAGGTTGGTAGCTGATAAGACTTATCTGGCTTTGATAGGAATTTCCTACCTTCAGTTAGTAGGTAGAGTCAGAATGTGTACTATTTCCACTATGCTCAGTGACATCCTCCGCGGCTTACTCCGTCCATATCCCTTTAACCATCTCTCACTGCGAGGAATGGTGTCACCAAGTCTCGTTATGCTGCTGACTTCCTCGCCCAGCCACCCATATCCATGCCATACGTACCATATCTCGATAGACTCACCAATCCAGCAACAAACCACACCAGTACAATGCGGTGTAGCATTCTATGCCCAAAGCCAAATCTCCCAAGCAGGATATAGATGACGCTCATGCCGACACGGTGCATATATTGTACAGGAGGCGCGTAATTCCCACAGACAGACCCAACAGGGTTTGACCGCTGCATAACCGACACACAATCAATCCTCAAGCTATTGCATTCGAACTGCATGTAAACAGCTAGATTACCCAAGGTGCAGTCTCAGAGGCACATGGCAGTCGATGGGGCCCAATGAGTTAGACATATCATATGCGTCACGCTTCCCAGACCTTGGCAATCTGACTCGGCCTACTCATCGTTGCAGGCCCACACATGTCACTTTCTTTCCCTATTTTCCATCCTTTCTTTTCTTTTTCTGGGACAGTGTCGGTGTTGGTCCCAGTCGGTGCTTTCTCTGCACGTACCACTCGTTTTTCTACTCCATTCGGACAGACTGCGAACGTTGTTCGGAGCGAGCGATGGAGACATGAACACGCTGGCCGATAATGAATAATCAAATTATGGGAAAGAAAAAAGAAATTTCTCAGCTCGTGTTCGCTTCGAACCTCAATGATGTGAGCGGTATTGCTCTACACCGACATGTCTCCGCCCTGGTAACAGACAATTCCCTCCCTATCACCCAAAATAGTCTCTAAAAATCACGCCGTTGCTTCGGAAACATGACCGCGATTTTGATACCCTTGATCTTCTTCTTACTACCGCACCTCACTGTCTCTACAATTATCCCTTACCATGCAGCATACTGTCGTAATGGCCTCTACTCATGAATCACGTCACGACCCAGCTTCTCAAACTCCATCGTAGCACCATTCGCGCCAATATAAACACGAAACGCAAGGATAGGTCGTCCATTTGTAAGTGCAGCCAAGGTGGACGCGCAAAAACCTGCCCGGGATTGCCACTCCTGTGTGTCGCCTTGTTATCTGCATTTGAGCAACGCGACGCGAACGCTTCATGTACGGACTCTTCGGCGTCCGAGAAGACTTGAGTGGGGGAAGTAGGGATCTGGCCATTCGGTTGAGTGTCGTCCGGCATTGAGTTAATCGTGTGTAGAGAAACCTGTTTTTCTAGCAGTCGGGACGTTGAGGCAGTCTTCATGGTTACTGTGGGTTTAGATTAGATATGATAATAACATGGTTAGAAGCGTGGTGGTTATCTGGCATAAATTCAGTGAGAGCCATGTAGTACTAACTACTAGTCCTTGGGCTAGTCTGATCAGACATCCCAATTGTAATGCGTTGAATCATAGGTGCATTAGAGACCAACAATGAAGGTATCCTTCTCGAGATTACCAACCCGCCGGTATGTGATCCGAGGGAAGGGTTCCTCCATGCGCGACTTCGCAGGATATTTACTTTCATGTTGAACCATGCTATAGATATAAATAGGGATTTGATTGTTTGATATATGTATATATACGCTCCGCTCCATGCTTCGGTTCATCAAGAACATTCCGTGACCTTTGGCTATGAGTGATTGATCCATGGTGTATATACCTTATCAGCCACCTTGTGCTCTTCAATTGAAAGGCATCCGACATATTATCTAGAAAAAATTGAGTAAAAGAAGAAAAGGAAAAGACATCTATCGGTACCATTCCATCAGTCATGTATATCAATCTAAGAGTCAAAGCAACGGCAATCTACTCCGCGCCGTAACGAGCCCGATAATCCTTCAACCGCTGGACCTCACCCTCCCCAATCTTATCACCCAGCGTCTCAATCAAATCATGCAACCCAATAACCGACCGGATGGGGATATTCCCACCCAGCGCCCTCTGCGCAACACCCACAGCACTCTTCGGCTCAGCGTCACTAACCCGCTCCTCACGATCCAACAGCACCACCACACCAGCAACGATACCGCCCTCCTTCTCGATGATATCGACCGCCTCGCGCAGGGCCGTGCCCGCCGTGATGACGTCGTCGACGATGACAATGCGCTTGCCCTTCAGCGGGGCGCCCACGATGTTGCCGCCCTCGCCGTGCGCCTTGGCCTCCTTGCGGTTGAACGAGTAGCTGACGTTGTCCCAGGTGCCGGTGCCGGCCAGGGAGTCGCGGACGGCGAGCTCGTTGGTGACGGCGGCCGAGATGGGGATGCCCTTGTAGGCGGGGCCGAAGATGATGTCGAAGGCGGGGGTGGTCTTGCCGTCGGCGGCGGTGGTGACGAACGGCGGGGTGGACAGGACGCTGGCGTAGGCGGCGGAGGTCGCGCGCAGGAGAGGCGCCGTGTGCAGCAGAGACGAGGTGAAGAAGTAGGGGGATTCGCGGCCGGATTTCAACACGTAGGAGCCGAAGGAGAGGACGTTGTTGGACATGAGTAGCGGCAGCAGGGTGCGCTTGTAGTCCTGATCGGCGGCGGGGGGAGGGATAGTGGCGGACGACATGGTGGATTGATTGATTGGTTTTGAGAGAAAGTTATTGAATGGCTGAGATTTGTTAATGGATTGGAGTGGTTGATAAAGGAATTGTATTAGTGAGTATAAAAGCGTGTAGGGAGGCGCGTATAGCTGGGATCATCAAACAGGATAGAACCTCAGGCTGTCTACTTTTACTACTTTTTTTTTACATTAAACTTTTTCCTATGGTTGTCCCGCAATGATCTTACCCAGTAAGTCAGTTAGTCTTGGTGAGCTTAGTGGTTACTTAGTGAGGGGCAGAGAGGGGAGAGCTGACTAAGACAAGAGGGGCAAATGAGAAGCGGGACCGGAGTCTGATCTCCACCCAGTTCGCTCAATACTAACAGTCACGACTAATGGCAACCCTGTCTCTCCTCTCATCTCCGTCTTATACTGTCAGCCTGGAACTCAGTTGCTGTTTGATCATCGACCATACAGTGATCCGGAGATCAGATCCATTGCTGTCTTGTGCGGGTAAGTCCCCGGTGAAATTGAACCCCCCCCCTGCGCGACCCTAGTGCTGCATTACTGGCCTATCAACTGGCCAGAGCACGTGCCCGCTCCCCGTCTCCGAAGGCCGGCGTCCGCTGTCCCTCCCTTCGATCTGCTTCTTTCGGCGACTTTGTTTTCTCCTCTCCCTTCTGGACTCTCTCTCCTTCTTAAATTCCATTCGGCTCGTTCTTTTAGTAACATTGTGTCATTTTCAACGGTTACAGTTTCTTTTACTTCTCCAGGGACCGTTTCGCTCTCAAAGTTTCGCTAGACACCTCGGTCTGATCTCGGAGGGGCGCCATCCGTATTACAACAGCCACTGGCGGGCTTGGTGAGCCACAAAAGATACCGTCCCTAGATTACCCTAGAGCTAGATTCCAGGTTGATCAGTGGTCTGAGTGATTTGCTCTCGGTCTTGTGTCTATTTTCTGTCAACAGAGTGATTCGTGTAAGTCCATGCTCTCCCCGGATATCGGCCGGTCGCCTGCGCGTCACACCAATGCTAAGACTTCATCGTGATTCCTAGTTCTCCGAATCCCACAACAATGCATATCAAGGACAAGCTCGCACAGAATGAGGCGGCGGGGAGGACGGGAATCTCCTTCGAGTTCTTCCCTCCCAAGACTGCCCAGGGTGTGCAGAATCTGTACGATCGCATGGATCGTATGCACGCGTTGGGCCCCAGCTTCATTGACATCACCTGGGGCGCCGGCGGTCGCTTGTCGGATCTGACCTGCGAGATGGTCAACGTCGCCCAGTCGGTCTACGGCCTGGAGACCTGCATGCATCTGACCTGCACCGACATGGGAATCGAGAAGGTGGATGCGGCCCTGCAGGCCGCCTACAAGACCGGCTGCACCAACATTCTTGCCCTTCGCGGAGACCCGCCTCGTGAACAGGAGCATTGGGAGGCCGTCGATGGGGGATTCCGCTACGCGAAGGATCTGGTCAAATATATCCGCGACAAGTATGGAAACCACTTCGATATCGGTGTCGGCGGTTACCCGGAGGGCGCAGACGACAACTCGGACGTGGATCAATTGATCGATCACTTGAAGGAGAAGGTGGATGCGGGGAGCTCGTTCGTGGTCACTCAGATGTTCTACGACACGGATAACTTCATCAGCTGGGTTAAGAAGTGTCGGGAGAAGGGGATCCACGTGCCTATCATCCCCGGTATCATGCCGATTCAGACTTATGCGGCCTTCCTGCGACGAGCGAACTGGACCAAGATCCACATCCCCCCGTCCTGGCTGGAAGCGTTGGAGCCCGTCAAGAATGACGATGCGGCCGTGAGGGAGATTGGAAAAGTCCTCATTGCGGACATGTGCCGGAAACTCATGGCGTCGGGCATCAACCATTTGCATTTCTACACGATGAACCTGGCCCAGTCGACGCAACAGGTCCTCGGAGAACTGAATCTCCTCCCGTCCGAGGAGACGCCTCTGCAACGGCCCCTGCCGTGGCGGCCATCGCTGGGTCTCAACCGCAGAGGCGAAGACGTCCGTCCCATCTTCTGGCGGAACCGGAATTCCTCCTACGTGGCTCGTACCCAGACCTGGGACGAATTCCCGAACGGACGGTGGACCGATTCCCGGTCCCCCGCGTTCGGTGAGCTCGATTCCTACGGGATCGGCCTCAAAGGCACCAACGAACAAAACATCAAGCTGTGGGGCGAACCCAAGTCTGTCCGCGATCTCTCTCACCTCTTTACTCGCTACCTGGAAGGAAAGCTCGACCGTCTGCCCTGGTGTGACACCCCCATCACCTCCGAAGCGAACGAAATTGGAGGCGAGCTGCTCGAGTTGAACAAGCGCGGGCTTCTCACCATCAACTCCCAGCCGGCGGTCAATGGCGCGCGATCATCCCACTCCGTGTACGGATGGGGTCCCAAGAACGGATTCGTCTACCAGAAGGCATACCTCGAACTGTTGGTGCCCCCATACCTGCTCGACGAGCTGATCGCGCGGATCGAGAAGAACGAGGACCTCACCTACCACGCCGTGTCCAAGAGCGGCGAGCTCCGCACCAACACCCGTGACACCCCCAATGCCTTGACGTGGGGTATCTTTGCCGGGCGCGAGATCGTTCAACCGACCGTGGTGGAGACCGTCAGCTTCTTGGCGTGGAAGGACGAGGCCTATCGTCTGGGAGAGGACTGGGCCAAGTGCCATGATGCCGCCAGTCCGAGCAGAAAGCTGATCCAGAGTGTCGTGGACACCTGGTACCTGGTGAACATCGGTAGGTTCCTCATATTGAAAACTTTGGACAGATTGGTAACTGACTACGTTCGCAGTGAACAACGACTTCCACAACACATACAACCTCTTTGAGCTGTTCAAGGATCTGGACGTCAAGGACCTCGACGTCGAAGTCGCCACTGAACAGAAGGCCCAGCCAACCGTGGCTGTCAACGAAGTTACTCCGGAGGTGCCAACCAAGAACTAGCCCCTGACATCTTCTTTCTAAGAAAGCAAGAGTATCAAAAAACCCTCCATCCCCAGCATCTACTAACTAATTCAACATCAACTCTCAACGACACTACCCTGCCTTGGGATCCCGCATCCCCAGGTCACGAAAAAAAAACATCTTTTATGGCGACATGACTGAAGACCTCTCAACGATTTCTTCTTGGGCGTTCTCTTATTTCAACATGACTCTTTTTAACCATTTTCACATATACCCCAGGTATTTAGTTTCTGATCTAGTGTGAGGAATATCCAAATTCAACATAATCTGCTGTATGCATCCAACTGCGACAGGTCTTGACCTGTTTTGTTTTGTTTTCTATATCATATTTGATGTTTTCCTCTTCCTATAGCTTTCTCTCTCTTATTCTTATTTTTATTCTTGTTCTTTCCATGTCCATTACAGGAAGATGAAGAAAGAGTTGATAAACAGGTGAAGACCAACGGCGTACAAATCATTCAACACAACGATGATGGTGATGGCGACAGACAGCGTTGGCGTTATGGCTATCCTTATCCTCTTCAACAACGGGATACAGTTTTTTTCTTTTTTTTTTTTTTTTCTCTTTTCTCTCTCTCTTTTTTATTGCCCTCCCACCTCTTCCCCCCTTGTTTTTTCTATTTCATTCTACTTCATCTTTTAACATCGAGATATAGATAGATCTCAAGTTTGCATTTCTCCCAGCGATGATCTTCATCTTCTCTATTCGTAGTTTCTATCTAGGCCTCTCATCCATCTAAGAGTAGAATGTGAGCAGATACATGATCCCCGAAGCACACTTTTGTAGAGACCAACGCAGCAGTAGTAATAGAGTACTACTTTACCCATAGAAGCAGCATAAAATACAGTATACTATATCTACTAAGTAAGAAGAGCAGCATATAGAGATATCGGGTTCTCTTCTACGACAGTAAGAATAACTATCTATCTAGCTAAGGTAGGCTATTGCTATTGCTATTGCTATGGTAAGGATAACTCAATGTCGCCACAACGACAATACAAGCAGGCTTGCACCTAAGAATGGATATGACCATCAAGCAGCAGGATGGAAACCGCCACATACAGGAAGAAAAAGGCGACACTAAGTAAACCAATAAGCAATCCCATCCGGCCCATCATCATAATCACCCCAACAAAGCCCTCCCCATCGCTCCAATCATCCACGCAAAGGGCCGTGCAAACCACACCACCCAGCTCCCAATCAGAACCACGTACCCGGCCGTGCGGCCGACGATCACCATGATGAAAGCCAGGACAAGCGCGTAAGCTACGGCCTGCACGATTTCCGTCACGGAGCCAGCGAGGTCTTTCTTGTTGGGACGAGGCCAGCGGCCGGTTGTGTTCCAGATGGAGACGGCTGTGAGGAGATCTCTGATGACGCGCAGACAGTGCGCGACCATGTAGAGCATGCTGTTTGCGCCGATCTTCGCTAGCGTTGTCTTTGAGTGGCGGTTTGCCATGACTTGGTTGTAGAGTGTTTGGACCTGTGCGGTTGAAAGGGCGAGGATGTCGACGAGGAGGGACATTGTGGATGAGTTTGCTGTGGCTTTGTGGTTGTTGGTGGTGGTGGTTTTTGAGATCTTGGAGGGAGAGTCTGTGGTGGGTTTGGGTTGGAAAGGGATTGCGTCTTTGGTCCTTTCTACTTGGTGGCCGTCTAGCTCGGCGACTTCCATTATTCGAGAGCTTGGCAGGACGTCCCGGAAGTTTCGTTGGGAGACGCCTGTATCCATGGAGGAAAGGACCCCCTTTGTCGGCGATTTGGAGAGTTGGCTTGTATCAGATACACTCCTGAGCGGGGCATTCTCCTTGTCGGAGCTTGCGGTGCTGGACGTTGGGGACTGCAGGGTTTTTGCCATAGACATGGACTGGGCTAGGTTCTCTGTAGATGACCGGAATGACTTGACCAAGGCCGGAATGCGAATGTATCCACTAAGCGTGTGTGGTCCTTCTGCGCCGGGAGCTCCTTGGTCGGGTCGGTTTTTCGCGAAGCGTCCGTTTCTTGGGTAGGCCGACTTCGAGAATGCCGCTGAAGATGCGTTCGAGATGTCCCACGAGTTCTGGGTTGCGCGCCGTAATCCTGATGGAGAAGAGCTCATCTGATGATTTGCCCTGGCGCCTGGAATGATCTCGCCGGCCGTGCGCGACGCGGGCCCCTGTGCGCCTGGTTGCCTCGGGGCGTGGGCTCTCACGTCGGCCATGGTCACCATACTCCGTGTGATAGTGGGTGTGATAATGAGTACATCGTCTGGGTTGGTGGTGTGCCTCCTGGGACCCTGATTGTTGTCCTTGGCAGGGTTCGTGCTCGGGGGCGAGTTCCCTTTTCCTTGAAGCCTGGGAAGGGTCGGGGGCTGGCATTTGGCATCGCGGCACATGGTCTTCGGAGACGACTTCCAGCATTGGGCATGTTTCAAGTTCTGAGAAATCGATCTCCATTCTTCCTGGACGTTTGTCTCTTCGAGCCCTGTCGTGCCGTGATGTGCTGCCGCGCGTTTCCTGAACCGCGGCGCGGGCACATCTACTACACGGGGCCGCTCCTCGGTTGTCGAAAATAGGAGGATCTCGTCTGGATTCTTGTCGTGCGGCCCGTTGATCTCCTTGCACCCTAAAAAAGAACCGTCGGGGTTGAGTCTGGGGGCAGTTCGTTCTAGTTTGCCCGATGCATCCTCCCATATTGTGCTACACCGTTGCTTCCCGACTTCCTCCGGGCAGTAGTACCCGCCTCGATTTGAGGATCCCGGCGGCTGCTCTTCCGACTCACTGGGAGCTCGCAGCGATTCCTGGCCATCAAGTGTGCCAATCTTCTGTTCCCGTTGCCGGTGGCTCGTGTTATTTTCGGGCGATGTCGTACGCGGACTCGGCAAGGTGTCTGGATCAAGCATTCCACCACCAGCTTCATGGACGCTTTCAATACTCTGCTGGAACTTCCTGATCTGATGGTCGGTGAGACCTGGTGGGTTCGGATCTTTCGCCGAGGGCATATTGACAACAAATCTATCCTCCCAGTCGGTTATTGAGCTCTCAGGCTGCGACACAGGCGACACTGAAGGGTATGATTGAGCAGAGGAGTCGGTTGCGGTATCATTCCTCTCTTGATATTTCTGGGGCGAGCTGTCGCTAGTATTGATACTCAACTGGCGGTCTTTAGTTGCCCTTCGATTAGAAGTCCGGCCAGAGTTCCGGAGGCTGTCGACACTAGGCCTCGTCTCAGCCTTAGGGCTGGAATTAGCTCCTCGCAGGGACGGTATGGCACTTTTCGGACTTCCTCCAGTGTACTTCAATTTGTGTTTGGCGATCTCCTGGCGTGAGGAGCTTGCCAGGGAGACAATTTTGCGGTATGCCTCGTAGGGAACTTTCTGTTTTTCCTTGCTCGGTGTTGGACCAGGCGTATCTTTTGCAAATCTTCCCTTGTCCTTTCTCTCAACCTGCTCCCCGTCTTTTTCTGCTGATTTAGGTGAATCCCGGCCTAGCACTTGAGAGGACTTGCTTGGTTTGATATGTCGGGCTATGGCTTGTTTGCTATGTTCGACAACGGTTTGCTTTTCCTTCGGTGAGATTTTGCCTCTGTCGGCAAATGTCCTCGGCATGGGGAGTTTCGTGGGTTTGGCCCCTTGTGGTGAACCCTCCGGCGAATGCATCAGGCTTGAAGTACCTGGTGTCACAGTTCTTCTGTTGGCTTCGTTTGTGGGCTGTTGCGAAGGCGGGCTCGTGTGTTCTCTGGAGTAAGTCCTCACAGCCTCGACTCGGCGTTGGCGCCGTGGGGGCTTGGGGTTGAGTAAATGGCTGTCTGGCAAGTGCACGGAATCCTCCATGTTACCGTGAAGGCGATCGAAGCGGCGATTCAAGGATTCGACATCAAAGCCTAATTCACGTGCGATGTTCAACCATTCCAGCCAGGTGGGAAGCGGTTTTGATGCTCTCGTTTTGCTCGTTGGGGCGGAGGTGGTTCGTCGTCGAAGGCGCTGGCTGTGGCGTAGAGATGGTGGTGAGTCCTCACAGCCAGATGAAGATCGTGCGAGGAAAGTAAAGAAAGGCATTTTGTCCAACGGGCTTGTTTTTCTTTGGCTGGGAAGGGATGGTCCGTTTGGAATCTAGCGGAATGCGCCAGCCTGCTCGAGCGAGGAATGTATAAAAACCAGAAGTATTCAATAAGAATGCCAGCCACCCGGTCTTTGACATTGTTTATGTAGGCATGCTCAGCCCGCGATTTGTTTATCGTGTGAGCTCGCGGCTGTGCACCAAGGGGGAAGGCACCGGTGATAGCCACAGGGACGGAATGTCAAGTCCAACCGGGGTCTTTGACCAGGTCATCGTCGAGAAAGGCGTGTAAAAAGCAATAAGCACCTTATGTGCTGCATCATGTGAATCGAGTTTCTCTCTTTTTCTTCTTTTCGTTTTCAGTTTTGTATTGAAGGAGTCGATTCTCCTCAGTGCTGTAGAGATACTATATTGGCTAGCACATATTACACAGTAGCTGGACACCCCAGATCTTCGAATACACAGAACCGAATACTTGCCACTCCATCTAATTAGAATAATTGCGGGGCTGGGAAGACAAAGTAAGAACGAAAGAAATAATGAACAAAAAGACGCCAACCCAATGCTCGAATAATAATCGGTCATAAGAACCATGAACATGAACAAAACAATGACGTGGAATAAAGCTCGGCATGCTCCATACCAAATGTTCCCGCCTCCTTTCTTTCAACGTAATCTTCACTTGGAGCTTCTGCTTCCCTGCTGATATCAAAACCGTCCGACCTCACGGTGCGTATCCACGTGGCTCCTCCTGGAACTGGACGGTATGGGACTTGGAAGACCGGGCACATTGCTCTTCTTCAATGGACTCGAAGGCCGTCTGGAACTACCTTGTAAACGTCGCTCAAAGTTCGTTGAAGCAGACTTTTTCAACGGAGAATTGGCGTGCGAGTAAACCCCGAGGCTTCCACCGTCCCCAGTACTCGCTGGCGAGGGTTTAAACT